CCTCGCCAACGGACACGACTCCACTTGTGGCGGTTCTGTGGGAGCACGCACAGCACAGCACGCACGCCCACCTTCCGTATCGCAAAGTTGACCACACTGAGTTTGGCCTCGTGCTGCAGCAACCCAAACATGGTGAGCGGCACGCAGCTGCCCGCAGCCGCGGCCGCCACGTGGGCTGCCACCTTCGCGGCTGCAGCAGCCGGCACCTGGGCCACCCGCACGGCCACATAGCTGCCTGGGGTGCGGGTGGGTGGGTGGGTGGGAGCAGGATAAGAGGAGGAAGGGGGGTGTCGTTCTGGCAGGTGTTGTTGCAGGAGGGGGGCTGTCCTTCATGGCGGTTGCTGATGATGAGCCGCCATGCGGCTGCAGCAGCGCGCTACCACTCCCCGCTACATGTGCTGCACCCCACCCGCCCATCCCCCGCAGCCCCCACACCCACTCGGCGCCACCCCGCACGGGTCCAGGTCGGCGGTGGTGCGCTGCTGTGCCGCCCGGGCCCGCTTGTGCGCGCGCTTGAAGTCCTCGAACGCGAACACCCTGCCGTACTGGGGCGGCAGGGACTCCTTGGGGTCCCAGGCGCTGGTGCGCAGGCTCTTGAGGCCCCTGGGGGTGGGTGGGGTTGGGGTTGGGGTTGGGGGAGACGGGAGAGCCGCATGGTTGGGGGAGGGGGGCAGCAGGGGTGCGGGGTTGGGCAGGGCTGGGGGGACGGTAGGTACCTTCCACACCACATCACACGGCACTACTGGGCTACCCGCGTCCTTACACCCAAGGACTGTAAGACGATACGACCCCCACACCCTCTGTTTCCCTCCTTCCTCTCCTTCCTTTGCATCCCACCCCCCCCCCACCGCGCCCCCCTCCACCTGTACTTCTGGAAGCGCACCCGCGCCGGCTGGTCCAGCGGCACATCCACCTCGTCCGGGAAGTCCAGCTGGTCCGACTCCCGCTGCTGAGCCACCCCCGCAGACCCCCCGTCCCCCCGCGCCGCGCGAGCCTCCGCCAGGGCTGCAGCATACGCGCCGTCGCCCCCCTCCTCCTCCTCCATGGCTGCATAGCCCGCCCCCTCCTCGCCGTCCTCGTCCTCCTCGTCTTCGTCATCAATGGGCTGCAACTCCGGCGCGTCACCATCGTCGTCAGCTTCCATGCCGCTTCCTCCGCCGCCTCGTCTTGTTCTCCCGCCTTTCCCGCTTTTCCCGTGCCCCCCTTCCTGCTGCTCCCCGCCATCCTCCTCCATCATGCCCCCGAATGGATCCCCATCCTCCTCATCCTCATCTTCCTCATCCTCATCCTCATCTCCGTAGTCCTCGTCGTCTAGGATCCATGCAGCCTGGTACTCCGAGGTCCCCTCCGGAACCTTCCGTCGCCGTGTTCGAGGCGCCGTCGCCGCCGCCATCTCCTCCTCCGTCGGCCACGTTTGTTCCTCTTCCCCTGGCTCCGGAACGTTCTCACGAACTAGCTGATCCGCCTCCTCCGGATCGCATTTAGCAAGCATTGGGCCGAGTGCGGCTGCAGCCGCCGCCGTCTCCTCAACTTCCATACCGCCCGTGCCCGCGCCGGCGGCGGCTCGGCCGCTGCCGATCGCATTGGGATCCGTCGGCGCATGGATCGACAGAATGCGGAAGTCCCCAGCGCCCGGAATCGTCACCAACTGATTTGCACTGAGACCCGCACTACGAACGTATCCATACACCACCAACGTCCCGCTGTCCCCCGCTGTCGCCGACGAAGACGGCCCCGCCTCCGCCGCCGGCTGTTGCTCAGGCGACAGTTCGTATTCCACTCGCTCAACCATGACGGCGGGTCGCTGCTTTCGCCACAGCGGCGGTGCCGCCGGCGGATGCTCCGCCAAGTGTCGAGCGAGCGCCGCCAGATCCGTCGCCGTGTCGCCATGCAACACTCGGTGTTCCCCCGCTAAATGGCTCGCCAGGGCTTTCTCCGCACGCTTTCGAGCGGCGGAGCGGTCCTTCATGGATGCAGCGGCGGCGGCGCCGCCGCTGCTACTGCCGGCGGCGGCGCCTCCGGCGCCGACGACGCAGCACACCACTGACGGCATTCCCATCGCCCGCAGCACCGCCAGCGCCGACTGCCCCGCCGCGTCCACTTCGCTGCTGGCGTTGTTGCTGCCACTGCCAGTGGCTGCAGTGGCGGACCCGCCCGGCAGTAGCAGCAGCAGCACCTCCACGCAGCGACCCAGATCGGCGATCGCGAGTGGGTCGTTCCGTACAGCCGGCGGCGGCAGTAGCGTCAGTCGTACACGACCCCTCGTCGCCACGTGTACGGTAGTCGGTTGTAGCGGCCCCGCTGACATCAGCAGGTCCAGCTCCATGTCAGCTTCGGCTGCGGCGCCGACGGCGGCGGCGGCATCGTCAGCGGCGGAGGTACCGGCGGCGGAGGCTGCGGCGCCTAGGTTGCCGTGCTCGCATGCATGACGGAGGCCGTGCCAGAAGCGCGAGACGTCCACCTCCTGAAGAGCAGGATGGACCAGGGTGGCACGCATGCAGGGGTGCACGCCGTGTTTGTTTCTTCCATTGTCGCCGCTTTGCCACTCCTTGCCAGACGCAGCCCTTCCCAGGCTGGGTGGGGCAATACCCCAGGTTTCCTGTGTGCATGTCACATAGCCCTTTGACCCACTCTCCCCCCGCCCTCTTTCAATCAAGGTCCACAGCCCGTCCCCGTATACACACGTTACTCCCACCACGCCCTCCCCCGCTCACCTCTGACAGGGGCAGCACCCCCACCACCACGGGTGCAGCCACTCGCCGCTTCTTCTCCAGCAGCTCCTGACGCTTGGCCTCCCGGCTCTGCCTGGCCGCCAGGTGCCGCTGCAGCTTCCCATCGTGGGTGGAGGCGCGCGGGTTGGCGCGCGGGGCCGCCGCAACCTCCTTGCCACGCCGGGCCCGCTCGCGCGCGCTGAGGCCGGCACGGCGCCCCGCCTTGTGGGACTGATTTGGGTCGGAGAGGGAAGGAAGCAGGGGCGGACGGGGTGGGGTGGGGGTGGGGGTGGTTAGGAAGAGGAAGGGATGGGGCGAGGAGATGTGCATGTGAGGAGTTGCGCCGTGGGTTACAGGGTGGGGTGGAGGAAGGGAAGACAGGGCGGGGATGTAGGTTTCAATCGAGCCTAGCCGCCCCGCTTATAATGCGGGGCTAAGGGAGGCATGTGGTCGCTATTTAGGGGCTGCTTATGCGGATTGTCGGCATCGGGATGCAGAGCGATGGTTGGTCAGTGCGCTGATAACCGCGGAAGAGCCCGAACCCATGCTGGTTGGCAAATGTTGTTGACAGAAGGAAGATTGGCAATGGATTTAACATGTATCCTTCATAGTTTCGGCGGCCGCCGCCGGCTGCAGCATTCCATCGACCTTGTGCCCGCTGTTACAACCTAACCAGCATACCTTATTCTTTTGGCCGCTAGGGCCGCCCATCGTGCTTGCCTATGCAGCGCCTTTCCACAAGTTACTAAAGAAACGTGTCAGAAATAGTAGTTGATATAATACTCGCGCTTCAGCATACAGCATATATCTTCCTCAGCATCGCATATAACGAACGTTCGACACCCAGCTATTATTTACAGCAAGCTTACGTCGACTAGGGTTGACATGCCGTACATGCTGGGTAAGCGTCCTCACACGACAAACTCAATTCGCCTCCTCCTATGTTGTAGGTAAAGCTATGTATATGATTTGCGTGGTAAACTAGGATGCCTAGCTCTCCATCGCGTGGGGCGAACGACAGATAAGTTCGAGGTCCGGATCGAAACACACAGCGCTTCCCTTACATCCATATTCAACATACAGTTAAGCTTACAAAGCGACCACTCCAAAGTAGTGGCAAAAGGCCCGTCGCTGGGGCTGCCTACGGGAGTGGATAAGGCACGGATAGCGTCTGCCGAAACAGCTACTTCTGATTTCTACGTTGGCGGCAGGAAAAATGAGCTATCGGATGTCAGCATCGGACCTCCGTATGGGTCCAGGGCACTTCCTGACTGGACTGAGAAACGATGACAGCCTGCTGCGGCAAGTTTTCTTCTCCATTTTGCGGCATCACCATCCGAACCTTGCTGCCAAGGTAATCCTTAATGCTAATCGTACGTATGTTGCCATCAAGACCTTGGAATCGAGCAAGCGTGTATTGTGGAGCCGATGGGGGATCGTTGGGAATAAAAAGCCCTAGCCCAGATCAAGTATTGAAATCTATGAGGAACACTCCTTACACATGCACATGTTTTCTTGCGCAATCATAATTCGATAGCCATAAGGCGGTCATTTGTTAGACTGGAGATACCTGTTTACGCGAACCCCGCCGCCCCTCGCCAATTCCAACACTTCCCTGATGCATATTACGCTCCCTGTCCAACCCCAACCTCATCGAACCTCTGAGTTGCTCTGTGCTTCAAGATAATGACGCAGATAGCGGTGCTAGCCATGCCACGAACTTGAACAGTGCAAACTTCCTGCTGCATTCTTTCCGTCTTCCCTTCGCATCATGCACCTTGTTCCAGAACCCCTATGCCTCCACCCCAATCCCCGGCCCCCAACCTCCCCGACCCACATCCCCGGTTTCAGGTGGACGTCATTTACGCGCTCAGCCAGGCCTGGTGCACCAGCCAGGTGCGTTGACTTAGCGTTGACCTTGCTTCCTGCATGCAAACACACACACACACACACATGCAGGCCGTATGCTCCGTGTCTAGGTTGGCATGGCGGCACCTGGTGTTCATCCCCCTCCCTGGCCCCAACCGCCCTTCCCATGCTGTGCGTTATTCCAACTGGCCATGCCGTACGTGTACTGCAGTCGGATTCGGATTTCGAGTTGCTGGTCAAGTACGTGTCGGATCTCAAACCCGAGGAGCGCATCCTGGTGGGTTGGGGGGGGCTTATGCCGTCGTGGGACCTAATCGCCCTATGATTGTACTTGCCTGGGTTGCCGTACGATGTGACGGTTGGTCCCTCAACAGGGGTCAACACACTACAGGGAGGTGGGAGGGCAGGTGATGGGTAGCATGCTGCTGTGGGACAGCATAGTGACACCGCACGTTGGAAGGAAAAGGGGCGTCTCAGTGTCGCCTGTAGGTCACGTTGCGGAACCTGAGGTACCGGTATTCCCTGGGCCCGCCACTACCCCCTCCTCCCCTCCCTCCCCTTCCCTTCCTCGCTCTTCCACCCCTTTCCCACGACACATTTGGGTATTTCTATTTTCCCCTCTCCCTCTCTCCCCCCTCCCCCCTTCCCCCCCAGGTTTGTTATTGATTAATGCTACTAACTATACAACAACTACAGTTATTTCCTTCCCCAACTATCCAGCTTAATGCGGATTCTGTCTCCAAATTAACCCCCAGGTTGCCAGCTCCTTCAGCCACATGCTCAACCTGCACAACCTGACGGAGGAGGTCAACAGCAGCCAGATAGGCAGGGCCGTGAGGCTGGGGGAGGTGAGAGGGGTGGGGGAGTTACGGGGGGTTCCCAGAAGGAGAAGAGTATACCGAGTGTGGTGTTTGGTGGTATGGGGGGCAGTGTGGTATGGAACAGGAGCTCCGCCGGAAGAAGGGAGAATGAGGTGACCCATGGGTCGCGCCTCGACAGACCTTGCGTGGCAGCTACGGTGGTAGGGGTAAGAAAGCAAGCCCTGCCACTCCTCATGCCCTCCCCCCGCCTCCCCCCCGTTCCCGCCCTCGCAGATGGACTCCCCCACGCGTGACACCAACCACTCGCTGCTCAAACTGACAACCGTCAACGGTCTGTCGCCGCAGCAAGTGTACGACTCGCTGTGTTCCCAAACAGTGGAGCTCGTACTGACGGCGCATCCAACGCAGGTGGCTGGAGAAAGGGGCTGTGTGTGTATCGTGTGAAGGGGGGAAGAGCACAAGGGAACAGGGTCGGGCACCCCCAAGGGGCTATTTAAGGTTTTTACTCCCCTCTTCACCCCCCCTCTTTCAACTCCCCCCCTCTCCTCACCTCTCCTCCCCTCCCTGTTCCCCTGTCCCCCCCTGTTTCACTTAGATAATTTCCCCCCCGCCCCCCCTTAGGCCCTGCGCGCCAGCCTGCTCAAGAAGTACGCCATCGTGCGCCGGGAGCTGGACACGCTGCACTCCAAGCGCATGAGCGAATACGAGAAGATCGGTGAGGGGGGTGCGCTGGGGAGGGAGGGGAAGATGTATAAGTGAAACAACGAGTCCGGAGGCAGGGGAGGGTAGGAAGGAGGGAACTGACGAGCTGTATGACGGGGCTTCACCAGGGGGTGCAGGGGAGGGGGAAATGAGAAGTAGAAGAACCATGCGTTGAGTGATAGGCAGGGAGGAGCGGTAAGGGAAAGCAGGGAGGGGAGGGAGGATGGTGGCATGCACCTCTTGAGCTGCTGTTGTATGCGTCCTATCTCCCTCCGCGCCTCTTGATCCTCCTCCTCTGCCGCCCCACCCCGCCTCAACCCGCCCCGCCCGCTGCATGCTGCTCCCGCCTTCAGAGACGCTGGAGTCCATTCGTGCGGCGGTGCAGGCGGCCTGGCGTACGGATGAGATCCGCAGATCCAAACCCACACCGCAGGTGAGGGGGGGGGGGGGACACACACAGCGGAAGGGGGGAAGACCTGGAAGCAGGCTGAGGAGCTGGGAGGCCGCATGAGGGGCGTTCGGGTGCCCCCGGATTGCCTCAGCTCGCCTTCCTACACCCTCCGCCCACCTGCGCCATTGCATGCCGCCCCCATGTGACTCACATACCCAGTGTGCGTTGTCGCGCACCCTCGCCCCCATGACGCACCCATGCATGCCTGCACGCCCACACAACACATCGGATATCCTTCTTCTTTTCCCCTGCTCTTAATACCCGCCTCCCCTCTCCCTCCCTCCCTCTTCCTCCCCCCGTTGTTTCATTTATTAACTCCCCTCCCCCGCCCATTACCCAGGATGAGATGCGCGGTGGGCTGGCCTACTTCTCCACCGTCATCTTCGACGTGGTGCCCGTCTTCCATCGCCGGGTGGACACGGCGCTGGAGAAGCTGGGGCTGCCGCGACTGCCGCTGGACCGCATGTTGTTCAAGTGAGGGGGGGGGGGGTAAAGACCACATACCGAACCGTAGGAAATCACAGGTTAGGGCAAAGCAATGGGGGCAAGTGAAGGGGGGGGAGGGAGGGGGGCAGGGGGGGACTGGTATCCTCTAGAAGGGGGTTTCGTCCTCATTCACCGCCCATGGTTCTTCTTCCTGCCCCCCCCCCCCCCCCCCCCCCATTTCTTATATAATCCCCCCCCCCCCCCCACCAGGTTCGGCAGCTGGATGGGCGGCGACCGCGATGGCAACCCCAACGTCACGGCCGACACCACCCGGGATGTGGTAGTGCTGGCGCGGCTGGAGGCGGTCAACGCATACTTCAAACAGGTGGGTGGGGCGGGGGCGGGAGGGGTGTGGGTGGTGGTTGGGGAGAGGGGAAGGGCGGGGCTGGTGCGGGAGCGGGAGCGGCTCTGGGGGGTGGGTGGTCGGCAGGCGGTCAACGCGTTCCTCCAAACCCGTGCGCGGGTGTCTGCGGGTTTGGGACAGCTAAGGCCTCCCTGTAAGGCCCCCTTTAGCAGTGTCATCAACACGGACCCAAAGCACCTATCCATGCCCCCAAACTGCTCCACTTGCCCGTGCGGAATACCTGTGTCCCTATCACCCCACACACACACACCTGCCCGGACTCCATCTTTCGGCAATCACAGTACGTTTCGCCTCGCGGCCAGTTATTTTAACACACCTGCCCGCCCGCCCCCCCAGGTTGAGGGCCTCATGTTCGACCTGAGCATGTGGCGCTGCAGCCCCGAGCTCAAGGAGCTGGCGCAGCGCATCGCGGCGGCGGAGAGCCGCGACGCGGTGCGGGTGGCGGAGGAGCGCAAGCGGCGCAACTACGCGGACTTCTGGGCGCCCATCCCCGCCACCGAGCCCTTCCGAGTGGTGCTGTCTCACATGCGGGACCGGCTGTACAACACACGACAGGTGGGAGGGAGAGGGGTTAGGGTGGTCAAAGACCATACCGAACCATAGGGAACCCACAAGTTGGGACAAAACAAGGGTGGGGGTAGGGGGTGGGCTTTCGTCATGACACAACCCTTCCGCGACTCTTCCCCTTCCCCTCGAAAGGAAGGAAATGGAATTCGGATTGGGAGTAACATGACCATGACCTCTCTCCTCTTCCCCCTTTCCCTACATCGTATCCCCCCCTCCTCCCCCCCCCCATGGGTCAGAGTTTCCGCGGCTCAGTTTATCTAATCCCCCACCCATGCAGGTGCTGCACCAGTGCCTGATCCACCCCGCCCTCTCCGTGCGCGCCGCCCTGCGCGAGGCGGGCGCCTACGAGGATGCGGAGGACATGGCGCGCCCGCTGCAGCTCATGTACGACAGCCTGGTGGCCACGGGGGACGAGAGCGTGGCGCATGCGCGGCTGCTGGACCTGCTGAGACAGGTACGCTTGGGGGGAAGGGGGAGAAAGGGAAAGGGACGAGCTGTATGACGAGGTTTCACCATGCGTTGCTACGTTGGGAGAGGTGGGGGGAATGAAGCGGGGAGTGGCCGCGAGCCGGGACGCACCAGGGGCTCTACCCTTGCAGCGGGCTGGGTAGGAAAGGCGGTGTGTCACGGCGTGTACATCTCCTCTTTGCGGGGACATCTCCTCACTCCCCTCGCCCCCCGTACCCCACACCCCAATCCTCCGGTATATTACGGTCAGGGTCAGTGTTTCCGCGGCTCAGTTTACCGTATCTAATCCCCTCCCTCCCCTCTCCCCCCTACCCCGCTCCCCACCTCCCCCCCCCCCCCGCCCAGATCCGCACCTTTGGCCTCAGCATGATGGCTCTGGACATCCGTCAGGAGAGCGCCCGCCACACCGAGGTGATGGACGCGGTGACGCGCTACCTGGGGCTGGGGGCGTACGCGGGCTGGGACGAGGGCAGGCGGCTGGCCTTCCTGCTGGAGCAGCTGCAGGTGAGGTTGGGGGGGTGGGGGTGAGGTGGGGGTTGGGGGGGTGGGTGCGTTGTAAGGTCAACTATGGCCGCGAGACAGAACGTATTGGTCAGTCGCGGGAATCCGGCGTGGGGGTGTGTTCGTTCATTGGTTGTGGTTTGTGTGGTCCTCCCTCCCTCCCTCCTCGTGTTCGTGTGCCCCTGGTTTACACTTGGTCTTACCTGCCCACTCCTATCCCCTTCCTCCCTCTTCCCGGCTCAGTTCTCTCTCGGCGTAAACGTCCCTCCCCCCTCCCCTCCCCCCCCCCCCTCGCCTCAGGGCAAGCGCCCGCTGATGCCCCCCGGCATGGACATGAGCCCCGAGGAGCGCGAGGTGGTGGCCACCTTCCGCATGCTGTCGGAGCTGCCGGCCGATAGGTGGGGGGGCGGGGGGGGGGCATGGAAAAGAAGGATACCCAATGTGCGTGTGTGCGCAACGAGGGGGGAAATGAGGGGTACATATAAGGAAATTGAGAAGTGGGGTGGGGGATGAGGGGGGTGAATGAGGGGGAGGGGGAAGAAGCTACCTGACCGTATGGCGAGGACGGGTGTTTTGGGGGGGGGGGGGGGGCTAATAACCCCTGCTGACGTGTATTGAGCCCGCCCCTTTCAGTTCCTCCTTCCCTCCAGACAGTCCTCTCCCTCCCGTGTCATACGCACAGTTTCTTCCTTTGCCCCTCCCCTTCTGCTCTCTCCACCCGTCCCTTCTATTGTTTTCACCCCTCGCCTTCCCCCTCTCTCCCCCCTTCACCCCCCGCAGCCTGGGTGCCTACATCATCTCCATGGCCAAGACCGCCTCCGATGTGCTGGCAGTGGTACTGCTGCAGCGGGAAACAGGTGGGGGCAACAAAGCAAACGGTCGCGAGGCGGGACGTGTGTGGGTGGGTGGGGGCCTTAACACCCGTACTCGTCACCCCACCTCCCGCCCCACCCCCCACCCCCACCTCCCCCCCAGGCGTGCGCCCCGCCCTGCGTGTGGTTCCGCTGTTCGAGACCCTGGACGACCTGCACAATGCGCCCGCCACCATCTCCACTCTGCTGGCCAACGACTGGTACCGCAACCACATCAACGGGGTGCAGGAGTGCATGATTGGTAGGCGGGGGGTGTCAGGATGGGCGGGTTGAGGGGGTGGCAAATTATTAGATAAGTGCAACAACGCAGTCCCAATGGTGGGGGGTGGGGGGGTGGGGGGGATGGTGATGGGGGGGGGGTGGGATGGGGTGTGTCGGATACCGGTATGTGCCTGTGCGGAGAGCGTGATGATGCATGCATGCATGCATGCAGCTCCCCTGCCGGCCTGCTTCACACCCCTGCGCACCCGCCCGTGTTGGAATCCGCCAACGAGCTACGACCCCTGATCCTCCCCCCCTGCCCCCCCTCCTCACCCCCCCCCAGGCTACAGCGACAGCGGCAAGGACGCGGGCCGGCTGGCGGCCGCCTGGGCGCTGTACGAGACGCAGGAGAAGCTGGTGGCGGTGGCTCGGGAGTATGGGGTGAGGGGGCGGGGAGGGGGTGAAAGAAAAGTGGTGTGAAGGGGTGGTGTAAGACGAAAAGGCAACCCGGGATGGTTGGATACGTCTTTAGGACGTATTTATATGTATGTAGCGAGGGGCTTATGAGCCGAAAGCTTACAGGTGGGGCGGGGATGCGAGGGGGCATCCGGCGTGAGCAGCTGGGGGGCAGCTGGGAGGCACCCACCTGCCATATGCACTCTGCGCCGAGACCCCTATTGCGTCATTCCGTTTTTCCTGGCGTTCTCGACAGGCTTGTCCACCGCTACCACCACTTTCGCTGCTGCTCCTCCTCCCCTCCACTGCCCTCCTCCCTTGACGCTCCTTCTGACTGCCTTACGTGCTGCCCGGCCCCCCCCGCCCAGGTGCGGCTGGTGTTGTTCCACGGCCGCGGCGGAACCGTGGGTCGCGGCGGCGGCCCCACCCACATGGCCATCCGCAGCCAGCCGGCGGGCACCATTAATGTGGGTGGGGGGCCCCTGGGGAGGCTGCTGCTGAGGGTGCTGAGCGTGCTGCTGCTGATCCACTGGGCAATCGGGTAAACAGGAGGACAATGCCCTGCACCCCCCCCGTACCGCCAATCCTTGCCTCACCCTTCCCTCCCTCCCCCCTCCGAATGCGCTCACTGCATGAGTCGGGATATGGGATTGGGATTCGTTGTTTCACTTATATAATTTTTTCCTCCCTCCCCCCCCCCTGCCGCTCCTATCCCCATTGTCTTGCCCTAACTTGTGGTCTCCTATGGTTTGGTATGGTCTTTGACCCCCCTCAGGGCCACCTGCGCGTGACGGTGCAGGGTGAGATCATCGAGCAGCAGTTCGGCGAGAAGGAGGTGTGCTTCCGGACGCTGGACTTGTACACAAGGTGGGGGGTGGGATTAGGTAAACTGAGCCGCGGAGCCGCGGTGGGGGGGAGGGGTGGGGGGGAGAGGGGGTGAAGAGGAAACCACTAACTGACCGTGTTCTAAGGAGCCGTGAAGGCGCCGGAGACAGCAGCAGCAGCAGTGGTGCTGCGGAGGGAGGGGATTCCCCCCATTACAGCAGCAATGTCAGCCAACCCGCTGCGAACGATACCCCACACACCCAATGTTCCCCTCCCTCCCCCCCCTCCTCCTCCTCCCCTCCTCTAGTGCTGTGCTGGAGGCGGCGCTGGACCCGCCCCCCGCCCCCCGCGCCGAGTGGCGGGCGCTGATGGGCCAGCTGGCGGCTGACAGCTGCGACACGTATCGCTCCGTGGTGTACGGCACACCCGACTTTTACGAGTACTTCATGCAGTCCACGGCGGCGAGGTAGGGGGGGCGGGGAGAGGGGGGAGGGAAAAAGAACAATTCCCAGTGTGTTCAATGATTATGACAAGAGGGAGGAGGGGAGGGAGGGAGGGAGGCGAGGTGGGGGGCAGGGGGAGGGGAGGGTTGGGAGGGAGGCGAGGTGGGGGGCAAAAGGACATGGTACTATGTTTGGATTAGGATGAGGTGGGGTACGCCAGCTTACTCCCTGCACTCTTCCCCCCCCCTTCACCTCACTGCTTCGGTGCTCTCCTCCCTCCACCTTCCTTGGGATTGGGGCTCCTGTTGCCGCACTTCTCATTTACGTTTTCCTTTTCCTCCCCCGCCTCTCCCCTCCTCCCCTCCCTCCCCCCCCCATCCCCCTCAGCGAGCTGGGTCGTCTCAACATCGGCTCCCGCCCCAGCAGCCGCAAGCAGGGCGGCATCGAGACGCTGCGAGCCATCCCCTGGATCTTCGCATGGACGCAGCAGCGCCTGCACCTGCCCGTGTGGCTGGGCATTGGGGAGGCGCTGGAGGCGGCGTTCAGTAAGGGTGAGGGGGTGGGTGGGTGGGATGCAGGGCGGGGGTGGGGTTAGGAGGGGGAGCGGGGGCGGGGTAGATGCGTGCGCGGCAGCTCACAGCGCCGTGTCGTAAGGTTTTGCACCGACGGGGAGGACGGCTGGGAATACAGCACCGTAAGCCCGACATACCATATACAGCCCGTTGCGTCCAAAACGAGCCCACAAACACCCGCCCCCCTTACCTTCCCTCCCTCCCTTCCCGCCCCCTCCTCCCTCCCCCCCTCTTTCAGGCCACCAGCCGGTCCTTCAGGACATGTACGCCAACTGGCCCTTCTTCACATCCACGCTGGACCTGGTGGAGATGGTGCTGGCCAAGGCGGATGCGCGGCTGTCCGCATTCTACGAGCGCACGCTGGTGGAGCCGCGACTGGCGCACCTGGGGGAGCGGCTGAGGAGCCTGTGAGTGTTTGTGGGGGGAGGTGGTGGGGGGGGGGGGGTAAAGAGGAAACAACTAACTGGCTGTTGTTTGGGGAAGACGAGGGGGAGGGGGGAGGGGAGTGCATGCAGGGGGCTTGCAGGAGGGGAATGCCCGATAATGATGAGGATGAGGATGAGGATGAGGAGCCTTGACGCCTCTCCTCATTACTCCTGACTGGTTTTCTCCCGTTTTGACCGAACCTGCCCTTAGCCTCACCCCTCCCCCTTAGCCTCACCCCTCCCCCTTAGCCTCACCCCTCCCCCTTAGCCTCACCCCCCCCCCCTGCTCCCCCTCCTCCTCCTCCTCCTCCTCCTTCCCACCCCCCCACCCCACCCCCCCCCCAGCCTGGCCAACACGCAGTCCAACATCCTGATTGTGGTTCGCAAGAGCGCGCTGCTGGAGGGCAACACGCCCTCCCAGATGTCCACCCCCAACCTGGACGAGAAGATCAGGCTGCGTTCGCCGTACGTGGCGCCGCTCAACGTGCTGCAGGCGCTGAGCCTGCGGGGTCTGCGGAGGTTCAGGGAGCAGGGGGGGGACGGAGTGGGTGAGTGGGGGGGAGGGGAGAGGGGAGAGGGGGAGGGGCCAGCAGGGCGTGTCAAAACACATACACACACAGCTATGCATGGTACGTCATGGTACGTCATAGTCAGTACCGTAAAACAGTAGTACGGCTACGCGGCTGAATCGACTCTCAAAACATACACGCTTCCACACCCGCACCGCATCCATGATTGTTTTCTCTTCCCTCCGCCCCTCCCCCCTCTCCCCCTTCCAACAGAGTACAACCCCTCCGACCCGGAGATCATCGACCTGCTCTCCCGCGACCCCAAGGCCAGCCGCTGGCGTGCGGCCGGTGCTGCTGCCGGGGGTGAGGGCGGTGCGCAGCAGCCGCAGCAGCCGCAGCACCCCTACCAGGCGGCCATGGACGACTGCCTTATGATCACCATCAAGGGCATTGCAGCGGGTGGGTGGGGGGGGTGGGGGAGGGTAAAGAGGAAACAACGAACTGACTGAGGGATAAGGCGTCAACATGGGGTGCGGGGTGGACAAGGAGGATAGTGGGAGTAGCAAGTGGGCTGGCGCCTCTGTATGGTATTTCATGCATCGCTGTGATGCGCGGTGCACCTGACCCCATTCCGCTCCCCCCCCCTCCTCTCCCGCAGGCATGCAGAACACCGGGTGAAGAGGGACGAGGGAACGAGACGGGGCGAGGCGAGGCGAGAGAGGAAATGTCGGAGCACGACCGTGCCAGGTCCCGGCTGTTGTTGTTGTTGTTGTTGTTGTTGCTGCTGCTGTTGATAGGCGTGGTGGTGGTGGTGGTGGTGGTGGTGGTGGTGGTGGGAGGTACGGCTGGGGGTGTATGTGATTGGATGCACACGCAGCTGCACAGGAGGTTCCCCGCCTTGCGACATGCGTTGAGGAGTCTGTTTGTTGTTGTGGGTCAGGTAGCAGCTGGTGGCAGGCGCAGACGACTTCCGTAGCATGGAGTGGACACTTGTACGCTAACTGAAGAACGCCTGGAGCGACCGGCCGGGCTGTATAAGGGAGTGTTCGTCTACCGGTACTTGGAGGTTCATGTGCGTGTAGGTGGATGGGGGGGATGGGGGGGGGGTGTGAGTAGCCCTTTTGGGGGTAAAGAGGAAACATCGAAAGTCCTGGGGTGACTGGCCGTCCCAAGGGTGTGTCCAAGGTGTGCATGGGCGCATGTTTGGACGGGCGGGTGAGAGCGGACGAGCGTTGTTTCTGGTGCGCAGGATGATGCGTGCATGTACGACATGTTGGAATTGTTTGGTCGTCTTGGGAGTCCGAGATTGAAGAGCCAGCCATGTGCAAAATAGCTTAGGGAGGGTGTTCCTTGATAAGAGGATGGAGAATGCACGCATTCTGGCATGCTTGCATGCACGAATAAAGCTGCATGATAAGGACAGAGATGGCGGGCAGGTGCACTTGTCTCAGCTGCTGCTGCTGCTACTGCTGTATGTACAGTAGATGGTGGCCTGGTGGCCTCCTTGCACGCCGCCAAGCTCTCCCAGTCCTTGCATAGCGCATGACCTAGGTATTTTAATATCTCGGAGCCATTAAGACCCAGACGAGCCAGTAGACTCATGGACCGCACGCGATCCACGACAGCCTCAACGGGCAATCCTCCCGTACGCCTGAGGTAGTCATACTGGCTTGAGCAAGTTGCGTTTGTCGAGCGCTATACCGCCCGATTATAATAGCTGGTTGCAGCTGCAACCCCAGCGCTTCCGGCAGAGAGGAGATGGCAGCTTTGCGCAAAGGGCTAGGGCTGCCCCGAGAGTGTTCCCAGCAGCAGTGGACAGCTCGGCCGGGATTTCTGTTTAGCCGGTTCCATGTTGCGACACCTTTTGGAGGTGCGAGGAGAGCGGTTTGCAGCAGGGCCAGCCGCGAGCAGCAGCTGCTTCAGGAGTTGCTCGATCTTATGAAGAAGACAAACAACAAAGTCGGAAAGCTTTCAAAACAGGTAGGGATGTTGAGATAGACGCGCGCTTTCCCTTACATGTAAGGAGGACGACCGGACCATGTTGAAGCTTTCGCGGAACAGGTTCAACGTTTGGAGGCACGGGTATGCGAAATGTACGAATTCACGAGCTTGCCTCTGATCAGCGGTCACTTTGGAAACGACTTCGCTGACAGCGTCGACCTGCGGAGCGCAGCGCACATTGTAGACCATATCCTGAACCTCGCGCTTAACCTGGACTTGAATGGGTTGAAGCAGCGTGGGGTTCTCATTAACGCCCTCGAGGAGTACGTCCTAAAAGACGTAAGTGCTATGCGGCTTTACTTGGCCTTTCATCCAAGTATGTGATAACTCCCATCCCTTGAAACTATGCCCTCACGCCGCCTTCACGCTCCCCTTTGTAACTCCCCTGCAGCGCCAAGGCCTGCGCGCAGCTGTGCGGGCTCTCATCGATGAGGCCTGCGAGGAGGCGGGCGTGTGCATGATTGCCCCACCCTCGAACTTCCAGGTAAACTCCTTTGCTACTCTCCCACACCACCCACCTCCACACCCTCCCCAGCCAGACCCCTAGACCCCATTCAGCTCCTTATCTTTCAAAAACCCACATACACATGTCCCCCGCAACTATACACATGTCCCCCGCAGGCCGGCACATTCCCCAGCAACCCAATCCGGTCCCCCACTCCCCACCGCCTGCCAACCCCATCCTTACCCAACCCCCTTCCCACCCTCCCTCCTCAGCCCTTCCCCTCTCCCCCTCCTTCCTTGTCCTCTCTCCTCCCCTTCTGCCCTTCCTCATCCCCACCTGCATACTTACTCCTATGTCACCCCTCTCCTCCCCTCCCTCCCCTTGCCGTCTTGTTCAACGCATTGGGTGTTCCGATTCCCCCCTCCTCCCCCCCTCCTCGCCCCCTCTTCCCCCCCTCTTCCCCCCCTCCTCCCCCCCTCCTCCCCCCCTCCTCGCCCCCTCTTCCCCCCCTCCTCCAGACCGCCAGCTGGGACGACATCCGCGCCGTCCTGCAGGAGCTCCAACACGGCTTCTCCGCCCCCGCCGCCGCCAGCAGCGGCCACCTGCTGTCGGAGGGCGGCGGTGGCGCGGAGGAGCGCATCACCAACCTGCTGCGACTGCTGGACGCGCTGGAGGCGGCGGAGCGCACCCGGGCTGCTGCTGCTGCCGCTGCTGCTGCCGCTGCCAGCAGTGCCGCCAGCAGCAGCAGCAGCATCAGGAGCTCCGCACTGGCAGCGGCGACAGTAGGAGGGAGCAGTGGCGGTGTCAGCAGCAGCAGCAGCAGCAGCTTGAACGGCCTAGGCAGCGGCAGCGGCAGTGGCAGCGGCAGCCTGGGAGGGGGCGCCAGCAGCAGCGGCAGTGCGCTGGCTGGGCTGCCGAGGCCGCTGCCGGCTTTCATGGAGATGGCGACTGCGCTGGCGGGGGCCAACCGGGGCTGCGCATCGCGGGTGGCTCTGGACTGCCGGGGGCGGATCGATGTGCGGGAGACGTTCATCGAGTTCCACTTTGGCGCCTTCAAGGGCGTCAACTCGGGTGGGTGGGGCGAGGTGTGGGGTGGTACGGTTCAACGGTGTTAGGGTACCGTAGCTGGTGTCAGCGTGTTACGACAACTCCTCCTTTCCCTCCTCCTTTCCCTCCTGCCCATCCGCACACCCCACCCGCACAGGCCTCCCCGAGACCTGCCAGCAGCTCCGGCGAGCAGCCCGGCTCTTCGTGTGGGCCTACCGCGTGCTGGAACCGCACCTGCAGGCCCCACACGCGGGGGCAGCGGGAGCAGCAGCACGGCAGCAGCAGCAGCTGCTGCTGACTCAGCCGCCGCCCCAACGGGATGTGGCAGCCATTGGATACGCTTTCACCCTGGGGAAGGCGCCTCCGCACGATTCGTTGTTGAAGCTGTACGATGAGTTTGAGGTCGAGGTGGGCGGCGTGAGGCGCGAGGCGGACATTGCGTACCGGTACTTTTCGGTGCGACCCACGGGTCTGCATGAGCACCATGCCAGGGCGTGAGACGAATGGTTGAAAGGTACACGCCGTGTACGGCTTGCGTGGGAGGGTACGGTGTGTAATGTACGATATGAGATGCACGAATGCAGGAGCGGCAATGCGTGTGGGGGAAGGAACGTGAGAGATGGGTGAGAGGGTTACCGGTTGAAGGGGCTGTCGGCAGGGATTGAAGTGAGGCTTATCTTTTTGTTGTGTACCTAGTATTGCTTTCGTGTTGTCTGCTCCTTGAAGTTTAAGAACATGGCAAGGCATGAAGGCCGTAAACTGTGTGTGGCAGGGCGACACAGTCTTGGGTGCACGCGGTTGCAAAGGTGCATGCGTCGGGTCGGTCCGTCGGTCGGTCCCAACGGTGCGGTGTGCCTGACCTGCCTCTTGGAGTGTGTTTGCTCGCTGCATTCGGTAGGGAGGTTGTTTGTCCGCGCGCAAGCGCAAAAAGGGAAAGAAAGCAAACACAGCAGAAGAAGAAAGAAGGAGATAATAAGGACAGCTAAGAGCCACATGCATGTGACGCTACGGGCGGGCAGCGCGGTGTAGGACAGTGCTCAGTAATCAGTGCGAGGCTGGTGGAAGGGGGGGGGTATAAAGGGGTGTGCGGCGAAATGCGGGTCTTGGGTTATTATGCACCCGCCAGCTTTGTCGTGTTAAGCGATGTGACGTACGTTATTGGCTTATGCGGGTTGCGCGGTTGTGGGGCGCGTCCTTGCGCTTTGGTGCTGCATGTGTATCTTTATGTATTGTTGTGCCGCATTTGTGTGATCTCCGTATACAGTAGATCTCCCGAGGTGTCCCGAGGTATGTAACTCCCACAGGTTTGGCTTGTCGGCACTGCGCCAGAGCCGGACTTATTGGGATGTCACTAGGAAGGAACACATGCACCGTTACAGTGTTGCCGCTGCAGTGTTCGCACGTACGATGGCTATTTCTGCTTTTCCTTTTCGACATCCACCTCCCCCTCACCATCATCAGCCCGGCGTGCTGTCCGTGTGGTGGGAGCGGTCGGGAGCATGGCGAGGGGTTTTCCTGCTATCTAACGATGGTAACAAGTTGTGTGAGCGGACCAGAGTGGCCCGCCGTTTCCCTGGCAGACAAGCAACTATGGGCGCTTGTGTGATCTACTGACTGGCTAGCTGTACGGCATCTCTTGTCGTGCGTGGACGGAGTTGTCGGGCGTTTGTCAGCTTGGGTGTTTGGTATCGCACGCGCTTATTATGCACTTGCGCTGGTGCCTGGTATTGATGCTTTGTTTAGGATGCTATGTGAAGGAGTAAGACGCGGGAGAGGGAGAGGTCGCGGTACGGGTAAGAGGCATGTGCCTTGCGTGCTGCATGTTTGCTACTTTGCTTGCTTGCTGTTATATCAGTTCAGTCTGCTGGCCATGATGGGATGCTTCCTATAGCGGCTGTGAAGTGCTTTGGTCGCCCAGGTGCGGGGCGGGTGCGTGTGTGTGAGCAGGAGGTGCGCGCGTGTGTTGGAGGGGGGTCCACTGCATACCGCAAGCCGCCTGCGCTGCGCTGGGCCTGCCTACTCACAGACGCTACCCATATAAAGCAAGCTGCTTTGACTAGGCTTCATCAACCTACTAAAGTGTTGTACACATAAGGAATAAAGGGCGCTTTACGGCATTCAGGCTTGCTGTATGCACGCGCTCAATGGTAAAGAGCGCTGCTGTGGTGCGTGTGGCACGGACCGAGGTTGAAACGAGGGCATAGGACCGGAGGGAGCGTTCTCGCTGCATGCGTCGTCATGCGTGTGGCTCTGTTTTGGTACAAGGCAGGAGGGGGAGGGTGCGTGCGTGAACGCGTGTTGTTGTCTATACTGGTAGGCGGCTGCATACGTGGTGTTGTTGTTTGGCTGTGTGAGATGTGTTTGCGGGCGGAGGTAAGCGAGGGAAGAGGAGTTGGTGAGGGTGTAAGGTCTTTTTGTCAGAGGCTTGGGAGGAAGGTGGGTGAGAAGGTGTCATGGAGTTGTAGTAAGGTGTGAGCCAAGGAAGGTGCCACCGAGCAAAGTAAGCGGGAGGGACATGCCACATGCGGCTTGATGGTGGAGGGCTCATGCTCGAATGGAAGGAGACTGGGCTCGGAGGTTCCGGGTCATAATTTGGGACATGAGATCGTGGTGTCATGGCAGTGCAGTGTGTAACACGCACGCAGGCTGGCATCGGGGTGACACACAAGCCCGTTTAGTAGAACGTGTAGGCAGGAGGATGCGGCTCGTGTCAACCAGTGGCACCAGGTGACTGTCGTCCAGCGTGCCGTTATGGTTATATGCATTTGTACCCTGGGGCATAAGATAGACAGCCGCGTGCACAGAGTGCGCAAGCATGCTATGTATATTTGCACAAGGCCTTCATCAGTGACGCTGGCAACTAACAAGGAAATTGGTACGGCAAGCAGAATCAGCATGGCTTGCAGACGCATCCGCAAGAGCTAGTGAGCAAATACCAGCAAGGCAGGCCACCATGGTAGGCTACCAGGACTTGGGCATCAATTTGTGGAGTCGGATGCACAACCGTTATGAAATCTGCTCGAGCAGGCCACCACCGCCAACTGCTAATTCACGCGGCTTGGAGCCCATCTGGGAAGATGAAACGTATAAAAAGATATTGAACGATACGTATTATAATTGACTTTCTCATTACTTCGCCGAGAACATCTCCCCAAGGGTCCCATGATTCAGGTGCGTCACAGTCTGCAGGCTGCCCCAGTTAATAGGTCTTTACCTTTTGACAGTAAAAGATATAGGACATACGTTGGTGTGGCGACCGTCTGTCGGTAATGCTAGGGGCCTGCTTAAGTATGCACAGTCAGCTTGGGACAGTGCAAAGAACATAACAAATAGGAATGAAAGAACATTGAGTGCGCATTGGGAGGGCGCCAGCAGAAGTTTATTTAAATTAATGTTGAGACAGACCCAGCTGTCGCTCTTACATCTACGCTATTATCCAGTTACATTTGTACCTGCGCGCATTGCGAAGCGTCAATACCTTACTGATTAAACCCATGCCCATACCCTGGAGTAGGCTTGAAGTTCAACGGTGTTGGGGGCCTGCTTATCTACTGGCATGCTAGCGTTACGGTAGGTACGATCAAGGGTCTTGGGACCAGCAGCATGCAGGGTTAAGCATTATGATGTCACTGATGTCTCTTACAATAGCAGGTTGATGGCAGCAGCGCCAGTAAAGGGCGCAAGAATACCTTCGCAATGTCATTATTGTTCATATTAAGTCTAACATTTATCTCACAGACTCTGTGGACCATCTGACGGTACTACTGTCCACTTACATCCACATTTGTCATTCCTACAGATGCAATTATTGATAAGGGTTAACCGGATAATCACGGCTGGTAGCACATGCTATCAGACACCTAGCTGCTCCATTGAATCACGGGGTATTAACAGGATACACGGACCATCCCTTAGTCGTACTTCTTGCCGTGATCCCAGCTGTCCTTCTTGCCGTACTCCCACTCATACTTCTTGCCATCCTTCCTGTCGTACTCCTTCTTGTCATGCTCCTTCTTGTCGTCCTTCTTGCCGTGCTCCTTCTTGTCGTCCTTCTTGTCGTCCTTCCTGTCGTCCTTCCTGTCGTGCTCCTTCTTGCCGTGCTCCTTCTTGTCATCCTTCTTGTCGTCCTTCTTGTCGTCCTTCTTGCCGTGCTCCTTCTTGTCGTCCTTCTTGTCGTCCTTCTTGCCGTGCTCCTTCTTGTCGTCCTTCTTGCCGTGCTCCTTCTTGTCGTCCTTCTTGCCGTGCTCCTTCTTGTCATCCTTCTTGTCGTCCTTCTTGTCATGCTCCTTCTTGTCGTCCTTCTTGCCGTGTTCCTTCTTGTCGTCCTTCTTGTCGTCCTTCTTGCCGTGCTCCTTCTTGTCGTCCTTCTTGTCGTGCTCCTTCTTGTCGTCCTTCTTGCCGTGCTGCTTCTTGTCGTCCTTCTTGCCGTGCTCCTTCTTGTCGTCCTTCTTGCCGTGCTCCTTCTTGTCATCCTTCTTGTCGTCCTTCTTGCCGTGCTCCTTCTTGTCGTCCTTCTTGTCGTCCTTCTTGTCATGCTCCTTCTTGTCGTCCTTCTTGTCATGCTCCTTCTTGTCGTCCTTCTTGTCGTCCTTCTTGCCGTGCTCCTTCTTGTCGTCCTTCTTGTCGTCCTTCTTGCCGTGCTCCTTCTTGTCGTCCTTCTTGTCGTGCTCCTTCTTGTCGTCCTTCTTGCCGTGCTCCTTCTTGTCGTCCTTCTTGCCTTGCTCCTTCTTGTCGTCCTTCTTGTCGTCCTTCCTGTCGTCCTTCCTGTCGTGCTCCTTCTTGTCGTCCTTCTTGCCGTGCTCCTTCTTGTCGTCCTTCTTGTCGTCCTTCTTGCCGTGCTCCTTCTTGTCGTCCTTCTTGCCGTGCTCCTTCTTGTCATCCTTCTTGTCGTCCTTCTTGCCGTGCTCCTTCTTGTCGTCCTTCTTGTCGTCCTTCTTGCCGTGCTCCTTCTTGTCGTCCTTCTTGTCGTCCTTCTTGCCGTGCTCCTTCTTGTCATCCTTCTTGTCGTCCTTCTTGTCGTGCTCCTTCTTGTCGTCCTTCTTGCCGTGCTCCTTCTTGTCGTCCTTCTTGCCGTGCTCCTTCTTGTCGTCCTTCTTGTCGTCCTTCCTGTCGTCCTTCCTGTCGTGCTCCTTCTTGTCGTCCTTCTTGCCGTGCTCCTTCTTGTCGTCCTTCTTGTCGTCCTTCTTGTCGTCCTTCTTGCCGTGCTCCTTCTTGTCATCCTTGTTGTCGTCCTTCTTGCCGTGCTCCTTCTTGTCGTCCTTCTTGTCGTCCTTCTTGCCGTGCTCCTTCTTGTCGTCCTTCTTGTCGTCCTTCTTGTCGTCCTTCTTGCCGTGCTCCTTCTTGTCGTCCTTCTTGTCATCCTTCTTGCCGTGCTCCTTCTTGTCGTCCTTCTTGCCGTGCTCCTTCTTGTCGTCCTTCTTGCCGTGCTCCTTCTTGTCGTCCTTCTTGTCGTCCTTCTTGCCGTGCTCCTTCTTGTCGTCCTTCTTGCCGTGCTCCTTCTTGTCGTCCTTCTTGTCGTCCTTCTTGCCGTGCTCCTTCTTGTCATCCTTCTTGTCGTCCTTCTTGCCGTGCTCCTTCTTGTCGTCCTTCTTGCCGTGCTCCTTCTTGTCGTCCTTCTTGTCATCCTTCTTGCCGTGCTCCTTCTTGTCGTCCTTCTTGCCGTGCTCCTTCTTGTCGTCCTTCTTGTCGTCCTTCTTGTCGTCCTTCTTGCCGTGCTCCTTCTTGTCGTCCTTCTTGTCATCCTTCTTGCCGTGCTCCTTCTTGTCGTCCTTCTTGTCGTACTCCTCATACTTGTTTTCCTTGTCGTACTCTTTGCCGTCGTGCTCGACGCCGTACGTCTTGTCGTACTCCTCGCCATTCTGGATGCCGTACGTCTTGTTGTACTCCTCGCCATGCTCAATGCCGTACGTCTTGTTGTACTCCTCGCCATGCTCAATGTCGTACGTCTTGTTGTTCTCCTCGCCATGCTCAATGTCGTACGTCTTGTTGTTCTCCTCGCCATGCTCAATGCCGTACGTCTGGACGTAGTCCTTTACACGCTCCAGGTAGTCCTTCTCGGCGAGCTTCTTCTCATGCTCCAGCGTCTCCCGGCTAGCCATGGCATGGCCGGCCAGGGCCAACACCAGCACTAACGCGATGACCAGAGGTCGAGACATGTTGATGATAGTAGTCGTACAACCTGGTTATTGCCGGGTTGATGTTGGCAATATGTTGTACTGGGATGGGTGATTGCCAGATGGGAAATGGCTCGCTTAAATAGGCCTGACCGCTGGGAACGTGTGATCGGTCGTACAGCCACCTAATCAGCAACTGCCTCGTCCGGCCTCGTGGTGAACATTCCGAGATCGGTCCGTCCAATGCTGTGAACTAGACGTCGTTAGCTCTGCCTGTTACAGGGCATACACATGCAGCAGGTACTTGGGTTTGCCGTTGCTTGTCAAACTTAAATGTCGGCCCAAACAATAACTGCGACTACTGTTCAGGCCGTGGCACCTTGGCGAACACGCGTACGCGGCTGCGCTCAGCATGGTGCCCTGCTCACCACAGAAATCGCGCAACAGTGCTAGAGAACTTGTAATTTTGGTTAGTCCGATAACTGCACAGTGTGCAATACGGGGCAGCAGGTAGGTCCCAAATACTGTCCCCATTAGCCGCCGTTCTTTCATAACGTTCCTCCTGGTCCACGTCCCTGCCTGAAGCCGTATACTAGCTACTTCCTGCTAGTCGCGTCATAGCCTATTTAGTTGATCCACGTTTACATGTTACAATACCCGTCCGCCAACAGTGCCCGCGCACGTCCGCCTGATGGCATATATACATGTATGTCCGGTGCCTAGCCAAGTAGGAAACGCGGCTAGCAAGGGCAGTAACGTGAAGTAGGATCACGTGCTTTGCCCCAAGCCCCTCCTTATGTCTAACCCAACGACTTACCGCCTAACATTACCCCCGAAATGGCGCTATCTCTGCAAGGACCGCACCCACTCGCATGCCGATCGCGCTTTCCTGCCTTGTTTCTTTGGCGCATGAACCTTGTTAAGGCAGCCACACCAACCAAGAGGGTCCCACTACCTCCAACGAGGGCATACGCCCTAACAGTGATACGAGGCAGTGACCCATACCAACCATTAGGCGTCCTCGGAGGCCGCAGCCGGTGCAGATACCGCCGCTATCTACGGGGCAAGAAAGTATGGGTGCCCGACTCCCGTGGCGTGTACAACATTCTTCGTACAGTGTCACCTTATTAACAGTATGTGCTGGTGACATGAAACTTTGCTTTGCTTGGAAGTTGCAGTTCGTAGTCCGCTTCCTCTTCTGCTGCTATCTCTAGTTAGCCATGCATGTGCCAACAGCAGCAGGTGTGCACTGCACTGCAAGCAAGACAGGTGCAATTGCTCCTTCAATGCAAGGACCACTTTTCCCGAGCCATCCATACATGCATCCTCCGGAGCCCCTGATGCATGCTTGCATGCATCTGTTACAAAGCAGCAGCAATATTCGGCATGCATTACCGGCACACATGTGGTTGTCACTCTGAAGACTGGTTGTCGATACCACCGTAATCCTAAGCAGGCGATGCCCATGCAACCCATGCATGCAAATCAAACTGGCCCATGCCCCTGCTGCCTCCGTACAAGCCACACACTTCATAAATGCTGGTATGTAGCTCCCGTGCTCTTCAAGCCATATGTTATGTTACTTGTGATGCGCTCTTACTACTCCACGCCCATCCTTCGGGTGTGTTTCCGCCTTGTTGTCGTACCCTCGGCGTACGGAAGTTAGGCGCAAACATTAATTCATCATGTTTTACCGGAAACCACCATGACCCGCACCTCGTGATGCATGATGATCAGTCGTGTTTCACAATCCACATCAAGAACCACCATGCCAATAAGCATACAACGCTGGGTCACCATGGAAGTCACGTTCAAAACACGGCAACCGTACGCAAAGGCAGCCGCCGAGGAAAGCTGTGTCACACCCATAGCCAAAGCAAACACATGGCCGCCACAAAAGGGATGTAAGTAATAAGCGTAGGGTAGTCAATCAAGACAACAAAATCCACGGCGCAAATAAACGGATTCGTTGAAGCTTGCAAACTTCAACAGGTCTTTCGCAATCCATTCAGAATGTCGCACACTGCCTCAAGAACACTCACACTCTCACAGTCTCACAAAACATCTTCCAACAACTCCGACTCGCGGCCTTAACAAAACATCACTCGACATTGACACGCCTCTCATGCTTTCTCCCTCTCCCTAGCTAGACCGGCACTGTATTGCTGCCCAATGGGCCACAACCCATGATGAGCGGCAATGAAATGGCCAAAACTGCATGAAGCTCAACGCATACAGGAAACGTAGGAAACCGCGGAACAGTTTTTGGTCACGGCTGCTTTTCATGGGCGTCAAAGGAGCACACCGTACGAAATCGTAAAATCGTACAATAGGGATCCTGTGCGGATCCAAGATAGGGAACCGCCCCTGTTGCCGATCCGTGATAGGGTTCCACGTTTGCATTTACATGTTGCATGTCGTTGCAGCAATCAGCAACAATACGGCATGCATGCATGCATGCCGGCAAAGAGCAGCTGTAAGTCCGGCTCATCAAGCAAGGTGCTTGCTGCTGCTCCCCAACCCAACTACTTGGCTGCGGCGGTGGCTGCGGCGGTGGCGGTTGCCTGCCGCCGTTGCGGCCGCTCGATCTCGCGCCAATCTTCCTGAAGCTCATGCCAGCAGCGCGGCTCCACACCCGTCAGGCTGCAGGTTGGTCAGGGTCGGATTTGGGGACGGGGAAAAGATAAAGAAATGAGAAGTGAAGCAACGGGGACAAGGGGGGGGAAGCGAGACGGCGGGGCGGGGGAGCCGAGGTAAGCAAGAAGGTGATAGGACACGTGCGCGTGAAGAGAGGGACGCCCGGGGCGGTGCTCCGATGGCGCATGGGCTCGTGTACTATGCTTCCATGCAAGTTGCCACCGCCTCCCGTCTACCCCAACCAGTCCATGCCCCTCTCCTGCCAGCTTTTCGCCTTTCATCCCCTTCTTCACCCTTCACCCGCCGCCCCTCCTCCCGCCCCTCCTCCCGCCCCTCTTCCCGCCCACTCACTCTCGGATCGCCTCCTCCATGCGCCGGAACACGCCCGAGCCGTCCAGCAGCGGGTTCCACCAGCCGCTCACGATGCAGTAGTTGTCGGTGAAGGGCGGGCGGTGGTGCGCGCCGTGCATGCGCCGACCGATCAGCACACCCGCGTCCTGCGTATCCGCAAGCACAAGCAGCAGCAGAGGGCGAGGAGTTGAACCGCCGGCATATGGGTGAAGGTGAAGAGGGTGGATGAAGGTAAAATGGGTCAAGGTATAATAGTGGGTGGCGCACATGAAGCAGCAGGTGCGCCGTACATCAAACCAGAATTCAACAAACACACACTGTGACGTTTCGCCTCGCGGCCAGTTATTTTAACACACTGTGACTCGCGGCCCGTTTCCTTCACACACGCACACGCACACGCGCACCCGCCGCACCTGCAGCGCCACCACCGCCGGGTGCAGCTCGCTCTTCTTCATGTGGCTCCACGCGTGTAGCTGCTGGCTGATGCACACGGTGAACAGGAAGGCGGAGGACCAGGCGTTCCAACCCAGCGGCATGAGCGGGCTGAGCGTCAGCAGCGCAGCGGCTGGGTAGCAGGCGGGACCAAACACCTGGGTGTGTGTGTGTGGGGGGGGGGGTCAAACACCAGGTACCAAACCATAGGAGACCACAGGTAAGGGCAAAGCAATGGGGGTAGGAGGCGGCAGGGCGCCACAAGACAGTGTGTGTGGGGGGGGGCGGGGCGCATGCATGATGGTGGCCAGGAAGAGCGGAAGCCGGGCGGGCGGGAGAGGGAGAGGACGGGGAAGGAGTCGCTGGGTTGCACTACACACATGCCATAAAAGAAGACAAAGACCGAGACCGAGACACAACGTCAATGAATCACATGCGGTCAAAAGTGACGCCCACATCACACCGCCGGCTCACAAATCACCATGCGTCACAAATCACCATGCAACCCAACCAGCCCCAACAAGCAGCAGCAGCCCCAACCCAACCAGCCGCCCCCATCAGCCGCCACCTGGTGCACGTTGTTGGCGAACTGGCGCTGTGTGATGGTCCAGGGGCGCTGGTGGTGTCCCTGGAAGGCCGCGATCTGGCGACCCACCAGCGGGGTGGAGGCGTCCCCGTAATTGTCCACAGCCCAGTGGTAGACGCCTGCAGAGCGCAGCATCAGCGGGAAGAGCGGCAGCAGAGGTCGAGTTGGGGTTGGGTTGGGGTTGGGGTTGTAGGGTGGTGGGAAGTGGGGCATGGCACGCCAAATGGTTTGCTATGGCATGCCGAATACCGGTACACGCATGGTGTATATACCCGTGTGCACGCAAGTCGTGCACTGTCGTGCATGTCATGCAACCGCCGGCTGCTGCCCCCCCCCAACCGCCCCACCGGTGCCCAGGTCCGCCAGGCTGTACGCCAGCAGCACAGCTGCACCAAACACCACCGCATCCTCCGCGTTGTGGACCTGGAAGCAGGAGACGGAGTTCGGAGGTGACCCATGGGTCGTTTTCAGGATTACTGGCCTGGGGTGTCCGGATACTCAGCTTGGATGATTGAAGATTGAAGATGTATACAGGCCGTTGCTTCCCTCTGTCTACAGTACAGCCCCACACCCCACCCGCCAAGCCCCCACTTGCATGCCTGCAACCCCTCCCATGCCCCCCCTCCCTCCTTGTTGTTATCCTCCCTCCCACCTGCCGTGTGGCCTGCTGCATGGTGGCGCCCAACAGCGCGATACACGTCCACGTCCATGCACGCTGCTCGGGTGTGGATCGCATCAGCTCCTCGCCCTCCTCCAACAGCACCCACTGCTGAGGATTCAGGGAGGAGTGAGCCGTGGCCGATGCTGGGGCTGACGCTGAGGAGGCTGTGGCGGCGGCGGCAGCAGTTGTGGCGGAAGTGGAGGTTCGGCTGTTGAAGGTGGTGCTGCCCGGGGGCCTCATGGGGAAGTCCTCGGAGGCGGAGGAGGCGGGGCGGAGCTGCAGGGCGGGTGTCTCCTCAAGCGAGGGGCTCTCTGTGACGGCTGCTGCTGCTGCTGCGATGATGAGGGGTGTGCGGGGTGAGGCGAACGACAGAGTGACGGTTGCAGCTGATGGTGTTGCTGGTAGTGCCGATACGGCGTGAGCTTCCTCTGCTGCTATTCCCTGCTATGGCAGGGTGGTTGGAGGCAGAGGTGGAAGACAGGTTAGGTGGCTGTGTGGGGAGGTTAAGTGGGTGTGCGGGGGCAGGTGGATGGGGTGCATGCATGCCCATGCCCATGCCCATGTCGAGGCGTTCAGGCGTGCCTCAGCTTGCGGGACACCGAACCGGGTAACCGAGGACAGCTGCTGCTGGTTGCTAGTTTGGAAGGTCGGAAAGAAAATCGGAACGCGGACACTGCTGGCCTCCATGCTCCTCGTCGTTTGCTGAGGTCGGTTCAGGGTGCCTCTGTCTCTTACGACTGGTTCAAGATTCTTCGGATTCGCTCCTTCCGTAAGAGTTATGAGCAAGGAATCTACCAGCACCGGCGGGGCTCTCCAAGCAAGAAAGGTGATTGTGTTTTGGGGTTGCATGTTCTAGACCGAGTGGAATACCTCCTAGTATGCCCCATGAAGCTATGACACGCGTGCAGCCGTACTAGCGCCGACGGGTTATCGTTGATGGCGTCATCGTTGGAACAGGGTAACGTGTTTTCCTGGTACCCGGGGCCATTTGAATGCAACAGCGGTATATGGTGTTCGGCTGGGTTGGGATGGAAACAGACTTAAATTCCTGGGCCGTTTGCCGAACGCCCAAAACCGAGCCTTAAACGAATGAAACACAGCCATAGCCACTTCATCACAGCAGTCACAAACGAAACCAAACAAAACAAAAAGCATAGTGAAATGAGATGCTTTCCAAACAGGATTGCCTCCATATCGCTTCGGGTACACCTCAGGGGTTCAGCTGCGGCGCTTATGCATGCATCCTCCGGTCAATCCAGACCCTACGAGCAGCACCCGCACGCCCCCATATCATGATGCTACAGACACCTATCCAGAGGCCTCTGCCTGCGTGTAGGGACCCGCACCATGCAATTATGCAGTATCTCACTCCACTCCCTCCGCCCAGCCGGAATTCAACCTAACGAGATGACATTCCATCAAACACGGCCACTTCCGCATTAAAGTTCCAACCCTAACTAGCAGCTTCCCTTCCTCTCTCCAGCTCACTAAACAGGTTTACGTATGTTGCCCTTGCTATAGGCATGCTAGTACTGCAGCAGGTTAGGTGACTGTAGCAGAGAAAAGAACAGCAGGTGCTACGGCTGTTGCTGTTGATCTTGTTGCAGTTTCAGATCGCGCCAATCATCTTGGAGCTTAAAGCTAGCGCCGCCACCACCAAACTGATCCACAGAAAGTAATTGGCCGACATTGCCTGCGGACCACCGGATGCAGTGGCGGTGGTGGCGGCAGCAGCAGCAGCAGCAGCGGCAGCAGCAGCAGCACTCTAGTTGCAAGGATAACCAGAAGGTCTTATGCGTGAGAATCTGTGCAGCAACAGCTGGCTCATCCTAGCAACTGGTGACAAAATAGTCGATAAGGCGAAGGGCTGGTGGTGAGGAACATGCCCCTTAGCTTGCGAGTCCTTAACACAGCGACGGCAGTTGGGAACGCGGTGTGGTGCGGTTCAGGGGCTGTGGCCTGGCTAAGGACTGTTGCAAACCCAGTCATGGCCCTCTTATTCCAGCTGGGCATGTGGGAGCAGTGAACGGGCGGTGCGAACGGGCTGTTCTGTGGGCGAGTAAGTCGCGCTAAAAGGGCGGGGACATCGATGGCTTTGGGGGTTGAAGAGAAAGGTGTGTACGGACACAGACATCGACAAGCTCGCAGACATCTTTGCTTAAGGTTATAGGAAAAGCAATACTCTTTAAAGGGCGTTCCTTTGCTGTAGCGGCTGGCTGCGACCGAGGGCGTTATTCATCCATACCCGCGGGTACTATCAACGGTACCGGCCGCTGAACGAGGCGAAAAAACCAAAGCCGCTATGCCTTTTTTGGTAGCTATAGTCATGTTTACCTTGTTTTCAGAGCCACCGAAGCCCGTGTACTCTGCCCGGAGCCGCGCCTTCATCTCCTTGCTCATGTTGTCTTTCCTTGGCCGCTGTTCCCAGGAAAAGGGCAAACAAAAAGCAGTGATATTAATGAGTAAGGTTCAAGGCGGTCGGCGGTGTAGGCCTTGCCAGACACGCAGCGCGCAGCGCAGACCACACGTTGACGAGCCAACCAACGGTTAAACTTGCGCAAAGTTGTTTACCGGCTACTCACCGGAGGCGGAGCATCTCCATCAATGTACAGTCCATCCGCTTCCTTCCTCACGGTAGGTGCGCCAGGAATTGTCACATCGTTGTCACCCTCCCTAAATTCTCGCGTCACCCTCACGCCGCCCGAAGGAGGATCCGCGCGCACGATGACTAGACGGAGTGGTTGTATCGCACGAATTGAGTGGCTTGCAGCGACACGCGCGCGGATGGTAGAAGATCGATTGGCGAGGGCCATTGTATCTCGGCTTGCACAAATGTTACTTGGCAATGTAGGAAGGAGGAGTGTTGCAACTCTATTGCTAGCAAAACATTATCGAATAGTTTGCGTTGTAGAGAGACGTCGAGCTTTAGCTGCCGTCCACGGCTCCATCCTTCAAAGTACGGCAATCCTCGACGCGTACCGACTCGTCAACACAGAGGCCTTGCAAACATCACGATCGTATTGCCCAGGTGACTGTGTACACAGTTGATGGTATGCGCTTTATCGATGGCGACAGCAGACTGTCGGACCATTTCACAGAAGCAACTGTTGCTTTAACAATCTACAGACTTACTAAGTTTAAACCATCACTATAATGTCATTTTACTTACTCAGGCTGAAGAGGTAGATCTTTGCGATTGGTAGCGGCTTTGCTCACAATGGGTTGGCCGGCACCATCGGAGCCATCGGAGCTGCCCCCTCCCGCTCCCGGTCCCACCAATGACGGCACCATTCACCTCTCCCCAATAGCGGTGACCCTGGCAGCCGCCGTGCTTTCCATTAACGCTATCATCTCTCTGAAGTTTAAGCTCGGGCTGCACACTCAATTGGTGGTAGCATCCGTCAGGTGTGAAGCACCGAGCTCCCGCCGTGCATGTAGTCGCCTTGCTGTGCACTGCTGTCCCCTAAGTCCTAACATGACATCCCAATGGGCTACCCACTTCGTCAACACCCAGGATGGTTGTGCAGCTGTCGTTGTTGGGCTACCTGCTGGTTCCAATCTTCTCGTACGACAGGTGGTGGTTGGTTCTGGTGTACGGCGGGGTGATGATGGCAGTGGCTTCCCTGGAGGCCGTGCAACGCCCAAGTTACACATTCCAGGCAAGTGTACCAGCAGCCAAGGTGGGCTTTGATGGGGCGCCCTGAGATGTAATGATGTAATGGGAAGGGTTCAGCCAGGAGGAGGGGAGAGGGCCGGGCATGGAGAGCTAACGGTGGCTCGACTGCCCTAACCCACACGCATCTCCCGACCACACCGACCTTCCCCCCCACCCCGGCCCGCCCTAACCCCCTCGCCATCACCCCTTGCCCCCTCCCCCAGGGCATGCTACCCAACACCCTACTCGCCATGGCCGGCTCCTCCGGCCTGCTGCTGTCGTACACGGTTCTTGTCGTACTTTCCGTACGGCCGGTGTGGGAGGCGCAGTACGTCATACCGCTGCTGGGCATGATCGCGGGCAACGCCACCACCGCCATCAGCGTTGGGCTCAACGCCGTTACGGAGGACTTGGCAGCAAGTGGGGGCGGGGTGGCGGGCGGGCTGGCGGGGCGGTTCAAACTGGGTGGAGGGGCAGGGAGGAGCTGTAGGTAAAGAGTGGTATGGCCCTCTCCGTTAGCTGAGCGGGCTACGAGACAGTCGAGACCGGGGAGTAGGTGGGTTGGGAGGGGTCGGGAGCTCCAGCTCCGGTCGCCCCTGTGCCCCCAAGCGCTCCCTGCATGAGTCGGCATTTGGGATTGGGAATCCGCTGCTGCATTCATCTTTTTATTCTTGCCCCCCTTCATCCCCACCTCGCTGCCCCAGACCGTGCCGTCACCGAGTACCTGCTGGCCCTTGGCGCCAACCGCTACGAGGCCACCGAGGAGGCGGTGCGCAGGGCGCTCAAGGTGGGGGTGGGGGGGCGAGGCGGGACGGGCGGGGGCGGGTAAAATTAAGGAAAGCGACGAGACAAATAAGAGCTGGGGGGTTACAAAAGGGAAGACATCCAATGTGGGGGGTTGGAGTGGGTGAAGGTGGGGTGGGGCGGAGGATGCCCGGCAGCAAGGTAAAGCAGCTCGGGACCTGACTCCACTGCTGACTCCTCCATGTACCGCTACACGCTACACCTCCTCATGCTGCTGCTGCTGTTGTTGCGTTAGCATGGGGGGCCCTGCGGTGGACACCCCACCTTCGCTGGGCCCCCCGCCACCTTCAGTTCCAACCGCCAGTGGGCCGCCTCCACCCCTCCCCCACCCCTCCCCCACCCGCTGCTGGCGCCTGCCGCAGGTGTCCATGACGCCGCTACTCAACCAGATGAGCGTCATGGGGGTGGTGTCCATACCAGGTGGGGGCAGGGCAGGGGCAGGGGCAGGGAGGAGGGGTGGGTAAAAGAATGAGACACTGACGATGCAACGGGATGGACGGGTGGGTGGGTGGTGGTGCCGGCTGCCCCTTCATGCACTGCCTCGCCACCTCTTACTGCTACCGGCACCGTGCCCTTTTTGCAGGTAGTAACGGTTTGGTGTCCTCCTGACCCACCTCCTGACGGCTGGTCCCGTCCCTCCCCGTCCCTTTCCCCGCCCCTTCCCCCTCCCCCCAGTTTGTCAGTGTTTCTTTATTTTTAACCCCCCCCCCTTTTTTTACTCCCCCACAGGCATGATGACGGGCCAGATTCTGGCCGGAGGCGACCCTGCACAGGTACGTACGGTTGTACGGACGGACGTACGGACAGGGGCAGGCGGGCAGGGAAAAGTAAGGAAACTGACGAACTGTATGACGGGTAGGCGGGCGGGCAGGCGGGCGGGCTGGTGGGTGGATGCTTCTGGTGGAGTGCAATCCACCTTTGCAACCGTCTTCTTAACCCGTTAACCGTCAGGCCCAACCCTCCTTCCCCGGATCTTTAACACATGCCGCCTCATCTCCTCCGTCCTCCGTCCCTCCTACGCTCCCCAGGCTGCTCGCTACCAGATGGTTATCATGTTTGGTAAGGCCGGGGTGGTGGGGGAAGGCACAGCCTTATAGTCCTGCTGAAAGACCTCTCCTCTCTCCTGTTCTCAGCTGGCCTATCCTGTCCTTCCAATCAACACCCCTCTTCTCAAACCCAACCCACAACCGCAGTCATCGGCGCCGCAACCTGCCTCGCCTCCGTCACCTCCGTCTACCTCGCCGTGCTTCACATCGTCGACTCCACTCACACGTTCCGAGCCGAGCGACTCATTCGCAAGCAGCGCGCCGCCGGCGCCGCCGCGATGTTGGCCGCATGGCGGGCGGCGGCGCGCCGCCACTGGGCCATTGCACGACGGAAGGGTACGGCACTCGGCAACTGCCTCGCCGCCGCCTGCTGCTGCTGCCTCTGCCCGCCGGTGTCGCCGCGGCGGACGCGAGCGGGAGTCGCTGACGGCAGCCGCCGCCTGAATCCGTACGGCACCGGCGGCAGCGGCCCCGCCACCGCCTCCGCTTGGTTCTGGCCGTCGGCACGTGCGTCTGGCGGCGGCGCCGCCGCCGCCGCCGGTGGCGGCAGCGCTGCCACACCACTGCGCGCACCGCTACTTGGTCGCAGCGGCGCCGTCAGTACGGCAGTCGGTACGAACAGCGGCGGCTCATCGTACGGCTACCTCTCGCACTCCGGCGGCGGCGGCGGTCACACGCTACATGAGCGGTTGCTAAGCGCCGGCAGTGCCACGTCCAGTGTGCTAACGGCCGGCTTGGACGCCGGTCTAGCGTCGCCGCAGTCGCCTCGGTCGCTCGGTCTGCTGGGCGCGTCGCCGCCGCCGCAGACGCCGGCGGCAGCGACAGCTGCAGCAGCAACAATGACGTTGCAGCCGCAGCCGCAACAGCTGTATGCAGGGGGAGTACGAGGGACGGGCGGGCGGGGAGGTGGGGAGGGAGAGGAGAACGGCAGCGGCGGCGAAGCTGCTGGTGGCGGCGGAGGCGCCGGCGTGCAAGGAGGGTTGTACGACACAGAAGAGGGCGGTACGGCGGGCTTGCACGAGCAAGGACAGGGTTCAGCAGCTGCAGAGGGAGCAGGCGGTGGTGGTGCCGGTGGCGGTGGCGGTGGGGAGGAGCCGGGAGGGGTGATGGGTGCGGGTCGGGGGGTGATTGCTAGCGGCATGGCGGCGGCTGGGGTGGTGGGGGAGTGGCTGGGGGCGACGTGGGAGGCGGTGGGCAGGTGGCGGGGTGCGAGGAGCGGGGCGGCGGCGGCAGCAACGAGGCAGGGCTACACAGAGCTCTGACATCGCGGGTTTGATGTTGCTGTACGGACTGTAAAGTAAGGGTGTGAGGACTGAGGGGTACACACGCATCGCCACATCGCGGTTACGGTACATGACGGAACGTTTTGCCGCAGTGTGGCGACTCTTGCACGTCCGCTAGCTAGCAGCCGCATAGCACTGAACACCCAAACAATGCACGTCCTTGAATGCACGTCGTTGGACCCATGGGTGTTGGCACTACCGTAGCCACCGCGCGCTTGAAACAACGGCTTTGCAGGCGCCCTTGCTGTCAAACACAACTTGCATGGAGCACCCTGACTGAAAGCCTTTAGTCAGCTGTGGAGGTGGCCCAACCGCCAGGTACCGGTGAACCCTTCCGTCTTTTGGCTGAATCTATCGGTATTTCATTTTTCGCTGCACTGGATCACAATATGCTAGGACGGAGTTTGGGAAGGGGACAATCCGCGGATGGTTCAAAGCTTCGCGCAGTTGTGCCTGTCGTCAGCGAGGGTATCACGCCAGGCGAAGTGCAATGGGGCAGCTATAATACTGCCATCAGCCCTGTAAGCCGTGACCCATCATGAGGTCACGCAGGGAAGGTCGTGGCTGCGTAGGATTGCGAGCAGGTGTGGCCACCTCCGAGACCTCTTAGAAAGATGCCACTTAGTTTTGGTTTACAGGAGTATGAAATGCAACATAATAGGTGCACATCAGGTACGCGTATCACAATTGGATCTCCATAAATTGAGTCATTCGTCCCAGGTGGATCATAGTACGACAGGTTCTGGACGAGTTGCCGATGCGCCACAAGCGCATCAGATGAGGCAAGTATGCTGCGGTGAATATGCGCGCCTCCTTGAAGTTTTTCCATGTACAACCGAGGTTAGCACGTTTCCAAACGCTTCCGGCCCAGAGTGCTACGCTTGCTTCAATGCTGCTCTGGCGCCGGAAGAAGGCTGGGATTGAGGCCCCAGCTGTTCTTCCCTATGCGGACGGCCTTCCTAGTTATTACAAAGTATCTCTGGGTGCGAAAATCATTTGCGTGTGTGCAGCGGCTACCGCGTCAAGCTGCGCTGTCGCCATCGCATACTCCTTCGCTTCGCCGGTCCTAGTGCTGGCACCATGGCTATACACCGCTGCGGAGGTGGTGTTTGCAGCCGTTTCTTATTTTAGATGGCGACGTTTTAACAGTATCCAGCATGATGCGCACCAAACAGCTCGGAACGCTACCTTTGCGGCCACCGCAGCAGAGCGCTTTGACTTCGTTGCTGCGGCTCTTGCCCGAGGCGGGCCTACGGAGGTGGCTGCATTCCTCCAGCTTTGGTTTCATGACAGCCCGGTTGGCAAAATCGGCCGCGGAAACCTACTTGAGCTGCTAGCGTACGCCTTTTTCTACTCGGACAGCAGGTAAAGCTTTGCTTGTAGTTACGACTTAAGCGGTATGTCTGCCACGTATGCATCAGCGTCAGCCATGAGGGCCATGTGATTGCCGATAGGCGGAACCTCACAGGACCGGCAGCAGGAACCCTTTTCCAACACCCACTTGCCCCCTCTTCCTCCTCTCAGCGCCTCTGTAGTGACTCAGGGCTACGGTCCCCAGCTGGAGCAGATGGCGGACCGGCTGGAAGCGCTGCTGCACTCCTCCTCCTCCACCACCTCCATTACCTCCACCTCCCTAGCGGACAAGACCACGCCTGGATCCGCTGCATCCCCTACAGACCTCAGCCCCACCAGCTCCTCCCCATCTGGGTCACCTCAACCGCAGCCTCCTCCTCAGCCACAAGCCTGCCTGCCGCCCGGCCGCAACCCCCGGCTTCGCTTCATGGCCCACATGCACGAGCCGCTGCCGCACTTCTACCGCCCGCTCGCCTTCTACGCCGCCATGGAAGCGCTGGCCTGGGTCAACCACTGCATGCTGCTGGGGGCGGGGTTCAGGCGGGTGGCCGCCGCCGACACCACCACAGCGGCAGCTGCTGAGTTGGTGGCAAAAGAGGCGAAAGGAGGGCCTGCTGGGCTGGGCTTGGGTCGGCTAGACATGGGCATTTGCGGCTGCAAGGAGGATCACTACTACTACGTAGCCAACATGCCAGCAGCGGAGCGGGGCGGTGCTGCTGGCGGGGGGCAGGCCTGCCACCGCGCCTCCTCCTCCTCCCCTCCTGAGGTTCCCATCGTGTTCCTGCACGGGGTGGGTATGGGACTGCTGCCGTACCTTCGGCTGCTGGTGGCGCTGGCGGCAACAGGTGCGGACTGCAAGGGGGCGTGGGACGGGGTAGGGTTTGCGGTGTGCGAGGTGCGGCGGCACTCGTCGTGTGCGACCAAGCTTTGCAATGCAGTGTGCCCTTGGCCCACCTTGGCTTGTACGGACAGACCGTACACGCCTACCTGTAACTGTAACCGTCCTACTCCCGAGGCGCTACATGAAGGCAAACAACAAACCTCTTCCAACTCACCCCAGCCACACCAACCCAACCACCACAACCTACTTATTTCAACGCCGTACAACCTTACCCTTCACTGCCATTCGCGCATTGCCCTGCACCGGTCTACGCAGGTGCCCCTGTGATTGCCTTTGAGCTCAAGCACGTCTCTCAGCGCTGGACCTCCGCCGAGCCGCCCAGCCTGCAGCAACTCGCGGAGGATGTGGTTTCGGCGCTGCGCCGCCACGGCTACAGCCGAGCTGCCGTACTCGCGCATTCCTTTGGTACGGCAGTAGCTTCCATCCTGATGCAGTCGCACCCCGGTGTCGTACAACACGTCACAATGCTGGATCCGATCTGCTTCCAGATGTACACGCCTAGGCTATTGCGGAACTTCATTTACAGGCGGCTGGGTGCTACAGGCGCCGCGGCGACGGCGCATGCAGCAGCTACTGCAGCTGCGGCGGCAGCTGCTGCTGCAAGTGCAACCGCCGCCATGGCAGCGGCACCGGCAGCTGCGGCTGTGGCAGCCACGGCGGCTGCTGCAGCAGCGGCGGTGGCAGATGTGGGCCCCTCCGGTTCAGCGGCATTGCCGGGTTGCGGAGGAGGAGGGTGCTTAATGCCACCGTCAGCTGCTACCCCCGCTGTTGATGCTAGCAGTGACGGCTGCGACCCCAACAGCAGCACCAACAGCAGCGCAAACAGCGGCAACGCGAGCACCAGCAGCAGCGACGGCGGAAACGGCGGCGGCGGCGTTCTGGCTGCCGCTGGGTCTCTCCTGCGCACCCTGGCCGGCCTGCCGCTGGATCTCCTCATGCTGGGCCCCGCGCGGGAGCTGCACTGCACGGCACTGCTGTGTCGGCGGGTGGTGTGGAGCGAGGTGAACCTGTGGGAGCATGCGGTACCTAAGAGCTGCACCGTGGTGTTGTCAGGTGGGGGGGAGGGCGGGCGGGCGCAGGGGGGTATGTACGACAGGGCGCAGGGGGGTATGTACGACAGGGCGCAAGGGGGCGGGTCTTGGAAATGGGGTGGCGAGGGGCCAGACTGGGTGGTGTGGTAACGGTAGTAGACGCATTGGCTTACTGGCTTTCCCAGGTCTTCCTTGCCCCTTGCGGTTTTTAACAAACGCGTCTGGCAGACGGATAAGCCCGATCCTGTGGACCTGCACCGCCATGTTCTTCTCTTTCTCGTCCCCCTGCCTTCCATGTGTTTCACCTTGCTCGCATGTCCGCCGCATGTGAGGTACCGCCGCCGTGTGCTACGATGCAGGACGCGATGACCTCATGTGCGCCCGCTCCCTGGAGCAATGGCTCCGAGACCACACCCGCGCCTCCGTTGTCGTACATCCGGAGCTGCTGCATGCGCAGATCTGCATGGCATGGACACGTCAGGACCAGATCCTGGATCGCATGCTGCGGGACGTGTACGGCAAGAGGGACAACGGCTGCGGGGGCGGTGGCGTGGCAGAGGCGTTGGCTGTGGCAGAGGCGAAGGCGGCGCCGACGACCGCTGCGGCGGTGGTGATCGAGGGAGCGGCGGCAGCAGCGGAGCTTCTGCCGTCATCAGGCTCGTCGCCCTCATCCCCTTCTTCGTCGCCGCCGTCACCGGCGGCACTGCGGGGCACTTGGCCGCACTTCCTCCACGCCGACGGCACCGCCGCCACTGCAGCAGGCGATCTCCAGCCGTACAACAAGGCTAACGTCTACCGCTCCTCCTCCCTTCTTCACGGTGGCCGGTGCAAGCCCCGACAAGCTGCCGACACCTCGGCCAAAGCCGAGGCGGATGAGGACTGGCGACGGCGGTGGTCGCGGCATGAGGCAGCGGAGGAGGAGGAGGAGGCCGCCGAAAGTGATGTGGAGCTCATGTTGGGGGGTCAGGCCGGCGGCATGCGCAGGAGGTGCGGCGGTCGAGGTGGCGGCAGTGGCTGCCGCAGCCGGAGGAATGCAAGCGGGGCCGTACGACCTCTGCCTTGGGGTCGCAAGGATGAGGGAGACGAGGGCGACGGATACGTGGATGGTGGATTCGCTGAAGGAGGGTCGTACGGCGGCGGTGAAGCACCCCTTGCCGTACAGCAGCGCGCGCAGCGGGTACGACAGCACCCCCCGGTGGTACGGCATGATAGCGCGGGGTCGTATCTTCGAATGCAGTCGGCGGAGGGATTGGGTAGCGATAGCAGCGATGGCAGCGGCAGCGAAGGCAGCGAGTGATGATGAATGGATGATGACGGGCCTCGTCCTGATATGGGGCTTCCTAGTAGGCTGGGCCTGCGAGTGGTCTGTCGGTGAGGTGGAAGGTGGCAGTGTAGGGGTTAGGCAGGGGTCAATGCTGGCCTTCACAATGAACAATGTGTACAACTAGAACGTTTTGCGTGGGTTTGTGTTCTCTCTCACCGTTAGTGCAACAAACGTACGGTACCATACGACAATTGTTGCCGCTTTCTTACGAGGGGGGCGCCATATTAAATTCCGTGTCGTTGTACGACGTTGCAAAAGTTGTTGGTCTAGATAACCGTATTGGAACCGTGCCGTGGTGGGGAAAGAGAGTGGAATGCTGCTGCCGGAGGGGGGGGAAGAGGTCGCTTTGGCCTAGGCTATTGTATCGAGGGGAGGGAGGAGGGTGCAGGAGAGGGAGCGTCGAGGAACGCAAGATGTGCGAGGGATGTGAGAGGGAGGTGAGGAGTGGCGATGTAATATGAGGGGACCGCGTTGCTGAGCGAAGCTGTGCGGGAGGAGTGCCGAAGGTATGTACTTTTCCTTTGTTGCTGGTTATTGCTTAGGCTCTCGAGGGGTTTACTAAAATGCGAGATTGGGTTAGGCTTACGGTTTTCAGGCTCGCTCAGCCTGTAAGATACAGCCGCTTATACTTTGTACTGCTTATATGGCTGTCGAGGTGCCTTAGGATTTTAGGGTTTTACCCCTGCTGTTATCGGTTACGTGCTGGTTTCCTGGCGTAAACCATTTCGAGATGAGGGCGTATTAAATTTTGTGGTGTGGGGGTTTTCAGCTCTGCCGTATTAAAACTACTAGAGATTCATCAAATTCTGGTTCCAAGGCGATCCAGTGCCTTTGGAGAGGGTGCGTGCTGACGTTCGGTTTCCTCGGTTGCGTGGATCATCACAGACGTACCCCGCTTTGATTTGCCTGTGCTTGGTGACGATGATGCTGGGAGTGTTAGCGGAAAGAGTGCAAGGAGAAGCAAAAGCGAGGGGAAACTGAGGGTTGAGAGCGAGGGAAAACTGAGGGTTGAGAGTCGGTGTATCTCGGTACGGTATATTTGTTCTTTTGGTAATGTCCTAGTATGCTTCGAATTTACGAATTGGGTTGTGTCGATCAGCGCAGATTTGCTGAAGCAGTGGCAACCGAAATGACCCCAAACCCCTCCGAATTGATTGTGTTGTGCGCTGTTTGTATTACGGATATGTTGGACGATAGAATGTTTGTTTGACGCGTATTCAATTGGTTTAGTACGTTCGGGGTATCGGAGTAAACACGAGTAGAATGGAACACAGTTTGGATGGACCAGCATGCTGCGCCAGTCGTGGGCATCGTCTTACAGTGCTGGTCGGTTAGGGGGCCGTGTCGAATACCTGTGGACGGGTTGTTGCTGTCGTTACTCAACACCTCATCTAAACTGCCATATCAGGCAAGCCCTATGAACTGCGGCATCGCCAAGGTGTTGGATCTGCCTTTCGTGTCATGTGCGCCGTACCTCATGCAGGCGAGAAAGGTGATGGCATGAGGCTCTCGCTGTATGCAGTCCATGGATCAGCAGAAGAGCAAGCGTAATGAAGGGATAACGGTCAAGTGGTGCGGCCAGTAATGCGTGTTGGGCAGCAATAGCTCTGCAAGCTTGGCTGCTGAGAAGTGGACGGCTGTAACTTTCTTATGACGAATGTCGCTAAATCATTGTTGTTATTCTTAACTTCATGTCACCAGCCAAAAAGCAGCATTGCGTTTCTTTAGCTTCGCACTCTCGGGCGTTCCTAACTTCCAGGTCAAGCTGCAAGCACGCTTGCGGTCGCGGACATGTTGTAATGCAACAACACGTTGAGACCCATAAAACCATTGCGCCCATTTAACGTTAATACATTCCTTGGATTGCAGCCAACGCAAAGCAGACTTGCAGACCCTTAGTCAGCAAGCGATCCAAAGCTGGAATGGAACAGACTAGTACTATGCATTTTTAACGGAGTTATGGCAGTATTACCCTTTTCGCTGGTCGGTCGAGCGGACAGGAAAGATGACTCACAACAAGAGCGTGCGCAACGTTGCTTCCGAGACCAGCAGTACGACTGTAGTTGGCCTTGCGGCGAAAAGAGCCATCTTTCTAAACAGACCTGCTCACAGTTGGTGCAAAATGGAGTCTAACGCGATTGCCAATCCGCTTCAGGCGATCAAGTACACCCGGGGCAACTTGCAGCTGCTGGATCAGCGATTGCTGCCTTTCCAAACCGTCTACTTAGAGGTACCTGATGTTAAAGCAGCATGGACCCAAATCCGCGATATGGTTGTCCGCGGTGCTCCCGCGATTGGTTGCACTGGCGCACTTGCGATGGCGGTGGAGCTGAACAACCACAAGGACGCTGGCAAGGCGTTCAGCTCTGTCCAGGAAGCCGTTGACTTTATTAACACCACGTTGGACTATCTGGTCACCAGGTGCGCTTGCATCGGGCACCATCGTTATGGATTGCAAACAAGTATTTTACCAGTCTGTGTATGGCATGTTGCAACCTCTGGCTGTGACGAATTGACTCAAGGCGTCCACCTTGTACCTTGCCTGGACATTACCTTGGCCCCACGGCCTCTGGGCTCACTTGGAAGCGACGCCGGGGCAATTACACGAGCGCTACTCTGCTACTCTGAACGTAGGGGTTTCATCGGCCCTTTGGTGTTTGCGATGCCCAGAAACTCCTTAGAGTCCACAAAACGGGGACCCGACCTCTGACCCACATCACCACACCGTCCCTCAGCTCCGAACCCTTGTCCCCATTACCACTCCACAACAGCCCAGCCTCTGCTCCTCTTCCCCTACACCCCCTCCCGTCCCGTCCCATCTCGCCTCATCCCCCATACCCACCTCCCCTCCCCTTCTCTTGTCCACTCTCCCGCCCTTTCCAACCCCTGCCATACAGTCGCCCCACCGCCGTCAATCTGGCGGATGCCGCCGCCAAGCTCAAGGCCGCCACCTCCGCTGCTGCCGCCGCCCCCGCCGCCACCCCCACCTCCGTGTGTGGCGCCGTCATTGCGGCTGCGGAGGCGTTTCTGGAGGAGGACATTGCAGCGAACAAGGTGGGGAGGGGATGGGGTTTGGTGGCGGGGTTGGGATGAGGGTTGGGATGGTGGGGGCGGTAAGCGGCTAGGAGGTGGCGGTTGTCCGGTGGAGGACGCTGAATGTAATGCGGCGGTGGTGGTAATGTGGGTCGGTGGGATTGGCCTTCGTACAGGGGCTGGGGCAGCTCTCACTATCATGAAAACCGTGGATGGGACGGACAGCAGGATGGCGGTGATGTGGATCGGTGGGGTTTGGTGCCTTGTGCCGAGGAGGGGGTGATGTGGGTCAGACTTTGGTGGGTGGGGAACCGGCCAGCCGGCTGGTGACAGCGCTGTACTGCAGGCCGCGCAACACGCACGAGCAGTACACACGAACCCACACCGACATCACACACCCTCCCACATGCGCCAACCACCCTGTCCTCCTTCCCTCCGTCCTCCACCCATTGGGAACTCCTCTCCCCTTCCCCCCCCCCCTTCCTGCCTTCAGCAATTTGTACCATTATCACACCACACATTGGAATTTCTCCCCCCCCCTTCCTGCCCCCCAGGCCATGGGTGCCACCGGCGCCGCCGCGCTGCTGTCCGCCGCCCGCGCCGCCGGCCGGGGTGTGGGCGGGCGGCTGCGGGTGCTCACCCACTGCAACACCGGCAGCCTGGCCACCGCTGGGTTCGGCACTGCGCTGGGCGTCATCCGGGCGCTGCATGAGCAGGGGGCGCTGGAACACGCATTCTGTACGGAAACCCGGCCGTACAACCAGGGTGGGTAGGGGGGAGGGAAGAGAGGGTACCGGAGGGGTGGGGGGAGGTGCATGCGAGCTGGAATGGAGGTCTGGGTTGGTGTGGGGCGGTGGGTGTGGGGCGGTGGGTATGCATGTAGGGGTGGTGGGCCGCTGTGGGGAAGAGCCGCTGTGCGCCCTCCGCCGCCTCCTATCCCCATTGCCTTTGCACTACACTGTGGCTTCCTATGGTTCGACATGCGGTCTTCGACCCCCCTCCCCTCCCTCGCCACCAAGCACAGGTGCGCGCCTCACCGCATTCGAGCTGGCGCACGACGGGCTGCCCGCCACCCTCATCTGCGACTCGGCGGCCGCGGCGCTCATGGCAGCGGGGCAGGTGGACGCGGTGGTGGTGGGGGCGGACAGGTGGGGGTGGGGGGGATTGGAGGGGAGGAGCGGGGTGGTGGGTGGATAAGCGGGGTGGGGATGTTTCTGAACAGTACGGCAGCGCGGTAGCGATCCCAAACCCACTTGCTGATGGGAGCACACAGGCGGCGGCAACCGCAGGTAGCCGGCTGCGCTCCGGCGCACCCCTCCGCACCTCACCTCACCTCAGCCCCCCTAGCCGGGTCCTGCAGCCCCCGGAAGCAGCAGGGCCCCCGGCAGGAGCAACCCGGCCCCTCCTCCTCCTCCTCCTCTCCCGCGTTGCCCTGCCTGGTCCAATTCCTCCCCTACCTATGGGATAGTGTCTCCGAATGCGCTCACTGCATGAGTGGGGATATGGGATTGGGACTCTAGTTGTTTCACTTATTTCATTTTTTCCCCTATGGGATATGGGGTTGGGTCTCCTTTGCTTCACGTTTCCGTTATTTTCGCCCTCCCCTCCCCTCCCCTCCCCCTCCTCTCCCCTCCCCTCCCCCTCCTCTCCCAGGGTTGTTGCCAACGGCGACACCGCCAACAAGATCGGCACCAAGTCGCTGTCCATCTCCGCCTCGCACTTCGGCATTCCCTTCTTCATCGCCGCGCCCACCACCACGCTGGACCCGGAGCTGCCCAGCGGGGAGCACATCGTCATCGAGCAGCGGCCGCAGGAGGTGTGCGGGAAGGGGGGGAGGGGGGGGGCTGCTTGGGGGTGGAGGTGGGGGGGCTGCTTGGGAGGGTGAAGGGGGGGTGGCATGGGTGGGTGAAGGGGGGGCTGCATGGAGGTGGAGGTGGGGGGGGCTGCATGGGAGGGTGAAGGGGGGGGGCTGCATGGGGAGGGGGCTGCTAGGGAGGGTGAAAGGGGGGGGCTGCATGGGTGAGGGGAGGAGACGGGACGGAGGGAGCGGGGGGTGGCCGGGAGGTGAAGGGAAGAGCGGTAGGGAACGCGTTCATTTCGCTCTACGGGCTGCCAGCAAGCTCGCGCTGGTCCTTGACCCCCTACAGCCCCATGCATACGTCCCATCCTCCCTGGTCATCCCCATGCACACGGCCCCCCCACGGCCCCCCCCTTACCCGACCTCTTCGCTCCTCCGTTTCCTCGTCCGTTTTCCCTCTCATGTTGCCCTCTTGACACCCCGCAGGAGGTGACGCACTTCCGCGGAGTGCGAGTGGCCGCGGAGGGGGTGAACGTGTGGAACCCCTCCTTCGATGTGGCTCAAGGTGGGGCGGGGCGGGGAGGGGTGGGGCGGGGAGGGCAGGAGGAAGAGGGAGGAGGAGTGATGGGAACTACAGGATGTCAAAGGGAGCAAAGGAGGAAGGGGTTTGCTTGTTTGCTTGCTTGCTTGCATGTGTCCTCTTCACCAGAGCTCCAAGCCACCCTTGCCAGCCAGATTCCGCCCTCGCCGCCAACCCCACATTCCCTCCACCTGCCCTCCATCCCCTCCATTCCTCCTCTTGCCCCCCTCTTGCCCCCCTCTTGCCCCCTCCCCCAGCTCCCCTCATCGCGGGTATCATCACCGAGAAGGGCATGATCCCCAAAAAGGAGGGGGCGTTCCAGGTGCGGGCCTGGGTTGGGGTGGGGGCTGGGGAGGGTGGTTGGAAGGGGTTTGGGGGGGTTGTGGGGGGAGGGTGGAGAACAGGGCAGAGCAGGGCAGGGTGGGGCAGTGGTAGAGGGGAGAGAGGGTCTGGGAACTAGACATGTCGTCTGAACACCCAGCGGCGGGGGTTCTCAGCTTCTCTCCCTTCCTGTACGTCATACCTCGTACCCAGTTCAACATGCTCGACCCCCCTCCCTCCCTCTTTCTCCCTCGCCCTTGTTCCCCTCCGCGCACCTCCCCTCCCCGCCCCACACACCCACAACCCCCCTGCCTCAGGTCCGCGACTTCATGTCCCAGCTGGGCCTCTGGCAGCCGCCCGCCCCCGCCCCCGCGCCCGCCCAAGACCCCACCTCGTCCACCCCATCCTCCTCCACCGCCGCCGCCACCCCAGCCGGCTTCCGCGCCCTGGATTGCGAGAGTGTACGACACTTCGTGGCTGCTCGTCCCGGCCTGCAGCAGCGGGTGGGACCGGCAGACAGCGTGGAGAGCTGGAGCGTGCGGGAGGTGAGGGACGAGGGATGAGGGCTGGGCGGGAGGGGCAGCCTTACCATCCCCCATCCCGCCCACCCCCTCCCGCCCCCCCACCTGTGGCTTCCTATGGTTCGGTACGGTATTCTCCCCCCCCTCTCCCCCCCACCTCCCTCCCCCCACCCCCCTCCTACCCCCCCCCCCCATCCCAACCAGGTCGGCGACGGCAACATCAATTTCGTGTTCATCTTGGAGGGCCCCGCGGGGGGGCTGTGTGTGAAACAGGCGCTGCCGTACGTGCGCTGCGTGGGGGAGGACTGGCCGCTCACGCAGGTGGGGGGGGGGTCAAAGACCATACCAAACCATAGGAGACCACAGGTTAGGGCAAAGCAATGGGTAGAGGCGTTTGGGGGCAGAGGGCGTCAGGAACAAGGACAGGAAGAATGCGCTGCGTCTCTTACCCTTCCCGCCACCACCACCACCACCTCCTCCCCCCTCCGCCACATTCCGGCCCAGCCCGGCCCCCCTCCTTACCCGTGCACCTCCCCCCCCCCCTCCATGTGTCTCATCATATATATTTTTTACCCCCTCCACGTACCACCCCCTGCGCCACCTACCCTACGCCTCTTACCCTTCTCTCCGCCTCCTCCTCCCCCTCCCTCCCTCCCCCCCCCAAATCAGGACCGCATGCGTATCGAGAGCGAGGCCCTAGCGGAGGAGGCCGCTTGCTGCCCGGAGCACGTGCCTGCAGTACACCTGTACGACCCCGCCATGGCCCTCATGGCCATGCGCTACCTGGCTCCGCCGTACATCATCCTGCGGCGGGGGCTGGTGGCGGGGCGGACCTACCCGCAGCTGGCGCCCCACATGGGGTCGTTCCTGGCCAAGACGCTGTTCCATACCTCGCTCATTCGCCTGGACAGCAGCACCTTCAGGTGGGGGTGGGGGATTAGATAAACTGAGCCGCGGAAACACCACCGCGGGTGGGGGGGAATATAGATTGATGCATCAACGGAGGGGGGAGGGGGGGGGAGGGGGGAAGGTAATGTGCGGGGTTATGCCGAACGTGTGTGTAGGGTTTTACACTCTAGAGAAACATCCTTAATTTTTACGCCCCCTGCTCCCCCCCCAAACAAAATACAACAAAACACACACACGCCCCCAGGTCCAAGGTGGCCCGCTTCTCCAATGACGCCATGTGCCGCCTCACGGAGCAAGTGATTTTCACGGAGCCGCTCATGGCAGCCAAGAACAACAGGTGTGTGGGGGGGAGGGGGCCGGGGTGAGAAGAGGAGAGGAGGGTGTGTTCCTGGTTCGGACAGGAGCAGCAACAAACCGTCTTCCCCATCAAACACCTCAACCCCCCCCCACCTCCCTCCCCACCTCCCCCCCTAAGGTGGACCTCCCCCCAGCTGGACGCCGACGTGGCAGCCCTGCAGTCCGACCCCGCTGCCCGCGCGGCGCTGAGCGGGCTGAAGGGGCTGTTCTGCGGCCGCCCGCAGGCGCTGCTGCATGGGGATCTGCACACGGGTGGGGGGGGAGTGGGGGGTCTTCAAAGACCATTAAACATACCATAGGAAACCCACGGGTTAGGGCAAAGCAGTGGGGATAGGAGGCGGCAGGGTGCCACAAGACAAAGGCACACGGGTGGCGGGGGAGGAGGGGAGCGGAGGGGAGCGGAGGCAGGGAGGGGGGAGGGAGGATAAAGATAAGGAAACTGATGGGTGGGGGTGGGGAATGGGGGAAATGAGGAGTGAAGCACAGTCCCATGTCCTATGCAGTGTGCAGTGAGGGGGAGGGGTGGGGGGAGGGTGTGTGTGTATGTGGGGTTTGCGGGGGAGTGGGGGAGTGGAGGGTGCTCCAGGGGCTGCACCTGGGGGAGCACACATGCGGCACATGCACGTGTTCTGTTACATTGTTGTGCAGGGGCTGCTGCTGCTGGTATGCACCAGGCACCTTGCTTCGCAGCCCGTTACCCCTTCATCTCCCCTCCCCTTGTATCATTATCACATCACACATTGGAATTTCATTTTTCCTTCCCCTCCCTTCCCTCTCCTCCGTTGCTTTACTCTTCATCTATTCCCTTTCCCCCCCCTCCGCCTTCATTCCCCTTCATCTCCCCTCCCGTCCCCTCCCCGCCAGGCTCCATTATGGTCACCGAGAGTGAGACGGCGGTGATCGATCCGGAGTTCGCCTTCTACGGCCCCATGGCCTTTGACGTGGGCAAGGTAGGAGGAGCAGGAGGCGGGAGGGGAGGCAGTAGGGGAGGAGGAGGCAGGGCAGCGGCAGGGAGGGCAGGGGGTGGTTGCATGCCCGCAGTAGCCTCCCGACTACTGAAGCAGGTGGCGGAGAGCGGAGAGGGCGGTGGGAAGCCCAACTCCCCAGTTTTCAGCTCCTCACCCTCACCCACCTCCTCACCCCACCTCCTCACCCCCCCCTGCCTGCATGCATGCAGATCCTGGCCAATCTGCTGCTCGCCTACTTCGCCGCGGAGGGGCACGAGGCGACGGAGGGGGCGGGTGCGCGGCAGGAGCAGAAGGGTAGGAGGTTGGGCAGGGGTGGGGCAGGTTGTGATAGTGGGGGAAAGGAGCGGAGGGGAGGGGACCGCAGGGGAGGGGGTGATGGGGAGACAGGCACGTTGTGGAGGTGGGCTCGGCTACATGGGTTGTTACATGGGTTGAATTGCAAGCAGCCAGCCCCATCATGCACGAAACGCCTAACCCTTCACCTTCAATTCCCCTTCTCCTTCCCCTCTTCCCCTCCCCCTCCCCCCCCCAATGCGCAATCTTAAAATAAGGCGTAATGCGGAATGTTCATCCCTATTAATCCCCACCCCCCCAATCCCCCCAACCCCCCAGCCTGGTTGCTGTCCTGCATCCGCGACACCTGGGAGGGCTTCTCGTCGCTCTTCCTGCAGCTGTGGGGGCAGCTGGGCGGGGCGGGGGACCTGTACCCCGCCGCGCTGGTGGCCGGGGAGGCGCTGGAGGCCTGCCAGCGGGAGTTCATGGGGCAGCTGTGGCACGAGACGGTGCAGTTCATGGGTGAGGGAGGGAGGGGAAGAGAGAGGGGGGGGGAGGAGGGAAAGAAGAGTAGGCAATGTGTTGGATGAGGGAAAGAGGGAGGGAAGGAGGGGCAAGGAGGTGGCGCGTGGCTGACAGAGAGCAGCATGCCGTGCCTCGCTTTGTGGGTGTCTGCATGTGCGGCACGGGTTGTCATAACCCAGGTTACATGCACGTAATGAGCTTTCCTCCTTTACTGCATGTTTTCCGCTCTCATTATGCCCCTATGCCCCAACCCTGCAACCACCAACACCAACCCCCTCCTCCCCCCCAGGTGCCTTCATCATCCGCCGGATCGTGGGTATCGCGCACGTGGCGGATCTGGAATCCATCGCCGACCCGGATACCCGGGCTGCGTGTGAGCGGAGGGCGCTGCGGTTCGGACGCAGGTGCGGCGGGGGGAGGGTTTGCATGCGCGGGGGAGGGGGGGTTGCAACGAGGATGAAACGAACCCCTGCTGTGAAGTGCAGGCGCTAGTGGGTCGCCTTCCCAGAGTCGGATTTCCGTGCTGGGTGTCTTCTCCGTTACCTGTCCCCCCACATTTCTTCAACCTTTCTCTTCCCTCTCCCCTCCTCTTCCCTCCTCTCCTCTCCTCTCCCCTCCCGCCCTCCCAGGTTGCTGGTGGAGGGGTCCCGGGGGTCGGCGCCGCTGGCAGCTGTGGCGGACCTCACGCGGGAGGCGGAGGTGGCGAAGTGAGGGAGGGGGGAAGAGGGTATGACACTTGCGGGGGTTACTCGGGGGGTTACTCGGAACGTGCGGGAGCGGGAGGGGCTCGCGTCGCGTCGTCGGGGAGTTGTGACTTGTGACTTGTGAGGGTGTTCAACTGGGCTGGAGGGCCTGCGGCGAGGGACGTGTGTAACGGACATGCATGGGTGGTGGAGGGTCTGGTGGTAGTGGTGGTATAACGGCATAGGGAGGGTAAGCGGTTGTAGGCCTCGTAGACTGGCTTAAGGGGCGGTGAAGCGACGAACTGTAGTGGTGCTGGGAATAGGGATAGGAAAAGAAGGCGGGTAAGGACTCTTGCGGGGGTTGCGGATGCCTTTGGGCTTCTTCAGCATGTGGATTGCCTGGAGTGGAACGTCAAGGTGCGGCGTCCAGGCACCATCCGGGGCGTGGAGGTGGGGCTCAGGTACACCATGAGACGCACGGATTGTAGGGAAGCAGGAGTACTGCACGGAACGCTAGGAGCAGGAGGGCACGGGACACGGCGGCTCAAGCAGGCCGAGCGCGGAACGTTCAAACAATCATTGTTATCGGTACATTTATCTGAGGGGCAGCTGCCCTGCACAGCTCTGCCCATGGGGGTCAGAAGTGGAGGGAGCGGCAACACCCCTGCCCCTCCCTCGTGGCCGCCTTCGGCCTGTCCTTCAAACAGTGGGTAAAGGTGAGTAAAGGTTACGACAGCCGAGCAACAAGAGGGACGAAGTAAATGGATGGCATGTCGTCTTGCTAGTCCGCATGCCATGTGTACAGCTCTGGACTGTAGTTTACACATGCAACATTGCTTATTCACATGCGAACCTCTCCCAATTGCTTGCTCTTGTCCTACTCAACTACATGCAACATTACACATGAAGGTTAAGATAAGAATCCCAGCTCTGAGAATCCCTTGCATGCGGAATCGTGAAAGGAAAGCTAAGTGGGCATGTGCCGTTACCATTCCTACGGCAGCCGCTTCCCTTGCCAAACGCATCCTACTAACCAGCAACAACGACAGCGAAACGGCTGTGCAATTCTCTCCCGTGCATATGTCATGTCGCAGACTGTCTCCGTACTCATACAATCATGATAAGGTAAGCGTTGAATACTCGATGGAAACACATGCAAATGCTTCAGGTGCACGAAGTCCCCACCCATGTGGCCAAATCAACGCTCTGTCCGTGCCCCCCCCCCTGCCCCTCGCTTCTCTACTGTTGTTGCTACTGCCCTTGCGCTCAGGCACGGCCTGCAATAAACTGCTCTTCAAGTGTTCTTAACCCCCCAACTCCGAAACTCCCTGCAAAGTCAGCGAACAACAGCGAACAACAGTACAAAAGCCCCCCCTGCTTCTCCCGTCGTACCGTGTTACCACCCCATCACCTTTCATAGCTTGGACAACAACTGCCCCCCCTGCTGCCCCCCCTGCGGAGCTCCGATGCTCAGCAGCACCTTGCCCCGAACCCGCCGGTCCAGAATGGCGCCAAACGCCTCCGTCACGCGATCCAGCGGGTACCTGCCGTACACCTCCACCCGCAGCCGCCCCGCCCCGAAAGCCGCCATGAGGTGGCGCATGGAGTCGGCGATGACGCGGGGTTGCTGCGCCAGGTAGGAGCCCCAGAAGACGCCGTGCAGGGTGGTGTTCTTGACAAGCAGCAGGTTGGCGGGGACCTGGGTGCGAGGAGGGTGGTGAGGGAGGGAGGTCGGGTTCAGCACGACCTCATCAGGGGTTTGGCGTGAGCCATCATCCTCACATGCACAAGCCGCTCCCGGGGCCCCCTCCCTCTCCAACCCATGGTGAAGCCTCGTCATCCAGTTCGCCAGTGTTCCTTAGTCGTACCCCCCTTCCAACCGCTTCCCGGCTCCTGCGGCGGTTCTGTGGGGACTTCATCTTCCGACATCCCAGTACGTTCCTACTCGCGGCCAGTTTTCTTAACACACCTTGGGTATGTCCCCACTCGCAAAGCCGATCACCAGGTACTGCGCCCCCCAGGCCACACACTTGAGCGACTCCGACAGCAGCGGTCCGCCCACCGGGTCGAACACGACATCCACACCTGGGGGCGGGGGCGGGGGGGCGGGGGGGGGGGGGGGGGGGGAGTCAAAGACCATACCAAACCATAGGAGACCGGGGCGGGGAGGGGGGGGGAAAGCGGAGGAGAGAGGTGGTAATGATGAAGGTACTAACCAACTACACCACATGGCTTCACCATGGGGCGCAGGAGGTGAGGTTTAGGGTGTGGGAATGGAGCGGGGAAGGAGGGGAAGAGGTGAGCACCTTCCCATCCATACTCCCCCACCCATCCATACTCCCCCACCCATCCATACTCCCCCACCCATCCATACTCCCCCACCCATCCATACTCCCCTACGCATACACACCCCTTTCCCCCCTTACCGCCCTCTCTCTCCCCACTGCTCCCTTCCCTTACCCCTATCTCCCTTCTACAGCTTCCACCCACCCACCACCCACCCACCCACCCTTCGGCGCCGCCTCCTTCACCGCCCGATGCAGCGCCCGCCCCTCCGCCGCCAGAGCCGCCGTATCCAGCACCACCACCCGCCCCGCCCCCCCCGCCCCCTCAGCCCATGTGTCCGCCTGCTGACGGAGGAAGGCCGCCTTGTCCGCCCCCGCCGCCGCCGCCACCGCTCGCGCCCCTGCTGCGAGGGCGAGCTGCAGCGCCGCTAGGCCCACACCGCCAGCAGCACCCAGGATCAACACCGTCTGGCCTGGGGGGGGGATATAATGGGGGAGGGGGAGGTGGAGGTGGAGGTGGGGAGGAGGTGGGGAGGAGGTGAAGGAGGGGAGGAGGTGGGAAGGAGGTGGGAAGGTGGTGGGGAGGAGGTGAAGGAGGTGGGAAGGAGGGGAGGAGGTGGGAAGAAGGAGGGGAGGAGGTGAAGGAGGGGAGGAGGTGGGAAGGAGGTGGGGAGGAGGTGAAGGAGGGGAGGAGGTGGGAAGGAGGTGAAGGAGGGGAGAAGGTGGGGAGGAGGTGCCGGTAGGCAGGTAGAACTGTCGGGCTCGCTTCATTCGGCAGAGGGTTGTTCCGACTAGTCATTCCCTCTTTAGAACTGTGTTTCTTCTTCTTCTTTTTCTTCATCCCCAGCCGCCCCCCGCCCCTCCTCTCCCACCTGCTTTGAGTTGCGCGCGGTGCCGAAGCGCCACATCAGCGGTGCCGTACACGATCGGGATGGCGGCGGCGTCCTCTAGGGGCACCGTGTCTGCGGGAGGGGGGGGGCCGCGGCATTGCACGAGCAGCACATGCGTGCGCGCATGCATAAGAGGTAGCGGATTAGTGCACGTTGATACAAGTAAGGGAGTGAGCCTCGGATGAGGCGTAGCGCAGCAGGGGAGGAAGTGAGGTGGACGACGCGTCCAGCAAGCGGGCTGCTGGGTGCCCTCTCACAGGGGGGGGGGCTGCTGCTGCTGCTGCTCCCTGACCCAAATGCCTTCCAGAGATCCAGACCCAAATGTGCCTTCCAGGCCCGAATGCGCGCAAGTCCCAGTGCCACACACCCGCTGCCAGCCTCTCACATCATCCCCTTACGCTCTGTCCTACGTCGGCCCACACGCACCCTCCCAACCCACCGGGTAGCTTCCAGACGGCCGCCGCGGGTGCCACCACTTGCTCCGCGAACGCCCCTCCCTGTCGTACGGCACACACCTGGGGAAGAGGGGAGAGCGAGTGTACGGCAGCAGTTTGTTCGACGGGGCATACGGCGTCTGTTGTATGAACTGTGTGAACTGGGTCTCGATGATGTGTGCTAGGTTCGGGATGTGAAACGCTGGCAGCGTTGCAAGCTGGGCTAAAGCACCACGCCGTCTAGGCTGCCGTTCCGTAGCATGGGAATGGTTTGAATATGCGCAGGTGTTTAAGGTCAGGATGGGGTTCCTGATGGGTGGAGCGCAACCACACCTTGTCCCCCACGCGGATGTGCTTGACGCCATCAGCAACCTCCAACACGACCCCAGAGACTTCGGAGCCAGGAATGAAGGGCAACTTGGGCTTGTCCTGGTATTCGCCCTGCGTAGGGGATTCAGTATACACGATTGGCAAGACCTCGAAAATGGAACAAGTCTAGGTAATGTGCTCGCGTGAATGAGGATGCTAAGCTTCGGCGTAAGGACCCGATGCGCGATTATCTTAAATAACCTTTATTTGTAGAGCGTCAGGGAAGTTAAGACTGGCGCTAACGACTTGGATCCTGGCGCTTCCAGGTGCCAGCTTTGGTGCAGGCAACTCCGCGAGGCGCAGCACGCCCGTGCCCAAGGGCGCACAAGCATCACCAAGACCTTCGCAGACTATTGCCTTCATAGTTACTAGGTTGTGCAGTTGCAAAGGTGTCCGGAGGTTGATGCAGGGATGCGTAACCGAAATTTAGATGATTGTCCTGATATGTAAGTGTAGTGCCATCGCAATTGGAAGCCGAGCTGGAGAAGAAAGCGGCCATGGCTGCTGCCGTGCAGTGAGCAATCCAATGTCTTACTAAACCTCCGTACATAGCGGTTGAAACAAAGCTATGCCTTTATGGTGTTCGCCTATGATCGAGACGCGTGCTCAACGCTACTTATCAGGCAGCCGTTTGCAGTTCTGGCTACGTACCAGGGCAACATGTCATGGCTGGCAGCACTGGCACAGCCCTACCATCGTACTATGGAAGTCGCACCCAGGCTATCCGTGCATGTCGCCCATCTAGCACCCGCAGTTGTCACCAACGCTCTTATACGCCGCTTGCAACTTAGCCCCTGGCCCAATACAAGGCGCCTATGCTCGGGTGCGGCCAAGTGCGGCTGCCATCTTGTGGCGACAGGCACATGCATTTCAAACATGCCACGCGTTATGATATGCCTAATCCCTGCTACATACTTTGCAAGGTGTGCACGTTCGTTTAGTTACGTCCCGCTGCCAAGGATAGTCGTACTGAACGGGGGAATAGCCTAGGTTGGACCTGCACAACACCCTTGAACATTGTGGACAGACAAAGCTTTCGATTGCTAAACACGACGTTATGGCTCTGTCATAAATCTGTTTGGGAGAAGGAAAGCGTATGCGGTCAAGCAAGCCTATGTCAAGTACTCGTAACAAGCCCATAACGCGTATTCTTCTATGCCTGAAGTTTGTCCTTAAATAATCCGTGAATTTATTTGAGCCACCATGCCTAATGGCGAATCGGCTAACACTGGGCGCCATTAAGCGGGCCCTAATGCAGTCTAACTTAGGCGAAACACCCCAAGCTTCGTCAGTTAGCTTGGAGCTGCCGCTGTGCGACTCGAGCAGCCAGACAGCTGCGGACTCCGCGGGCACCGTCAATTCCCAGCCCCATGCCAAACCTAATAAGCCGTCCCTTTTAGCAAGCTCCGATTTGCGCGATCTTTTTTCATGGTACGTGAACGCCTAACTGTTATCCGCCTTTACCCCAGGGTATCTCGCCTACTGAGCACACATGGCAACGGCACTGCAGGAATGTATGGCGGCGTGCAGCGAGGAGGCGTTTGAAATACGTTAGACCAAAGGAGCTATGGCAGCTCATAAAACAGGAGCGCTGGACGATACTTATAGCGCTGCTCTTCGCGGTTGCGCTCCTCGTGCTGGAGTTCACCGCCTGGAGGTAAGACCAGCCAGCCCCTCTACTCCCTCACCTCCCTGCCCGCCTCTCCCCTTTGCGGACACCCATCACAGCTAACCTCCCCTCTTCCTCCCTTACTTTCACCACACCTCGGGTATTCCCTCCCCCTCTCCCTCCCCCTCTCCCTCCCCCTCTCCCTCCCCCTCTCCCTCCCCCTCTCCCTCCCCCTCTCCCTCCCCCTCTCCCTCCCCCTCTCCCTCCCCCTCTCCCTCCCCCTCTCCCTCCCCCTCTCCCTCCCCCTTCCCCCCCAGAGACCTCTCCTCCGACGCCTGGTTCACACTGTGGGCCACCTACGCCTGCCTGGTACCCATGGTCCGCGGCGCGGTGGACCCCGACATCTGCCTCTTCGCGGGAGCCACGCTGCTGCTGCTGCGCGGAGTCATCACACCACACGACGTGTTCGCGGGGCTTGCCAACGACTCCATCGTCTCCATCGCGCTCATGATGGCGATCGCGGCGGGGCTGGAGGCGAGCGGGGCGCTGGAGTTTGTGCCGGAGCTGGTGATGGGGCGCAGCAGGCGGGAGTGGGTGGGGCAGGTGGGGAGGAGGGGGGGCGGGCAGGTGGGGCAGGTGGGGATGGGGGTTAATAGGGATGAAGATTCCGCATTAGGCTGGGTTTTAGGATTGCACGTAATGAAACTTGTTGGGTTAGTAGCAGCACACAAAGTACAAGGCGGGAGAGGAGGAGGGGGAGGGCGGGAAGGGGGGGGCTGGGTGGGAGGGAGGGACGGGGATGTAGCTTCACCATGTGGAAGCAGCCTAACCGGGGGCCTGGAAGGGTTTGGAGGCTAGGAGGTGAGTTTGGGGGCGCAGCAGGCGGGACGGCTCTGCCTTCCCGCGCCACACCCCCTTCCTCCCTGCCTCCCTCGCCTCCACCTCCACCCCCCCTCTCCTGGCAGCCTCATTCAACACATTGGGTATCCTTCTCCCTCCCTTTTCCCCCTCCCCCCCTGCCCCCCCTGCCCCCCCCAGCTACGTCTGCACATTGCGGTGGCCAGCGTGTCAGCCGTCATGAACAACACACCCCTGGTGGCGGTGAGGGGGGGGAAACGGGGGAAGGGGGGGGCACAAGGGGAGGTAAAAAAAACAGATGATGAGACACTGACGAAGCAACTGACGAGCTGGGGAGGGGGGAGGGGACACAAGGGGAGGGGAGGGGGGGCCCCAGGGCAGGGGTCACCAGGGCAGGGGTCGGGGGGTGGGGCAGGGCGCAGGGTGCACGGCGGTGGGATTGGGGGTTCCAGCCCTCAGCCCCGCTCACCAACACACCTCTTGCCTCCCTGCTCATACCTTCCCCACCTTCCCCTTCCCCTCCCCCGGCGGAATCTTCATCCTTATTACCGGTATCCCCTCCTCCTCCTTCCCACCTCCTCCTCCTGCCCACCTCCTCCTCCAGGTTATGATCCCGGTTGTGGAGGCCTGGTGCCGCCAGAACAACCACCACGTGTCGCGCTTCATGATCCCGCTCTCCTACTCCGCAATCCTGGGCGGCCTGTGCACCATCATCGGCACCTCCACCAACCTCATCGCGCGGGGCATGGCGCAGGACGCGCTGCCCAGCCTCAAAATACCCTTCATTGAAATAGGTGGGTGGGGAAAAAAAGCCGAATCCCAAGGTACCGTATTTAATGATGCTAGCAAACAAGCTGATGGGGGCGTGGGGGGGGGGTGTGGCGGGTGTCATGAGATAACAGAGCAAGTAATAACAGTAAATAATACCAAACCAGCCCAAGCCGTGAGACGTTTAGGGCGAGGTAGGTTTGGGTTGTGTGAGGAGGAGGTGGACAGGACGTGACACGAACCAGGAGGGACACGTGTGACGGGGGGGGAGGGGGTAGGCGGCAGGAGGGAGCGGGGGCGGCGGCTCACTTACCGCCCAGATCACCACACACACCTCCTATCCCTCCTCTCTCCTCTCCTCTCCTCTCCCCCGCACGGCCCTCGGTATGGTCTTTGACCCCCCTCCCGCCCCCCCCCATGCTTTTTTCTTTCTTGTTCTTTGATGATTGGTCCAATTCGGCCCCTCCCCCCCGGGCCCCCCTCCCCCCCCAGGCATGATCGGTCTGCCCCTCACGGTGGCGGGCGGGCTGTACGTGGTGCTGCTGTCTCCGCTGCTGCTGCCCAAGCGCGACACGCTGATGGCGGCGGTGGTGGCCGACCCGCGCGAGTACGTGGTCAGTGTGCGGGTGGATGCGAGGTATGCGCACATAGGTAAGAGGGAGGGAGGGGGGGAAAATTGTATAAGAAATGCAAACAACTACCGGTAAAGCGGAGGGAGGAGGGAGGAGGGAGGAAGGAGGAGGGAGGAAGGAGGGGGGAGGGGGGAGGCATGTGGAGGAGGGCCAGGTGGGTGGGTGGGTGGCGAGTGGGGAAAGGGAAACGGGAGAGGAAAGTGGGAGGGGACAAGGAGGGATGAGTTCTGATGTTCGTGTGCATGTGTCGATGTATGTGTCTTTCTGCGGGCATCGCGAACCTGCAGTAGCAGCTCATCCACCTCCCTCCCCCTCCCCTCCCTCCCCCCCCTCCCCTCCCCCCCTCCCTCCCCCCCAGGTCGCACCATCGAGGCCGCCGGTCTGCGCCACCTACGCGGCCTCTTCTTGGCGGACCTGCAGCGGCAGGACGGCACCATGCTGCCCTCGCCGCCGCCCACCACCGTCATACTGCAGGTGGGGGGTGGGTGGAAAAATTATATTAAAGTGAAACAACGAATCCCAATCCCATAGCCCGACTCATGCAGTGAGCGCATTCGGAGGCACTAATAACACGCATCTCAAATTACTTACCGAATCGTTGCTTACCGTAAACCGAGACGACTTGAGGAAGAAGCCGCCTTGCGTGGTAACACTAGGGAGACATGCGCCGCGCCGGGTGGGGGGGGGGGGTGGGGGGGGTGGGGGCTGTGAGGAACTGCCGCCGCGAGTGTCGAAACGTTCTGTGATGGTGATGGCTGTGTGTGACAGATGAAGTGTACTAGCTGCGGAAAGGTCCCTCCCTCCACCCCTGCGTGCCCCCCTCCCTCTACCTCCCTCCACCTCCCCCCCCTCTTCCCCCCCTCTTCCCCCCCTCTCCCCCCCCTCTCACCAGGGTGATAAGCTGACCTTCGCGGGGGACATCACGGGCATGCAGCACATCCTCTCCCTGCCCGGACTCAACCCGATCAGTGAGTGGACCGCAATGCTCCCTGGGAAGCGGGGCGGGGGGCGGGGGGCGGGATGCAAGGTGCAACCTATCCGACTGCTCATAAAGTGAACAGGTACCAGCCCCCGAAGGACCCACCCCATGTACCCTACCCCCACCCCCACCTCTTCACATACCCCATCCCCAACCCCACACCCCAACCCCTTCCCATCAGGTTCCGCGGACCTGGCAGCCGACCTGGAGGAGAGCGCCGCGGCGTCCGGCGGCAGTGCGGAGAGGGTCATGGTGGAGGCGGTGAGGCGGGGGGGGGAGGGAAAAGAAGGATACCCAATGAGGGGGAGGGAGCTGGAGGGAGGGGTTGCGTTGCTGATGCGGGTTGGCAGCGTCGCTAGGAGGGAGGGAGGGAGCGAAGGACACTGTGCGCGTGCCACTCGGCATGGCGTGCCGGTGGTGCCTGGATGGATACACTGACCGACGGGGCTGCCTGCCCCCCAGACCCCGCCTGGGCTTTTGCACAAACACACACTCCTGCGGCGGTTCTGTGGGGACTTCATCTTCCGCCATCCCAGTACGTTCCTACTCGCGGCCAGTTTTCTTAACACCCACCCACCTGTCCTCTCCTCCCTCCACTCTCCTTCCACCTTCTCCCCATTGAGGTTTAGCTCCCCGCCCCCCTCTCTCCAGCCTAATATCCAGCCTAATTCGGATTCTGTTTCCAAATTACCCCCCTCTCTCCCCCCCGCTTGCTGCACCTATCACTTACCGGTATCTCCCCCCACACCACACCACACCACACTTTGGAATTTCTTTTCCCCCCTCCCCCACCCCACGCGCCGCCCCCTGTCGCCTGTCAGGTTGTCGCCATGGGCAGTCCCATCGTCAACATGACCATCCGCGACTGCCACTTCCGCTCCCGCTACGGCGCAGTGGTGCTGGCGGTGCACCGCAACGGGGAGCGAATCATGGGAGGGCTGGGGGACATAGTAGTGAAGGTGGGGGGGGGGGCGGGCTGGGGTTTTGAGTGTTACCGTTAGACACAGCCGCGGGCAGCACTGTGACCGTGACCGGGGTCACAGAGGGCCGGAAGATGCGAGGACCGGGGAGGGGTGGCGGCGTTGGGCGGAGCGCAGGGGAGGACGCGCTTCCAACCCAACCCCCACCGCACCGCACCTCCCCACTCCCCCCCCTCCCCCACCACCACCAGGGCGGTGACACCATGCTGCTGGAGGCGGGTCCCGACTTCCTGACCAAGTTCAAACACTCCAGCGAATGGGCGCTGGCGGTGGATGCGTTCAGGTGTGGGGAAAGAGGAACACACCCAATGTGTTGAGCTCGGGTGGGCGGGGGGGGGGAGGCGGGAGGAGGAGGGGGGAGGCGGGAGGAGGAGGGGGGGAGGGAACAGAGGCGGCCAGTTGGCAGGTGGGGTGCTCGGGGAGAGACCAAGCTGGGCTGCAGCTCCGACAGCCTGCAGCGATGTCTTCCTGACACTTACCGAGCCGGGAAGTAGGGGGGGCCAGTGCATGTCCCCGGCGCATGTGCGGCAGAGCCTCCTGTACCCCTCCAGCTGTACTGCGGATGATGCAGTTGCCGCCTCCTCACACACCCTCGCCGCCCCCTCCTCCTCCCCCCCTTCCTCCTTCTCCTCCCCCCTCGCCCGCCTTCTCCTCTTCTCCTATGGTTTGTTATGGTCTTTGACCCCCCTCCCCCCCCCGCCTGCCTGCCCGCAGGGTGTCCACCCCTAAGCGGGACCCGCTGGGACTGCTGACGGCGCTGGGGGTGTTCATTACCATGATCGTGCTCAACAGGTGGGTGGGTGTGGGTGGGAAGGGAAGGGAAGCAACCTGGGGGGACCAGTTTTCAATACGTTCATTTCAAAACAAATGCTTGTGTTTGTTTTAAAATTTCCCAGGGCCGGTGAGCAGCAGCTCCTGAGCCTCAGGACTGTGTGTGTCGGACGTATTCCTTTCCGTTTTCTTCTTTTTATTAGCACACATCTTGCTCTCGCCATCCTCCCCCTGCCCCCCACCCCTCCCCTCACTCCTCTTCCCCAGCATGGACCTGCTGCCCCTCGCCACCACGGCACTGGTGTGCCTCTTCGTGTACCTGCTGACTGGGGTGCTCACGGTGGCGCAGGTGCGGGGGGAGACAGCGGGCTGTTGGTAACCGGTGTGGGGGAGGTAGCTGGTAGCTGGACGCGTGTGCAGCGGGTGTGTGTGTGGGTGTTGTGTATCTCCGCTGTGTGTTGGTGTCAGGACGCCTGGACGCTAAGAAACCTGGCCGCTGGATGCTGTACGTGTATGTTGTTGTGCGTGGTAAGATAACGGTGCCTGTCTGCCTGCCTGCCTGCTTGTGTGGCCCCGCAGGTGCGTGCGGCCATACCCGGCACGGTGCTGCTGACGGTGGCGGGCGCGTTCGGGGTGGCCAAGGCACTTACCGTGACAGGTGGGGCGGGGGTGGGGTGGGGTGGGGGTGGGGGTGGGGGTGGGGTTATGCGTGGTCTTGCATGGCTGGGGTGCCGCTGCCCCCCCCTCCGCAGCTTACCCTCCAAGGACCCCCGTCTTCCAACCCCATGCACCCATGCACCCATGCACCCTACTCCCTTCTTCCCGCCCTACCATTCTGGACCATACCCCTCCCCCTCCACCCTCACGCATGGCACCCACCTCGCCCCTCCCCTGTCCCCCTCCCCCCCCACACAGGCCTGGCTGACCGCCTGGCCTCCTCCCTGCTCTCCTGCTTCTCATGGATGGGCCGCGCGGGCGCTGTCACCTCCGTCTACGTCACCACCTCCCTGCTGACTGCGCTGCTCAGCAACGGAGCGGCGGTGACGCTCATGTTCCCCATTGCGCTGCGGACGGCGCAGCAGGCGGGCATTGGGTTCAAGGGGCCGCTGTACGCGCTGATGGTGGGCGCAAGCAGCGACTTCAGCACGCCCATTGGCTACCAGACGAACCTCATGGTGGGGGGGGGGATGGGTGCGGTGGGGCGGGAATTACCGTAATAGGGATACGTATTCCGCATTAGGCGTGGCCGGGGAGGGGGCCGGGGCTCGGGATGGGCGCGGTGGGGTGGGGTTGGCGTGGCATGGGGCGGCAATTTCGCGGGTGGGGCGTGGTAGATTGTTGACGATTAAAAGCATCGACGCCCCAATCCGCACCCGCGTCCCGGTATCTCCTCACCGCCCAGCTCGCCTCCCTTCTCCCCTGCCCCCCACTCCCAACTCCCCCTCCCTCCCCCTCCCCCGCCCCCCTCCCCCACCACCCACTCACCCCCCCCTCCCCTTGCAGGTAAGCGGCCCTGGCGGCTACCGATTCCTGGACTACACGCGCTTCGGTCTGCCGCTGCAGCTGGTGGCGGGGCTCATCACAGTGCCCATATGCGTCTGCGTATTCTCATGATGAGGGCCCTGCTGCCGCTTACGTTGAGCTCCCTGCTACCTGGACTCCTCCTGGCGCCCTGCGCTCGGCACTTGGGTCGGGGCCCTACCCCCGGGGGCTTACCACGCATGCGGCCATGGGTGGCATGGGGGTACAACGACTCGGCGAGCTCACCACGCGTGACGTCATCTCACCAGGTAGCCATCCAGGCCATCCAGCCAGCCAGTCACGCATGCATGCAGGCAGGCGGGGCCAAGCCCGGGAGGCCCGCCAGCATCGCGCGATTGAGGCAGCGCAGCGCGGGGTGGCGGGCGGCAAGGAAGGCCTGCAGCAGGGGATCAAAACCAGCAGCAGCAGCAGGAGTAGGCGCAGCAGCAGCAGCGCCGCCGTGGCGGACCCTTGAGCCTTGAGCTGACCGTTTTGTGCTGCCTGGCAGGGCACACATATATGTGGGTGAGCAGCTGGCCGAGCAGCTGGCGGGGCCGGTGTGTGTCGGTGCTTTTGGCAATGTGGCGCAGGGCAACGAAACTTGTGATCAGCGAACGAAAGGCTCGTGACTGTGGATAGACTGCGGATAGATACCGGTAAGACATCATGTGTAGGATGCGCGAATGAGGATGAGAGTATAGTTTGGGGGGAGGAAGGGGGCGGACGGTGCTTCGGAAGGGTTGTAGGGGGGATGGGAGGTGGAGAAGAGTTCTTATGTCGTCTTATGCTAGAAGCTAGGAAGGATCCGGCGAGAGGATTGAAATTGTGGCCTTTGGAACGGTATGGCTGAGCTGGGGTGCTTAATGCTTTTGAGGACGGGAGTGAGGACCTGGAAGGAGGTGCAAGGATGGGGCAATGGCTGGGTGGGAAGGTATGAAGTCATGCTGGATCCCTCGTGTTGGTATACTTGGTGGTCCCAAGTTCCAACAAGGCGCCTGGCGTAACCCTGGAACCATGCATGGTACGAACCGAGGACGAACCGAGCATGCATGCAAAGGATTGGCTCGTTATTAGGCATGCGCCTCACCATGGTCGCGCTTCTCATCCCCCACATGCATTGCTTAGGGCGTTTTGGGTTCTCACACTCCTCATTGAGGCATGCACGGGGCTTGCATGCATGGGCGTTTCGGTAATTCTGTTAGTGTCTTCAACCGATTTGCATTTAACAGGTGTCGACAGTTCTGTTTGTGGAGCAAAGAGCCCAGTGAGCTAGCGTGCCTGGTCTCTGCATGTGGGCGCATGTTGCATGGCTGACCCGTGGGTCACCTCGCACAAGCACGTTCCATTCGCTCTTTGGGAACCCTCGTCCTTTTGCATCGGGGCGCATAACATCAGGAGCACCATAGTTTGGGCTATGTAACTAATGCCTATGAGGGTAAAGACTTGGTTATGTTTACATGTGATGGGGGCAGCGAGCTGGGGGTGAGGTCGGCGAGATGTGGGTGTGGCCGGGTAGCACATGCTTGACTGAATGGCGTCTCCTTTCCACAAGGCTTTGTGCAGTCCCTGTCTATCTTCGGCGAAGAAGTGTGAGGTGGTATACAGGTAAGGTAGAGGACAGCGTGAGGCGAGATGCGGTTTTGCAAGCAACCAGGATGAGAGAGGAATGACGTGCGAAGAGTGCATGAAGTGCAGGAGAGAGTTGCCAGAGCTTAACGCGAACGTGCTGTTGGGGATGCGGTGCGGTGCTTTCACGTGAATAATTGAATGAATGATGTGGGACGGTCTCCGGGCGTCAGCACGTCTGCGTTAAATATAGGGGCTTCTCCGGTCGCCATTCAATCGCAGTTGAATGTCCTGGGCAAAGACTGGTTACCGGTACGCGAGCAGGCTTGTGGCGACCGTGTTTCCTGTGGAGCCTGCAAACAGCTTGACACGCTATTTAAAGCTGTAATGCTGCATGAATAGGCTGTTCCCTGGACGGTGACAAATTCATTGTAAGCTGCGGGTTGCCAGCCTTGGAGAAGTGCAAAGAAGACCCGGCAGCGGCAGGCCACAGCGTTAAGATCCAAAGGCTGATCAATGTATTAGAAGATGAGGACATACACGCATACCGTCCTTCATTCGTCGGTGGGGTCACGGACCGGGGCCATCGTTGTTACTCTATCGTTGGACGTTTGATCGCTCGGCCGGTCTGACAGGCAAAATTGCGGCTACGGCGGTGGCCTGCAGTTACCAGAAAGGTAATGCCTGTTTTGCCTAACCCCCACTGCTTCGGCAACTCCGAAACTGCTTCATATGGACCATGTGAACGCGTGGCCTCTTGGCTCTCGTCTGACACACACTTCTTCAGCCGTCTAATCGACCTCGGCCTGCAAAGTAGCTTCGGAAAGCCTCAGCTAAACCGCACTTAGGCCATCATTTAGACATCTCCTTATTTCCTAGCCAGCATCTGATCCCGGCAGCCGGCTCGCGCCAAGATGGGCGCCGCTGCGTCGCGGCCTGCAAGCGGTCGCGACCGCAACGATTGCGACACCGCTGCTAGCGGCGCTCAGCGGCCCGCCGCAAGCGGCCAAGTGCAACTCCCTAGCTTTGCTGCATATCAAGCTGAACGCCATTTCATAACCGGTAAACATCGGGAGTCCCTTTATGCCACTAACGCTCTCATCAGCCAAGAGCTCCATTGGACGTTTGGACCGTTTGTTCCTGACTGCTTTCCTCGTGATTATTCGTACTTTTCGCAGACGTACTCGCAACGCTGCTGCTCACTCTTGGCTTGATAACGGTGGTTGTGCGGTCCACCACACGCCCGCCCGGGCTGCTGGGAGCCCCGGACGCGCTTAACTGCCACCGCCAGCGCGACTCGGGTGCCGCGCTGCCTTCCTTCCCCTGCGACTCCTCCCTCCCTTGGCAGGCAAGCAACCAAGCAGCCTGCCCCGCAGAGCCCCCTCCCAAGCAACTCCAGCCCTGCTCCATGCGTCCACCCAGCCACCCTAACAAACCTCCTCCTGCGCCCCCACATCCGCAGATTCTCCACGTGCTGCGCCACCTGCCCTGGTACCTGCTGCTGCAGCCCGCACGCCGGGGCGATGTGGCCTGGCTGTCGCTGCTGCCGGGCTTCGCCGCCGTGACGCTGCTGCTGGCGGCGCTGTGGGGCAGCCACCGGGGCGGCCCGCTGTGGACCTGGTGGCGCAGGTGGGGCTGGTGGTGGGGGGGTGGGGTGGTGGGTGGCGTGCGCCCTTCGCCGGGCGTTGATTGCGGGGGGACGGTGGGGTGGGTGGATGGGTTGATGGGTGGGTGGAGCAAAACCGAAGCCTCCCTAGCCCGCGCCCCCAGGTCATACGGGTCCTGGTCCTCCTACCCGATCCGATGCGCCTGCTGAAGACGCGCCTGCCGGTATTTGCCAAGCACCGTATTTGAGGTGGCTCCCTCCACTTTACTGCGGCTGTCTCTCCATGTCTCTCTGCAAAACCTGCCTCCCCTGTCTGGCCGCCCGCCTGCCTGCCCATCCGGGCCTCGTTGATTCACTTATATAAATCCCCCCCCCCGCAGGTACCGCGAGCCGGTGGTGCTGCTGGTGTTCCGACTGGGTCGCTGCGTGATGCACGCGGGTACCTACGCAGTGCTGCCGCGGGGGCGCTGGGCTGCGGCCTACATCGCACCCTACACACTGTCCGTGTGCCGCCGGCCCGCAGCCAGTGCGGTCATGTTTGCGCTGTTTGATGAGGTGTTCAAGGTGGGTGGCGGTTGGTGGTTGGGATGCGGTTGGTGGTTGAGGTGGTTGGAGGTTTGGGTGGTGGTTGGGATGGGCCTGTTGGGTGTGTTGGAGGTTGGAGGTGGAGGCTGCTAATGTGTGTTGTAGAAGCCATTCCTGGCGACGCAAAACTGCCAACACAACACAACACCCTTCCTCCACAGCTTAATCCTTATTTTTCCTTTTGAATACCGGTACTGATCTTTTGCCGGAGATCGCCACAGGTTCGTTTCTCGCTGGGGCTGCCGCTCGCAGCCGTCCACGCCGCTATCGTGCTGTTCTTGTCGCATGCCGTGGTGCCGTACATAATTGATGAGTCAGCAGCGGCAGCAGCCGGCGGCAGCAGCGAGGGAGCCGCTGCGAGCGACGGCAGCGGCAGCGCAACCTCCGGCGGCAGCGATCCAGATCTAGATCGCGGCGCTGGCGGCGGTTCCCTTTTTGCGATCCGAAACCCGGGATGGTGCCGGCAGCCTGCTGGAGCGGCTGGATCCGGTTTTGGATCTGGAATACATTCCGGTGAGGTAATGCTGGCATGTCGTACGCCGGTGCAACAGGCGCTTGCCGTGGCGGTCTTGTTTGCCGTACCGTCGGGTCTTGCATGGCTGACAGAGCGCTATGCGCGGCGTCGACACCGCCGTTTCTGCGAGCGATTGCTCCTTCAGCGCCATGAGCAGCGGCACGGGCGGCAGCAGCAGCAGCAGCAGCAGCAACAACAACAACAACCGCACCCCCAGCAGTCACAGAATGCGCTGAGGGGTTACGGGGGTCTTCATCAAGGGTGCAAGGGTGCTGCCAGCGGTGGTGGCGAGGGAGGCAGCAGCAGCAGTAGCGGTTGCACTGACCCATGGGTCACACCGCCGGAGGGATCAACCTCCTGCCGGTCTTCAGGATCTGAAACAGGATGTGAAACGCAGCGCACTCAACACGGCGGCGGCACTGCAGACGGCCCCAGGGTGCGGTCGCCGCCACCGCCGCAATCAACTTCTCCGTCGCCGCCAACACTGCCCCCAACGCCCGCCCCTTCACACAACTCACTCACGCTGTTGCCGTCATCTTCCTTCTCTCCTCTAGGGTCACTGGATTCCACGCCAGCCTACACAACGCTGCAGGCTGCAGGAGCCGATGCAGCTGCTTCCACCGCCGCCGCCATCGCAACCGCAGGCGTTCGCATTCTTATCCCCTCAGCCGTACCGGTACGAACACCTTCCAGGAAAACCCTCGCCGCCACCACCCCCACGGGTACCGCCGTGCAGGGTACCGGTAACGGCCGTACTGTGCGTCCGTACCGCAGCGTAACCAGATTACAGATGGTTTCCGTCAAGGTACGAGTGCAGCGCGTTCTCTGACCATGACGCATTGCCGTACACCTTACTGCCAATTGAAAAGACGGCCCATGACCCATGGGTCCGCTACCTTCCGCTACACCCACCAGCCCAGCTCCTAAGGCTCCTTCACACACACACTAGCACCCACCATGACTCTCACTTTCCTTCCTGACACGCATGACACGCATGACACGCATGCAGGTGCGAGATCATCCGGGCTCCTACGACGATTATAGCCGCCGGATGTCTGCAGCCGCTCCGGCGATCTTCCTCTCCGCCACCGCCACCTCATCAACCAACCCAACCACCATGCCTCCGCCAGCTCCGCCATCCCCGCCGTCACCCCTCATCCTGCCGCCTTCGCCTTCACCCTCGCCCTCTCCGCCGCCCTCTCCGCCGCCAACGCCGCCTCCGTTTGCACCGCCGGACCCGCTAGTGAGGTCTGTGTGCTTTCGCGGCTGCGTGCAGCTGGTCGCATGGACACGCAGTCTGCAGCGCCACCTGCAACACCGAGTACAGCAGCAGCAACATCAGCAGCAGCAACGGGAGCAACATCAGCAGCAGCATCAGCAGCAGAGGGAGCAGGAGCGCCGGCAGCAGGGGCAGCACTCGTCCTCATCTCGGAGGTCAGGAGTGTTGCGGGGTGGTCCGCAGGGTTGCGCAGTGCCGTTGAGCGCTGGCGCCGTTGAGCTGCTGAGCTTAGTCGACGGCGGCGGCGGCGGCGGTGGTGGTGAACGTACGGCAAGCGGCCTGGCGGAGGCGGAGGGTGATGATGGTGGTATTAGTGAGTACGAGGGTAGCAGTGGCGGCGGCGGCGGCGGTGGTAGTGACGACAGCGTGAGCGATGATGACGATGAGGTTGGTGAGGGGCGCCAGGGGAGCTATCTTGACAGGGCCAGCGGGGACGAAACTGGCGGTGGTCGTGGCGGCGGCGGCGGTGGCGGCGACGTCTGCTGGACGCCGCTGCAGCTGTTGGCGGCGGCACTTTCCGATGACGACGATGGTGCCGTGGGGGGTATGGAGGTGCAGGTCATGTCGGAAGGGCGTCGGGAGGTCCTCATGGGTGGGGGCATTGGGGCGCCGAACGGAACCGGTGCTGCTGCTGCGGGGCCGTCGGAAGCTGGCACCGTCACGCCGACAGTGTCAGCCGTGCAGCTGGTGCAGATGCTGCCGCCTGTGTTGCCGCTGCCGCTAGCACTGCCGCCGGCGCCACGGGGAGTCGTGACCCGGGAAGAAGAAGACGAGGAGGAGGAGGAGGAGGCTGTGGCGGCGGTGCGGTCAGCACAGGCATCCTCCATGCACTATGCCTCCGTGCCGTTGCCTGATGCTCCGCTGCCTCTGCCGCTGCCTCCGCCAGCGCCCTCCCTGCTTGTTCGGTTGCAACTGGACAGTCCCCGGCCACAAGCCGCGAGGCTGCTGGTGATAGGACAACAAGGTAGCGGCGGCGGCGGCAGCGGGACTGCGGTGCTCCTGGCGGAGATTGTCGTACAGCTGTCTGCAGGGCTACAGGAGATGGAGTTGGATGTGGGGGGGATGCTGGGGCCGGCCGCTGCAGCGACGACAGTGTCCACCCGCACATCCGCAAGCGCCGCTACTGCTAGCGCCGCTACTGCTAGCCCACCTGCGGTCGTTACTGCTGCTGCCGACCCGGCCCCAGCCGCTGTTCCTGAGTGCCAGGTGCTGCAGCTGGTGCTGGTGCCGCCCGCAGGCCACCATGAATCCAGTGGCGGATGTGAGGGCGGCGGCAGCGGCGGTGCTGACGACGGCGGCGGCGGCGAAATCGAGATGCTCTGCCGTACGGTGGTGACGTCGCCGCCTCCGCCGCTGGTGCACTTTGCGGTTCCGCTGCTGTTACTGCCAGCTGCCGCCGCAGCGGAGGTGGGCGCTCTGTGGGAGGCGATTTGCGAGGAGGAAGTGCTGGCAGCAGCTGTGGCGGCGACGGATGCGGCGCCGACGTCGGAGGTAGCCGCAGATGGTGGCAATGGCGATGCGCGATCCTCCTCGCCACTGATTGCGCTAGATACGGCGACGACGGCGGCGGCGGTGGCGGGCGCATGGTGGGGTAGCTTCCAACCTCTGCTAGAGGATCTGGCCTTTGTGGCGGAGGCAACTGCGGAGGCGGCGGAAGCCAGCATTAGCGCTGCTGGCGGCAGCGGCGGTAGCATGCCGAGCGGGGGCATCGCAGCGGCAGCGGCGGCGGCGGCGAGGGGAATGGTGGCGGAGGCGGGTTTGCTGCCGTACCTGCGGGCTGAGGGCATGTACGCCACCGCTCACCAGGTGATGCGGAGCTGCGGGGCGAACGGCGCCGCCGCTGTCAGCGAGCTCACAGTAACCTCCGGCAGCGCCTCCGACGGAGCGGCGGCGGCGGCGGCGGCACTGCAGGAAAGCCGGGCCGCCACCTGTTCAGTCTCGATGAGGGGCGGGTACGGCAGGGCCGGCGCTGGTACGGCATGCGGCGGTGGCGGCGGCGGCAACTGCAGCAGCAACACCACTGGCGGCGGCGACGGGTGCTCGTGCTATGGGAGCAGCGGCGGCGGTGCCACCGCCGCCACAATAGCAGGTGACATGGAGGCTATCATAACGTGCGATGCCCGTGCAGAAGCTTGCTTCCCCGCCGCCGCCGCCGCCGCCGCCGCCGCCACCGGCACTGTTTTCACGGCTGTGCCATTCCGGGGCGGCTACGGCAGCGGTGGCGGTGATGGCCGTAGCGGCAGCTTTACCTTTGGCTCCAGGCCTCCGCTGCTGCAAAGCGGTTTGCGGTTGTATGGCAGTCTTCCGCCGTACGGAAAGCCCCGACGGCATTCCTGGAGGGTGGCGTCCGCTCCGGGGGGACTGCCGGCCTAGTGCTTAATAGGTTGCAATTGCTATGCTAGTAGGTCGCGTTGTTGGAAAAGCGGTTCCACAAAAGTGCACTGCTTTATTGTGGGTAGCATTCAGGAGCATAAGTAAGTGTTCCGGGAATTTAGGAACACGCACTTGCGTTAACTGGTAGTAGCTTTGCTGTTTGTGTAGCCAAGTTACTTGCGTTGTGGTCCCGGTGGTACGGGACGAGTCTTCTAGGCTGGCTTGTCATTACATAATGACGGCTAGCGACAGTTGGTTGTCGTTACTGGACAACGTCGGGCTCGCGTTGGAATTAGTTCGTTATGTAGCATTCGGTTCACATACGTTAATCTTAAAGCCGCCTGGATCCCCGGTATTTAAACGTTTTCCGTAAACGTTATATATAACAGCCATGCCTGGCCAGGCAAACTGTTACCGGTACGTTCATTGCTAAACTCGGATGAGAATCATCCAGACAGATGTTTGCCCGGTTTGTTGCACCCGTGTGTAGGCCCTCAACGCACCCCTGGTATCCACATCGCATAGCGCTGTTGCCGCAGGTGGAAGAGCTGTGTCGATGTGGCGCCAATCCCCACGCACGTCCATGCATGACTGAAGGGCCCACGTCCGTGCTCAATCTGTGTTTTATACGGCATGTTTAGGATCTGTGACGGAAGCGTGTTGTTAGAAAGAGCGTCGGCAGGCGCCGGGAGAGGACATGCGGCTTGCCATGCTCCCTCCGTGGGTGCTGTTCTTGGGTCGAGAAGGCGACCCATGGGCCAGTTTGGTGACGTAAATCTTTAGCTTTCCGGGCACAGCCAACTGCAAACAGGGCAGCGCTTCGTTCCTCCACATTGCATGCAGGCGGCCGTTACCTTGGGCTAGAGCCCCGATATCCTCGATCGAGAGGGGCTGTGTGTCATTAGGACCCGCCGATGCAACATGTTTGAAGTACGGTATAGGGGAGGTCAGTCAGGTCGCAGGTGGCAACCTTAGTCCGTCCTGGCTGTACCGGTATGCTGCATGTCGGTCGGCTCGTGCATGATGATGATGTATGCGCGTGCATGATGCGTGCGCGTGGATGGATATGCACGGGCGAGCGTGTAAGTTGTAAACGCTGACACGGACGTGGGAGAAATTGCGAGAGATGAGGACAAACGAGCAATGGAGGGCAAAAAGGAAATACTGCGCGCTAGGGAATGGGGAATCGAGACAGTAATTAAAGTGCAGGACTGGCAGCTTGACGAACGGTTGAAGGCACAGTTGACGCAAAGTTCCTATCCACCCAGGCAGCCTCACGCAGTTCCTTTGGGCAGCGTAAGTGTACAGGTAAATCGAACTGGAACACAGGGACATGCTGCCCTTGTCAGCCAGATGCATGCTTAGGAGGGGTGGGGAGTTCCAATAGTGTTTGGGCGTTCAGAGTTAGGTGAAGCTGCAGCTATACGTAGTCAGGCTCTCACTTGCATAGTCGAGATGCGCCGGTATTCTTGGATAGTACAATCTCGGAATGTTACGATGAGGTAATCTGGAATGGAAAGGACAACTGTACGGCAACTTTAATTAGGCCGCCAGGCCTATTTAAGTGAGCACACCAACTTTACAAGTCATCAGTCTGCTGGTTGCTTTCAACCTAAACACCAGGGGGCTACTTCCACTACTACTATGTCTCGACCTCTGGTCATCGCGTTAGTGCTGGTGTTGGCCCTGGCCGGCCATGCCATGGCTAGCCGGGAGACGCTGGAGCATGAGAAGCAGCTCGCCGAGAAGGACTACCTGGAGCGTGTGAAGGACTACGACAAGACGTACGGCATCGAGCATGGCGAGGAGAACAACAAGACGTATGGCATCGAGCATGGCGAGGAGTACAACAAGACGTACGGCATCGAGCACGACGGCAAAGAGTACGACAAGGACAACAAGTACCATGAGGAGTACGACAAGAACGACCACGACCAGAAGGAGAACGACAAGAAGGAGCATGGCAAGAAGGATGACAGGAAGGACGACAAGAAGGAGCACGGCAAGAAGGACGACAAGAAGGAGCATGGCAAGAAGGACGACAAGAAGGATGACAAGAAGGAGCATGACAAGAAGGACGACAAGAAGGAGCACGGCAAGAAGGACGACAAGAAGGAGCACGGCAAGAAGGACGACAAGAAGGATGACAAGAAGGAGCACGGCAAGAAGGACAACAAGAAGGATGACAAGAAGGAGCACGGCAAGAAGGACGACAAGAAGAAGGAGCATGACAAGAAGGACGACAAGAAGGAGCACGGCAAGAAGGACGACAAGAAGGATGACAAGAAGGAGCATGACAAGAAGGACGACAAGAAGGAGCACGGCAAGAAGGACGACAAGAAGGACGACAAGAAGGAGCACGGCAAGAAGGACGACAAGAAGGAGCACGGCAAGAAGGACGACAAGAAGGAGCACGGCAAGAAGGACGACAAGAAGGAGCACGGCAAGAAGGATGACCAGAAGGACGACAAGAAGGAGCACGGCAAGAAGGACGGCAAGAAGGACGACAAGAAGGACGACAAGAAGGAGCACGGCAAGAAGGACGACAAGAAGGATGACAAGAAGGAGCACGGCAAGAAGGATGACAAGAAGGAGCACGGCAAGAAGGACGACAAGAAGGATGACAAGAAGGAGCAGAACAGGAAGGACGACAAGAAGGACGACAAGAAGGACGACAAGAAAGAGCACGGCAAGAAGGACGACAAGAAGGACGGCAAGAAGGAGCACGGCAAGAAGGATGACCAGAAGGACGACAAGAAGGAGCACGGCAAGAAGGACGGCACGAAGGAGCATGACAAGAAGGAGGACAAGAAGGACGACAAGAAGGAGCACGGCAAGAAGGACGACAAGAAGGATGACAAGAAGGAGCAGGACAGGAAGGACGACAAGAAGGACGACAAGAAGGAGCACGGCAAGAAGGACGACAAGAAGGAGAACGACAGGAAGGACGGCAAGAAGGAGCACGACAGGAAGGAGTACGGCTACGACAACAAGGAGTACGGCAAGAATGAGAAGGAGCACGGAAAGTACGGCAAGAAGTAGCAAGAAGTACAATTAAGCAGGGGCATCACTCACTCGTTTAGGGTCATGCTTTAGTGATATGTGACCCTTCATCTCATGATTTTAACGACAGGTAGTATTATCAGTGAGATAATGAATATTCAGAGAGTGCCGTGATCCAACTTGTCCACCTTAGTCATCAGGAATACCTTCAGACTGACTTGTACACCGCCATTGCATCCGTGTGTCGCAGCCTGTGGGCTGTTTAAAGTTGCATGGAATGCGCTGAATTCACACTTGTCCTGGTAAACAGACATTGTGCTGAAACACTGTGCGTTCATTTCTATTATGATGGCACATCGCGTGCCTTGACAGTATCGTCACGCGACTTGTAAATCGTGAGTTCGGTTTTTGCGCCCAACCTGCATCTGCATCAGGACCGCACATAACCAGTAGCAGCTCACGGTTAACTGCTTCAGTCAGTACCCGCTAACCGGGATCCACACTAAATGGCTCAATGCAATGCAAGGACAACACGCGGGTATAGCGTGGGTTGTATTAGCTGTTCGCAGCAGTGCTGGACATTAATGTTTCAGTTATGCAACGGTAAGTACTGGTGGATAGCCAACACATATCAGGTAAGTTTTAGATGTTTAGCACCTTCAGCTTGAGCTGGACGACAGGCGACAGCTGGGATCTGTCATATCTAAAGTCCAGCACGGCACTTCAGTTTGAATTTTTATTGGCACTACCGACACAGAATTACCTTACAGGGCTATGCACATCTTAAACAATGTATTGTGTCGCGTCACTCTTCCATACCTAACATCACTGTTTAGCACGAGCTCCCCAAACTGTTGCCACACTATCAAACCTCACGCGATTTCCGCTTCTATATGTCTTCACTTCATGTTTAAACTATGGAGGACCTGACAGGGCAGCGTGTAGCTGTCCCCGCAGCTGAATGGGGCCGTTCTGGTAGCGCTTTCTGGTGAGATACGGCCTTTTTACGTAGGCATAAGAGCATGCATATAAAAGAAAGCGACTCATGGTATCTGTGCATCGCAGGGGTACCGTTGTCGAAATAGGCCTCGATGTTAAAGGCGGAGAGTGCGCAGGCATCAAATTGGACAGTGGCCCCCTGTTCCACTGGCCTTCATCTCTGGTGCGGCAATGGCTGAAGTCGCACTCCTTAGCACCGGATCCAAAACGTCCAAAGCTGTCACCAGTTACGAATGTGGCTGGAGCTGGGTATCAGACCACATTAAGCGCGCGTGCCCTCACCACGGAACCCACCGCACTTCAGCGGGGTCTTGATGATATCTTTGGAGTGGCTACACGCCAGGCCGCAACACAGCACATGTCTTCTCCACGGGAAGGGCACGGGTACCAGCAGCCAATAGCGGCCTGCAAGGGCCAGCCGGGCGCTGTGGCGCCTCTGGGGAAGTCCCCAGCCATGCGTAAGGGACCAGGTGGGTAGCTACCGGATAGCCGTCCTCAGCCGTCATGGGCCCATGCAGCAGCTGGAAAACGTGATCTATAGTAGGAGTATAGGACACATGGGTAACTGCAAGACCGCAGTTGCAAGAGCAGCCGGCAGGGCTTCTGCCGCACTGCCCTACACACGCGTATAATAGGGGCGTTGTGTGAACGCATTGTGTGCCCATGTATTGGGCGCGATCCCCCTCATCCCTTCATCACCCGTTTGCCCCAAGCCTGCCTTGCATCACCGCTACCCGACTCGCAGGTCAGCCGGCACAAGTAGGACTCCGCAGCAGTGGCGGCGCAGGTTCGGGGTGCGCCGGCTCTAGCGCCGGGGGGGGCCCTTTAGCACCCGCGGCGAGCACCGCAGCCCCGGGCCGGCGGGCCACGTCCTCCTCCTCCACAGCAACTGCCGAACGACACTTGCCGTCTTGCGCCGTGCAAGCAACCAACCAGGGTCATGGCATGCACGCTCCAAACGGCCGCCACGCAGCAGCGGCAGCAGCAGCAGCGGCACCAAGCGGGCCGGGAGGGGGCAACGGCGTCTCGACCCAAGAAGGCGCACCACCCCAAAAGGCTTGCACATCTGGGAACACGGCGGCCGCGCACGTGAGCCGCGTCGTGAAAATAGAACCAGATGTCGGGACCACAGCTAAAGAGACTGCTGGGGCAACCAATTCTACAGCAGCAACAACAAGAGGTGTTGCTGGCGTTGCGGCCTCAGGAAACGGCGGGCCTTCGGCTAGACCGGATGCAGCAGTAGCGGCAGCAGTACCGCTAAGTGGCAGTAGCGGGGACGTGGACCGTTTGGACGCGGTGGCAGTGGACAAAGACAAGGTGCCCCCGCCGGCACCTCAGCAGCCGGTAGCCTGCACCGCTGTGGCGGGAGGCCATGCGGCCGCCGAAGGCAGCGGCGGCGGCGGCGCTAAAGGCCCGGCGAAAAGGCCCCACGCCGCTGCTGCCAACGTCAGAGGTGCTGACGCCAACCCTGGAGCCCCCATGCATGCGGCGACCAGTGCGAGTTTGCCTCCACCGCCGCCGCGAGGCCAACCAGGGCCGGGGAGGCCGCCCCCCGGTAGCTCCCGGCGTTCCGTCCAGCAGCCTCACGTGGCGCCGAATGCTGGACGGGTGCCGGGTGGGGAGGCGGCGGCGGCGGCAGCCATTGCAGGAGCAGCCGGTGGCGGGGCCCTGCCGGCGAACTCGCCGCCGGCGCAGCCGATTACGACGGGGGCCGCGGCGCTGGCTGCTGGTATACCCTTGGGGCGGTTCTTTTATTTCGGTGCATGAGAGCAAGTGTATGAGAGCAATTAGACGTTTGGGCCGCCCTGGCAGGGCTAAGTGGTAGCAATATGCCGTCGTGGTGCGGTTAGGTGGCGGGTGTGCTCGGCAGGATGGTGGTTGGAAACAGACAGGTTGCATAGGCGCAAGATTGAGAGAGCAGGAGTACCGGGGGGTTTAGCACGAGGGCCATGGTCTTAGCGGGAGACAAAATGATACTCATCATTCCGCTCTTGGGGCGGGATGCTGCGCTTGCTGCCCCCAGCATCCCAGCCCCACTCCTACCTGCATACACTTTGCTGGGTTTGCAGTCTTTTTGGAGGAGGTGATGTATCGTACCATTCGTACAGAACTTGACATTTAAGCGAGCGTTACTAGATTTGGACTTGTACAAAGCAGGATTGCAGAATGGAGCTGTCATGCGTTTAGGTAGCTTGAGAGCGGGTTTGGCAGTTATCGTGGAGGGTTGTGTTTTCTTTTGTCAACCCGACTCCCTTTCTTTGTCAATTCGATGGTTGCACATGAGTGGGATGCATCGTTGGGGTTAAGGGCGCCCGGTGGGTCCTGCATTGCATCGCTGCTTATAACGCCGGTTATGCAACTTGTTGGTCAAGACGATTAGCAGGAGGAGATTGGGGTTTCTGATGGGTCGGCGCGTGGGCGCATACCCTTGTTGCCGCAAATAGTCTTCTCCTTCCTAAGAAGGAGTGCAAATAAACGATCCTTTTGAGGATACGTCTGTAGGTTCTGTGGGCCAGAGCTGGTACTGAAGTCTGGAGGCTTCACCGTGATCTGTGGGGCTAGACCAGGAGCAATGACCCATGGGTCGGCTGTCCTATCTTGTAATGGCGTGGACATTTCGGCAAACTGGGCGCTCCATTAACAAGCAATCACTTCATATACGCGCAAAGGCTTTGTCATGTTAGGGATGGGCCAAAAACCTGGCATGACGCCAGGCACAAAATTCCCTTAAGTTGTCCAGCGTCAATCTACGTTCTGTTTCCAAGTGATTTGCATGAAACGTCCTAACCAAAACCTAAACACGTTGCCGGGCCACCTGCCCCCGCACAAGCACAGGGCGGTCCCATCACTACCGTACGTATGCAAATGCGCCAAGAACAAGGAAAACCCCACAAGGAACTAATGCACAACTGTGCTGAAGCTTCATGCAGCTCTTGCAACAACCCGCCTGCATACAGCGAAAGACTGCCCCACTGCCTCTTGTTGCGGGGAGAATAACGCTCAAATCATCAACAATCCGCCGTCTTTCCACCCCTCCAGGACCCAGGGAACCCTACAGACATGCTTCCAACCCAACCCATTGTTCCAAGCCCACGACATCCTCCGTCTCCTTGCCCCTCCCCCTCGCATGGCACCGTCACACGCGTCTCCACCTTGCCGCGACCAACCCGGCTGCCCTGGCTCGCCAGTGTTCCGGCTGCACCCCGTGTGGCTGCCTCGTGTAACCCCTCATGCAGTCGTTGTCGCGGGCTCCTCCGCCTCCGCCGGCGCCTCTGCTGCCTTAGCGGCCGCCACCACCTTCTCCAGCAGGAACTTGACCACCTCGCGCTGCGGAAGCAGAACAGCAAGCAGGGCAAGGCAGCAGCAGGGGCCAGTCAGCAGCGGGACGGCGACCCTAGTGCAACTACCGGTGTGGAGCCGTGTCGCATCATCGTTAGTTAGCCAGCGTTTGCTTCCTCGTCAACAGACCATATCCACTCCTTTCCCTCCTCCACTTCGCTCCCTCTCTCCTGCTTCCTTTCGCCCCGTTCCTACCTCCCCGTTCAGCTTGGCTACATCCAGAGGCGTCTGTCCGGCGCCATTCTGCGCCTCGAGCTCAGCCCCCGCCGCCAGAAGCGCCTTGAGCACGGCAAGTCGCCCGTAACCTGCACAGGAGGGGAATGTGTCATGGAATCCTCGGAGCGTCGTAAAGGCGCAGTACGGACCAGATGGCGTACAGATGTGGTATTTCAATAGCGCAAATACGGAAAGTTATCTGGGCACCATCTGCCTACGTTGTCAACTCTTATACATCCCCCCGTCCGGCACCGCTGCGGCCCTTAATATACAGTTTAACATGCATCTGGAGATCTTACCTGCCGCATAATGCATTAGGGTGTTTTGCTTGGGGTCCCGGAAGGTCAGATCAGCTCCCTTGGAGATCAGCAGCTTCACAATCTCTAGCCTGTTGAAGCCAACCGCCACTCCCAACGGCGATACGCCCCGCTCATTCTGGGGCAAGAACAATCAGGTTTTGCACGTCACATGGGGGGTTACGTAGCTTGTCAGCTTGTAACAACCAGGCTTGGGCAAAACGCCCATGCCCTCCACGCATTAACACAGCTTTCGCACCTCTTAGCTGCACCCGTACTACGCCACCAAGCCCTACGCCTTAGGCCACATTCAGGAGCTCCCAAGCAAGCCTCTCGAAAGCAGCTACGGTACTCAGCGGCCACCCCAACCAAGGCAAACAACAAAACACCCACCGACCCAGCCACCCACCCACCAGCCCCCCCTATTTACGGCTAATGTGTCCCCTGTACGGCGTATCCCACCCACCGGCGCATTCACATCCGCTCCCTCCTCCATGAAGCGCGAGGCTGCTTCCAGGTCGCCATGCTTGGCCGCATCGTGCAGGTTAGCGATGAGCTGCATGTTCCAGGGTTTAGGGTTTTCACGGGTTTAGGGTGCGGAAGTACACAAGTTGAGGTGGCAAAAGTGCTGTTGGCTCGATTTAGCGGCATGGCACAGGCCTGGGCTGGAGCTTGGAGGAGCTGGGGCTAGGGCCTGTAAGAAGTGCGGCAGCAGCTCCTCCAATGTGATGTTTCCCCATTCGACGCCCTGTCGAATCGTAACACCCTGTAACTATACGCAATCACCGCCATACCTCAGCCCCCTTCCCGCACACCTCCCATGGCCACGGCCCCTGACCCTCATCACCTTCTTGGCTTCAGGCGCCGCAGCTGCCACCGGTTCCCCCTCCGCGCCCCCCTCCGCAGCCGGTGCGGCCTGACCGTTTACATCCAGCGCTCGCAGCTTCTGACTGATCTTCAACATGAGGTCCGTGTCGTCCCAGTACCTGTACGGCAAGGCAAAATACGACAGCAGTAGCAGCAACGTTGGGAAGAGGTAGGTAGCAGCAGCACCAGGAAGAGGCAGTAGCGGCAGTGGTAGCAGCGGTACCGTAGGGAACGCGCCACTTGTCGCGAGCGCGGCTAGATTTACTACATTGATTACGGTAGCTGGACCACACAAACCTTGGGTACTGCCTGTGTAGGCGCTAACCTTGGTAGTACGGCAGTGTCTCTCCGTGCGTGAGCTGTGTACGTCAAGTTCGGCAATCACAGTACGTTCCGCCTCGCGGCCAGTTTTCCTAATACACACTCACGCGCGCATTCAAGCATGCAAGCAGGCCTTCATGAGGTACCGCTGCTGCACTGGCTGCCTTACTTTTGGAAGGCCGCCGCTCCGTTGTTCTTCATGTCCTCGAACATGTCCTTCAGCTCCGGGTCGTCCTTCAACGCACTCAGGCGGTCCACCGTGGCGGGAGCTTGGGGCGCCTGCTCGGGCAGGGGAGCCGAAAGGGGTACGGAGCGGTTGTACGATGCGGATACGGGTGCAGGTACGGAGGAGATATTTAATGAGAGCCCGTATGGGAAGCTTGGGGCCGCTGCAGTGTTGCGCCCAAGCCGTGCCTTGTTACGCACTGTTGCACTCCAACAAATGCCTGAGGCACTGTGATACGGGCATTGCGGATTTCAGGTGTGATTCTGTGCGCTATTTCAACCCTGCTCTTGTAATCCTCTCCGCTACGGGCCTGCATCGTCTCGCACTGCACTTCCAGAAGTGCAGCTCAACCAGGGCTATAGCCATTACTACATCCCCACGGTTGCAGCTGGTCGAGGCGGCCACGCACCATCATGTTGGTGAACGCGTTAGCCATCGCCGGATTCTTCATAATCATTTGCGCCTGATCGTAAGCGGCCTTCGCGGCAGCCGGATTGGACTTCAGGTACTCGACCAACGCTTGCGCCTGGGCGGTAGGCATTCCTGGCGGGATCTTGATTGGCACCTGTATATCGGTAAGGCGTGAACGCGATGAAGACAATTGCATGAGCGATGAGCCGGTTTGCGGGGTCGTGCATTATCCTAATTTCAGGATGGCACAAGTTGCACCACACCATACGCCGCTAGATTTAAGAGGCCAAAAGCCTATCTGCCGCTTGCCTCTGTGCCATCCTCCAATGTCACTGTCTGGGCTTCGAGGATGGGCAGCTGGCGAGTGTGCGCCGCGGCAGTGCGACGACCAGCTGCTTTCCGCGCTGGCAGGGCTGGGGCTTTAGTCGGCATTTGTACTATACTATGCAAAGTCAAGTTGCCAAATGCGGTCTCCCTATTAACTGTGCAACGAAAGACCCGGCCCGTATACTTGCGATGTTGTCGGAGGTTTAGATCAATAACGTAAGGCGAATAAATGGTTAACAATTTTCTGATGCAACGCTTAGTTCAGTCTGAGAACCTGCTAGTAAGCTTCCAGTATCTAGATCTTACGACACCCAACTTCCGTACGGTCTGCTCCCTTACGGGTTACTGGTAAATGGGCGCCTTTCTAAGCTTATAACCCACTCCCCTACTGTTCCTTCTCATCCAGCACTAGCAACTGTCCAGTTAGTCTTCCGGTTCCCCTTATACGTGGATCTTGGGCTGTAGCTGATGCCCGAAACCCTCGTCCTGTGATCCTCCAGCAATCACATGATCCACGGACATCTTAAGCCCATACCGTGCATTAAGGTGCTAATCTCGTTAGGCTTAAGCAGGTTACAATCTTGCAAATTACAATCCTGCAATGCGCCATGTACGAATTGCAGAGCGATCAACAATAATGAACACGACTCCAAATTCTCCTGCCCCCGCCACACATGTTGCTGTCGCCACACATGTGTACCGAACGCAACCAGATCAGTAGCAAGCAGCTACATTTGCAGTCATGAAAAAGCGTGCACTGTGGCAACTCGATATCATTTCTCCAGACACGCATGCATGCAGTAACGCAGGCACCTGCAAGCCTACGTGTGGGTGCGATGCAAGGTGCAAGATAAAGTCGTGGCAAGGAACTCGGCACAATCCACGATGCTCAGAATCAATAATGAAACAGCGCTGCCAACTCCAATCTCCGGGTGCGTTTCCACGTGGAGAAGCCCCAGACCACCATGTCAGCATAGAGCCACAAGTAACCAAATGTACCAAATGTAGAGTGCAAACGCACCATCCTCCTCGCTCGCAGCACACATGCCCCCATCCTATCTCATGGAAGCACCAAACAGCCCGGGTCCACGCCAGGATCGCTCAGCGGTCGTAGCTGGGCGACCGATCACAGCGCTCAGGCAGGGGGCTGCGGCTGCGGCTGCGCCCCCGCAGCGGCGGTGGTGACGCCCGGCGGTCGTATCGAGGGGAGCTGCGGCCGGGCGAGCGTGCGCGGCGGTCCCGAGACCTTGAACGCGACCTGGAATACGAGGAGCCACGCGTCAGTGAGGATCGAGACGTCTGTCTGTCTGTTATTGTGTTTACGAGGTACGGCTTGTTAGATGGCAGTTGTGTTGTGGCCCCCTCCGCTCCATGACGTCACTGCAAGCCACAAGGTAGCCGGAAGCACGCGCTGGGCCGAGCTGCCGAGCAGGGTCCAGGCAGGGTGCTTCCTCAGAGGCCTCTAGCTCTGCCTCTAGCTCAGCTTCCCAGAAGCTGGCGGGGGCCTTACCCAGGCGGCACACGTGGGCAGCGGCGGAACAAGATATCAAGCATCCTTGAGTTCGCTACCGCTGTGACAACGCTGCTGCCTTTTTACTTTTTTATTCTACGGTTGCAGACACGCATGCCTGTTTCGGCAGTTGCCTTGGGGTCCAGACCGTCAAGGCACACGCACCTGTCTCGGCCCCGGTAGTCCCGGTCGCGGTCATAGTCACGGTCCCGGTCGCGGCCATAATCGCGATCACGATCTCGATCGGCGCGACCAAATTCGGACACCCGCACGTTCGGGTCCTCGTTCTGCGGGGAAGACGGAGGGGATAATTGGTCACAAAGCCATGGATCAAGAATTTGAAATTGAATTCTATGATCCTGACAGCTCCACAATGGACACAGCACAGCTGCCAAACCCTCCACTTAGTTATCCCAGCATGCATGCAACCGTGTAGCATCTAAGCCCACTCTAAGGCAATCAGGACGCATAGCGGACACGCACTCCCATGCCCAAACGGCAGCACCAAGCGCGTACGGACCGACCTGTACGAACTCTACCGCCAGCGTACGGCCGTCCAGCTGCACACCGTTGCAACGCTCCTGCGCACGAATGGCCGAGTCCACATCCGCAAACTGGATGAAGCTGTAGTTCTTCTTGATCTGCACGCGCAGCAGCCGCCCGTAGCGCGAGAAGAAGCGTTCCAGGTCGCGCTCGCTGGTCCGACGTACATCCTGCGTACGATTGCGGGAGGAGGAGGGTGGACAGTAGCTAGTAGCTCTAGCGGGCTGATACCGGTATTGGCATGGCAGGTTTGCCATAATGGCTTGCTGCAAGGGAAGAGTGACGGCGGCGTGGTTCGGTTAGCAAGTTGCCCTGTCAAGCTATTTTATAGCGCTTGAGACAGTGCCATAAAGCTCCCGGTGTACAGGCGACCGCTACCGGCACTTACAAAGTTGACGACAAAAAGTGTCCTGGAAGGGCGCGTGTCGCGCCTCCTGTCCGCTTCCGACTTCTGCGGACGGGCAAGGGAGGCACAAAGAGGGCGCAAGGAGCCATCTGCGCTGTTACGGTAGCCCGCGTTTGGGCGTTGTTTTGGTGGCCATAGCGGCTGAAACCCAGAGCTAGGACTGGCTAGGATGGAAGCTTTTCTGCCGCTTTCAACGCCCTGCCCGCTAAGGCTTTGTGTTCGTGCGGAACCGGTTGCGCTGGTGCAAGCCTGCGCCGAGTAATGACCGGGTGACGCGCCGCGCACCTGCGCCCACTCCACTTTAAGCTGCCGCCGCTTGTAGCCCCACTCCATGCGATCTAGGCGCCGAATCGCCTCGTCGCCATCCTCCTGCATGCGCGAGGGGCCACAGCAGCAAGGGCGAGGTTCAGCTGCAGCCCACCAGTTACAGTGGCTACCATGTCAGTCGAGATGCGGAGGGCGCTCTCCGGGGCTTAGACCCGACCTACCTTGTAGCGCATGTAGACGAAAGCAAACCCTACACGGGAAGGGAAACAGCGGTTAGGGCGGGTGCAAAGTGGCCAACACAAAGGTGGGCTAGATGCAGTCAGTAAGGGCTTTGCACAAAGACGTGCAGGTACTGCTTGCAACAACGTCTGGGGTGCCCTGGAAGTGCCGCCCGGAGGGCCCTGGAAGTGCCTGTGCCTAGTCATCATCTCACATAGCAGAAGAACAGTCGTACAGTCCGCAAAAAGGTTACGAGCCACCAAATAATCCGTGTTTTCCACCGGCATGCAGCTTCCCTAGCAGCATGGTGTAAGCCTACAGCTGCCTATGCACGGCTATATAGCTGGCCTGACGTACAATACACAGCCGTCACCGAAGATTTTGACATGTGAAATCCCTCGCAAGCGCTGTGCCTGCATTGGGCTAACCACGCAGGCCGTGTACTGCTGACAAAACAGTACGGCTCGGGGAGACTAAACGCCACGACACACCTGGGCTTGGCAACCTAGTGGCATGTGCAGGTGGGTGGTGGTCGGTGGTTGTGGCATGTGGGGTTGTTGACGTGGCAGGCAGTCAACATGTTGCCGTGAAGGAAGTGAGGGGGTAGGCAAGGTTGATGTTGTTGTAGGACTAGTGTTGCCAGGCAGGTACGCTTGGAGGTGGTGGAAGGCAATCCGGGATGCGTTTGACCCTGCTTGCATGGGATATGACTGCCGTCTTGGAAGTCGCTAGCGACAGAGGCTGGGGGTGCAAGTTGCCTTAAGGTAGGGGAACCCAAAGACTCTCCAGCATTAGCGACCGGGCAGTTTGTAGCGCGTATCCGCCGGTGATACAATTCGTCTCGCCGGCAGCTGGGTGTCGTTGCGCCCTTGGCTGCTGAGCATTTGCGAGGACGCACTTGAAGATTGCATGCCGGTTGGGTAGGGTAGCCCGTGAAATCCCGCTCATCTTGCCTTGCTTCATGTCGATCTTGTCCACAGGACCTGCATTACAGCCGGGGTTGTTTGGTGGATAGACCGCTTCCGGTCCAGGGTTACTGCTGCCATTACTCTTAATGGACGTACCATATTTCTCCATCAACCTCACGACCTCGCGCTCCTCCGCGTCATACTACAGAAGTTATGTACAAATACTGAGCATGAGTGGAAGGGTAAGCCAGGGCGAAAAATAGAACCCATGGCAAAGAGCAGTTGGCCCTGATAACGTATCACGTGCATGACATCTCACAAATACCGCCTGTGCTTACCTCAAAGTTCCTGATGAATTGGGCAACGTGTAGGTTAATAAAAAAGGGTGGTCAGTCACGCTTGGAAGTCAGCAGTTCCCCTTTGGGGTGCTTTACAGAACTCACCCTATGAAAACAGGACGATCGGGACGCTCGCTCATGATTACAGGTGAACACAGTCGTGTGCAAGAGGACTAGTAGAAAGGACAGGTTCAAACTCAGCGTATAACACGAATGGCGCCAACGTCCACTATGCGTGACAACAACATTGAACTTAGTGAATATAGCTTATACCAGAGTAGCTGGACAGCTCGGAAAGGGAGTCTTAACCGTACTGTACGGTGAAAAGTGATCAGCTCGACAAGGCCAAGCAACACTCGCCTTACCATCATAGTGCTGAAGAAGCTTCCTTATTTACCTTTTCAACATGATTTAATAACGTCGTAACGCGTACGGTGTGGTAGGATGCCACGCCTTCAGCACGTATCCAGGCTCCAAACACACAATGGACTCTGTTTTGGATCTCTCTGGATGCGTAGAGCCACACCGAAGCGCCTGCTGCAGGTGTCAGTATCTCGTAGGGAGCTACTCCTAGCCGCGCTTGCGCCCTCTCTACTACAGGAAACGGAGCCCAATTTTGGCAACTGTCCAACATGTAAGCAGTTGTCGCAAATACCCTGCTGTATAACGCGCGTCGTTGTAATTAGTTCGCTACGGTGACCCATGGACCGCTGCATGTGGTTCAGGCGTTGGAGTCATCGACGGCACGCTCGGCAGGTAATGGCAAGTCCATGGCTTAGAACCTCTTAACGATTTGCTGGCCGACATGATATACATGTAGCCCGCACTTAGCGCCCTAATGACCTCAAGGACGCTTTGGGCATGGTTGCATGCCTCCACGGATACACTCGAGCCAAACCCTAAACCCGCTGTAGACCTGGCACAGTCCTAACTTGCAAGGGCTGCCCAGCATCCTAACCTTTTAGCAGGCACCTTATCCTGTCCTTTCCGGCTTTCATTTCGCAAAGCCCCGGATCCTTACCTTGCTGTCAACATGTTCTACTGCAGCTGCGGCGGCTTGCGTTCTTGTTTATCCAGCTTCGACGACCGTCCAGGGCACTTCGTGGCTCCCTGGATGTACGACAACAGCACTCGTACGGAAGCTTTGGGGCTGCTGATCCAGGCGGTGAAGGCACTCGGAGGGGATGTACGGCAGGTGCAGGATGGGGCGCCGTACAGCTACGTGTACGCCACGTGGGGGAGCTGGCTGGGCACGGATGATGTGGAATTCTTGTTGCCGACCGGAGATAGCACGGTGGGTCAGGGAAGGCGGAGGGAAGGCTCCTTGTTGGGCATTGCCTGCGGACCGCAAAACCGGCTCACACACACAGGGGTTCTATCCTATATCCGCACGTTTAGGGAAATGCGGCGGAAGGGGTTGACCGGGACTTGGCGTAACTGGATTGGATGTACCTCACTACACACTCAATAACAAGTTTATCAGGCATGTTGCCGCCGTGATACTGATGACGGTTTGGGGCTCTCGGTGCTCAGCTGTTCGACTCTTCCGGGCGACGATGGGCGCAGTGGCCTGGTTCGCTGGTGGCATCTTCCATGCATCGTACAACCAGCGTGCCATTGTCCACGCTTGCGGCTGGTCTACACATGAGCCCCATGATCACCACCAGTCCGCTGTCATGCATGTACGTCGGTGTCCTTCCGGCCGGCCAGGTGGTGCTCCGCTCGTCTTCACGGGTCCAGGGCCTGCCCGACGTGGGTCGCAACGAGCAACGGCTGGAGCAGCTGAGGGTGCTGCTAGGTTGGGAACAGGTACGGTTGGTTACAGCAGCAGCAATCTGCCGTAGTATCAGCCGTGGTTCTCCTCCTGGAAACCACTGTAAAGGTCATTCATTCAAGTGTACCGTTCTACCGTATGAGTACGCATGGTAAGCGCAGCTGGCATGCGGGGTTGGCACCACCTCAGGCTGTGTGTGCTTCGTGACATGCAGGTTCCCATTCTGCGCAACCGCCGCCGCGCGCTTTACTTTGTGGAGTCACCTTGGGACACGTTTGGGCCCGTGCCGCCCTTGGATCCCGAGTACCGGATTGGAGCTGACCTGGACGCTGCTGAGTAGCTGTGTTGCGAGCATGAGGCTGTTGAGGCATGAGGCGCAGCATGGGGAGGCGCAGCACGTGGGGACCTGCATCATGCGGTTGTATTTATGTGTATAGAGCTGTTTGATGGGAGGCTGAGGGTAGCGTGTGTATCTACGGTATGCATTCCAGTGGCTCGTTACTGTCATCACGTGCTCATCCGGGACACGAATGGGTTGCACTGCTGGTGGGTGTTTCGCACTGAAGTGCTTTACGTGCCTTACATAGCGTGAACGTTGGGGTGAGGAATTCTCGAAGGGTTTGCAAAGCCGCCGAGAAAATGCCGTGGGTGACAACATTTACTAGTGCATGTGGATGCTTCACAGGTTTCTCTTCTGGTATGGCTTTTGTTGCAGTCTTAGAAACATGGCCATCGCCAAGGAGAGGGGCCCAAACCACAGCCCGGTCCTTCCTGCCAAGGGGTCCATGGGCAGCAGCTACGCTGCATGTAGCCAGCAGACTTAACCACCTTCATCCACCACCATCCCTGGATCCTCACTTAGGCCATTACTTAGCAGGCCGCATTCGAGCAGGCGGCTTAGTTCCGCAAGCCTCCCTCGACGCTCAGGTTTGTTGCTACCTCCTTTGCATAACCGTAAGCCTTAGTCAACGTGAAAGCACGGCGCGACCACTCCCTGCGTTAGCGCACAACAATTACACAGCGTCTATCCAACCACGCTCTTGATAGTTCCCAAGTCCTAGGCCCAGATGAGGTCACCATGGGTCCCCCTAAACCCCCATGCATACGACGCCACCGACGCACACGTCAACGTAATCCCAACACACCTGGTCATTGTCAACCAAAACACGGCACAACCAGCTCACATGCAAGTCCAACCAGGCGCCCTCATTACTGGGGCGGCGCTGCCTGCGCTGATACTGGCGGATCCTGCCAAACGTGCGTCTCGGCTAGTCGGTACAGCCACTCCTCCTCGACCACTTGAGCGGCAGCGTTGCCGGCGTGGCTGCGTCGCTCGGCAGTTTGGGTGGCATCGCCCAACGCCACGAACAGGGTAGCCGAGCGGGCGGGGACGAGCTCTCCACCCAGCGCCTGAGGGGGCATGCATGGAGAGGCAGCTACGCGTTGAACATATGAACGGGTGGGCGGATTTGGGGCGGGTTTTGTGGGCTTGGCCGTAACAGCTGCCGGACCGCTCATGGGTAGCACTGAAGCTAAGGAGGCGCGTCTTGAGCTCTTGACATGGGGGTGGGCAGTCCCTAGCACGCATGGAATCCTGGGACGCTGAAATTGATGACGGACCTTACCCATGGCTATGTTGGACGATTACCGGTATTCAGACCTCCCTATCCGTGCTAGTAAGGAAACCGTTAACGCCCCAACCCCATTCCATTAAGCCAGCCAGCCATCAAGTGGCCCAACTACCCCTCTTACCACGAGCAGCCGCTCCAGATCTGCCTTGCGTGTGGCCGCTTCAGACATCTTGGCGAAGACAAAGGGCGTACCGAGCACGCACACCTGCCGGCCTGCAAGCGGCTTGGCAACAACCCGCCCGCTGGGCGTGAGGGGCGCTGCGGCCGCCGTGCTCCCCTCCGCGCCCTGCTGCTGCCGCTGCTGTTGTCGTTGCTGCTGCTGCCATGCCGGCAGCAACGCCCGCACCGCACGGGCCGTCTCCGCGAAGTTACCCTGCATGTGCACATTCACACCCGCACACCGTTCACCAACCTGCACTGATAGCACGACATGTGTGTATCCGGTATCCCAACGCCGGTATACGTCACGTGCATGCAGCATGCAGGGCTTGATCACCCGGCTACCCGGCCTTAGCAAGCCATCAGCATGGGACATCCGCAGTACAGCCGCACTGCTACAGTGCCCTCTCCACCTCACCTGAGCCGGGAACTCGTCTTCCGGCAGCCAGCGCCCCGCCTTCAGCGACTCTGTCACCCAGGCGGGCGTTACGAACAGCGCGCCGTTGGCTATGGCCAGCAGCACCTTGACGGTCCGCTTCGCGGCGGAACCCAGGACCAGGTGCGTGATGGGGCCCTTGTGGTCCGCGGAACACAGCCTGTGTGTGTGTGTTGTGTGTGCCGGGTGCCGGGAGCAAGGACGAGGTGAGGGGGCGAGGAGTGCGGGGAGGTTGGTTGCATGGTTGGTGGTTTTGGGGAGTAGGAGCCACGTACGTAAGCTGCAGCCGCCAAACCTTCCTTGCGCTGTGCTCACCCGCACAACACACACCACGCACTCACACCCTAGCACCCCAGCCTACGCACCTGGCGCCTTCCAACTGCCGTACAGCATTTTGCATAGCCGACTTCGCGGTGTTGTCCAGGCACGTGTGCATCAGATGCTTGGCGCCCTTGCTGCCGTGCTGCCCCTTGGTACCGCCACCCCGTGAACCAAGCGCCCCTCCCCGAGCCGGAGCCGCCGCGCTGCTGGTGGCCGCCCCCGCCGCTGCTGCCTCATCCACTGTCCTGGTCGCCTCAACACGTGTAGCTGTGGAGGTTGCCGCTGTGGTGGCGGGCCCCGCCGACGCGCCGAGCGCTGTTTCACTCATTGGCATGGCTGGCGAGCGAGCCTTGACGCCCTGAGCCCGGCTAGCTTTGCCACCAGCACTCTCGGTCCGCTTAGCCGCAGCCTTGGCAGGGCCGCCGGAAGCCGCTGCCGCTGCCGGCGGCCGCTGCCCCGGCTTAGGCTTTGCAGCGTCGGAAGGCTTGGACGCAGGAACTGCTGCTGCAGCACCACCTGTAGTGCTGGAGAAAGGCTTGGCTTGTGCGCCCGCTTCCCCATGCTTGCGTTCCTGTTCGGTATTGGCGCCGCCAGCAGGAGCTAGGGGCTCCTGCGCCTCTGCGCTCGCTTGCACTACCTCTCCAGCGGAGGCGGCAATGGGTTGCCGGGCGCTGGGCTCGGAACGGCTGGCGAGCAGGGAAGCAGAAACCGTCGACGGCGCAGCTGCCTGGGCATCCTGTGTCGCTTTCCGCTTCAGGTTGGAGAAAAGCGAGGCCGCAGGCGCATCGGCCTTGGAGCTACAGCGTTTGATCCCCATGGCTGAGGTAGTCTGCGCAGACGCAGCAGGTTGGCCCACGGATAGGCCCTGGGATGCGCCCAGTTCGGAGGAGGCGGCCCGGGGCGGAAGAGCAGCCGCACGCTTTTGCAGCCGTAACCTGTTGGGCTGCTGCGGGCGAGGCACCTGGCGCGGCGGAGCTAAAGCCGTCGCCGCAGCCACGGCCGGCGGCGCCATCGCCTGCGCCGCCTCTACTGTCCCAGCTGTCGCCTCCTTTACTGCCGTTGTTGTTGCTGCTGCTGCCACAGGCTCTTGTGCTACCTGGCCTGCAGCACATGCGGCGCTGGACTCGGCAACAGCCGGCAGCTGCTCTGAAGCAGGTGGCTTTTGAGCGCTGGCACCGCCTGTCCGTCTTGTCGTACGGCCAGCAGCGGGAGTGGCACCCGCCGCCGCAGCCGCCACTGTTGCCGCACCCTTGGCCACAGACGGTGTGCGACGCGTCCTTGGCGGGGCCTGCTCCGCTGCTCCGCCTCCACACGCGTCGTCACCAGTCTCCGGCCCGCCCTCCTCAGCGACGGTTTGCAAGGCGGAGGCCATCCGAGCTGGAGCTGCTGCAGCTGCGGCTGGCGCCGGCGGCTGAGCTGCAGCTGCTGCTGTACCGGGCTCCTTGCTGCTGGTGGCATCACCATGCGCTGCCGCCGATAGCTCGGTGTCAAGAGCTCGCCGCCGGGATCTGGGCAGGGCCGCGTCAGGAAGGTATGGGTATGGTTCGTTAGGTGGGGGGGCCTATTCATTGAGGCAGAGCCCTATGCATGCAGTGCACAATACTCACATCGCACGGGCTGAGCACAGCGTGTCCGCTTTGCACTCCGTTGGCATACATGGTTGGGTATATCGACATTCCCACCTGGTAACGCTGCCCGGTCGTTGCAGCGGGCTAGGCGCGGTCAAGGCCATGGCAGCGTCTTCCACTTTAGGACAGCTGGGCCCCTCCTCCACCTCAACCGGCAAGCACTTGCGCTGGGAGCGGGTCATGTACTTGCTAGCGGTGATCGGCGTTACTCCCGCATGGGCCTGCTGCGTGGCGGTTAGAGCGATTGAAGATGGCTGCTCCGTCTGCGGCTCAGACGGCTGCAGCTGCTGCTGCTGCCTGGCCTCGCTGTGCTGCTCGCCACGCCGTCGCCGTGCGTGACTGCTTGGGGACGGGTTACGAGCCGGCACCTGCAGTGGCGAAAGCGCCAACGCCAACGTCTGCGGCACCTCAGTTACCGCTGCTGGTGCTGCTTGCGGGTCTGGGACAGGTAATGCAGGCCTAATGACGGCCGGGACATCCGCAGCTTGCAGAGGCGGTGGTGTAGCGGCGGCGCGCGAGCGTGACCGCGTGCAGAGCGCTGGCGAGGGTAACACGAACACCTGCACAGCAGGAACAAGGGGAGAGGGGCAAGCTCTAACGACGTTACGAGTGAAGAAAGCCCAGCGACGTCACGAGCAGCATGCGGAGCAGCTAAGTGGGACCATGGACGCGCATGCCCCCTTGCTTCCATGCGCCCTACTCTTCTTGCTCTGCCGATAACGGGGCCTCGTGCCAGGTCGGCAGGTACGCGTTGGGTCCTACCTCGGGATGCTGAGGACCCGCCCTGTCCGCATTCGCTCCTTCCCGACCACGCCGCCGGTTCCGCCTGCCAAGCGGCGTCGGGCCCTTGGCGGCCTCCTCCTCCTCCTTCTCGTCTTCCGTCGTGAGATCCACCGTCTCAACGGATCCCGCTCCTTCATGGCACTGTCTTTTCCGTGAACGCGACGCTGGTGGCGGTGCCGGTGGTTGCGACTGCAGTGGGCACATTCGATGAACTGGGGGCAGGGGCGGCTTGAAGCCCTCCCACACTTGGCCAGGATCCGGCTGCTGCTGCTGCTCTTCCTGCGGGGCTTGTCCACCGCCTGCCTCAGCTACCACGTCTTTCTGCTTTGCACCCGCTCCAGGCCCCGGTGTCGGGCACGTGCCGCTTGGGGCCAGCACAAGGGGAGAGCAAGCGGCAATGCGGGTAGACCTCCGCAGCACGGAGCCTGGAGTCTGACCGGCAGGAAGGGCGCCAGTGACCGTCGTTCTTTCGCATGCCCCCGCATCGCTGTCGGCCGCATGCCCCGCTGCTGCTGCTGCATCAAGCGACTGTGCCCCTCCATTGCCAGCCAAGCCACCATGGGCAACCTCCACAGGCGATAGCTGTAAGGGCGTGGCCTTTCGGCCCTTCCGTTGCGTCTTACGGCCTGTGGCATTGCCCGCACACCTGCCCTGGGTCTCCTTCCCGCCGTCGGCCGCCTCCATGCCGTCCTGCTGCATCCCGCGCAAACATGGAGTTGCCTGCTCCTCGGGTTGCTCCTCCTCGCCGTCTCGCCCCACACCTGCGGTTGATGCGCGAGCAGCTGTCTTCTTGGCCCCGAGTAGGACTGGCGTCGTAGAACCTCCATCCCATTCCGCTGCCGACCCCAACGCGCTGCCTAGCTCCAACGCCCCCTGGCCCGGCTGGGGCGCCCGCGCGCTTGCAGGCGCAGCCGGTGGCAGAGGCGGCAAGGGGGAAAGGCTGGGAGCGGGTGGTGGTGTGGGTGGCAGCCCCGCACGTGCACGGGTGCTACGGCGCACCGAGACCGGCATCACAGCCACAGGCAATGCCTGTTCCGCAGGGGGATCTGGGAGCTGCGAGCCTGAGGTTCCCACCACAGCGCTTCCCTGGGAGGAATCCCGCTTCCTTCGCCTGGCCGTGGGCGAGGCCTCGCCCAAGCTCCCAGCCCTCTCCAGCGGCGCCCCTTCCGCTGCTCCACACTCCTTCATGGCAGCTGCTAGCGCTTCGGCCGGTGCCGCTGCTGACGGCCCGCCCGCCCCAGCCCCTGCCTCTGGTGTGGCTGTCCCCGAGCGAGAGGGGTTCGCGCTGCCCTGAGACTTCAGCCTGGGCACCACCAGGGCGACCGGCGTTAGCCCCTGCGGCGTCCCTGTGGGCGTCGTGAGCGTCTTGCCCTTCCCAAGCACGGGCGTGCCCATGCACGAGCGGGAGCCACGACGTCCTGACGTACGCGTCATGGCAGCAGCCAACGCAACGGCGTCAGCCACGGCCGCGCTCAAAGCGCCGCCGCCAGGCTTGTTATTCCCGGCGCCTGCTGCGGCTGCAGCTTGGGACCGCGGTCCTGCTGCAGGATCGGTGCTGCCAGGAGTAGGCACGGCTTGCGCGGGTGCGTTGTGAAGTGGGGAGGCCTGGCGACTGCGCCCGCCTCTGGTGGCGCTCGGCGGTCGAGCGGGTGCGGCCGCGGCTCCGGTAGCCGCATCGCCACCACGCTCGTTAGATGCGTTGCCCTGGTTGGCTTCTGCCTCACCTTGGAGAGGCCGGCCTGCTCCCGAGGATTTGGCACCGCCCACCGAGACCGCGAGACAGGACAGCGCGGGGTAGCGTGTTGCCTGCCCCGTTGGTTGCGGAGTGCTGCCTGCTTGCCCCGTCGCCTCATCCGATGACGGCACCTGCCCCTGCGGCTGCTGCCCAGCCTGCGGCGCTGGCGACGGCGGCGGCGGCTGCCGCTTTCGGGCACTGGCAGGGGGAGGTTCGGCCAACACGCTGCGCCTTCGGGTGGCAGGCCCCGGATCAGGGGCATCTGCCGGTTGGACTGCAGCTTCCCCACGCCCGTCCTCCTGCTTAGGGTAGTTAGGTGCGGGCTGCTGCACTTCTGGTAACCTTGCTATTTGAGGAGGTTTCCTGCCAGCGAATAGAGACCTAGAGGGCCCAGCGGCTGCTCCGGCCTCGGCTGTGACCGGGCCAGGCCCTGCTGCTGCGGCCCCTGCGTTCGCCGCTGCAGCAGGTGCGGTGGCACCCGGCGCCGCAGGTGGGGCCCCGCGCACGGGCTGTTGCGGCGGCGGCATTAGCGAGGGTGGCAGTGGCTTCTTAGGTATGACCGCGAAGTTAAGCGGCATCTGCCGGAGGCCGCCTTTCGCAGCAAGCGGCTGCTTGGCAGCTGGCCCCCCCAACCGGCTGCTTCCAGCGGCATCCTTCTGCGCAACGCGGCCCACCGCTACTCCTACCGCGGTTTCTTGCCGCTTGGGCTGCGGCTCCTCATCTACATTGCATAGTTCGCACAAGCAGAAGCGCTCAGACGGCTGCATGCCACGCTTCAGGTACATCGTGTAGTACGCGATATGCCAGTGGCTAAAAGAGCTGTGCGATCGGTAACCAGACACGGCACGCACCTTCTTCCTCCTCTTCCTCCTCTCCGGCAACTAGCTGCGTCACCGGCTTGCCGACACCGGAGCAGCCAGCCCCCGTGAGCTCGCGGATCTGCTGGCTGCTGCTGAACATCGCATCGTTGATATCGGCCAGCTCCAGGGTTTCACGCGGCCGTACGGTAAACGATTTCCGCTTGCGTTTGTTGCCTGCATGGTGCAGGGCGAGTATGAGCAACCGCGGAGCCATCAGCGGGGGACTCTATAAAGCGCTTCCGTCTGTGTAGTGAACTGCGAGCAAGGCCACCGGATTGCTAGTAAGTCAAAGGAAACAAGGGCTAGGGTTGTTCATACCTGACTTGTCAGGGCTTGCCGTAATGAAGAGGGGTTCAGGGGGACGCCTCTCAAGGTACCGTGCCTCCTGCAGTTAAGAGGCCACCGTTGCAGCTGACCACCAAGCACCCATATGTTTCCGAGCCTGGCTTGTGCAGCGGCCAGCCGCGTGCAATCCGGCTCGATGCATTCGATTTCTTGCTGCGGCAGGCCCTACCTTGGCCTGCTTGCCGGCGTCTTGAGAGTGTTGCAGCCACAGCGGCGACACCACGAAGACATTCTGCCCCCAATTACGAGCATTAGTGAATTTGGCATACTTCGGTATGCCCGGTGCGCTGGGGCTGCGTCTTACGGCGCACCTTCTGGGCCTTCTTGTATATTTCCCGCAGGAGCTCGTCCTCCAATAACCGCTCTTGGTATGATGAATTTAGTTTCCGCTGGAATATAACATGCGTGACTTCCTTGCTGAGGCGAGGAGCTGCTTTACCGCCAAGCTCCTTGACTTTCTCACAAACAGCGTGGACAGCGCGAGCGTCGCCATCCACACGCTGGTACACATGCACACAGCAACGCTCTAAGATATGGAGTGTGTCTGCCATGCCACCGCCTAACTATTCCTGCACAGGCGTCTTGCCTTGACGTTCACCATGTCGAGCAAGCGTGAGCCCATACGTGAGAACAGCATAGCCAGTAGTGCATTATACTATCCCACTTATGGGATAAGCGGTTTGCTCCTATTCCATCCGACTTCGCCCGAAGCTGTCGTTGGAAATCCAACTAACGAATCCATCTCAGCCTCATAGCAGCCGCTACCCATTTTTCCTCTCCTAACTGAGCACGATAGTATAAGTTGCTGACATCTACGTATATACAGCTCTATCAGGTCCTGTCGTGTTAGCGTTTCAGCTTGCACATCCCGGGGCTTGGCTGAAGACCGCCAAGAACAGTGCGTTTCATACAAATTCTTGTTTTACTCTCAAATTGCGCTAGACAATGAGCTTAATTCTCCAGAAAGCCTCTTTCCGGCCCAGAGGGGTGTGGCAAAGCCGGGATTCGGGCCACAGACCTATTGCTCGCCTACCGCCTGCACGAGGTACTGATGGCTATAACTTCAACAACGTCAGCGGAATCGGCAAATCGCCTCAACTCCACATGACCGTGCCGGAGACCGGCCGCACGAAGGTATTTCAGGGTTTGCAAGTAGGCAACATCCCCGTGTCACACACACCTCGCGTTCGCAATTATGCAACAATAAGCATCCCACGTTTTCCTGAACCACGGCACCCAGCGCAATGCTCTGGATAATGCTCGCGCCGGACCCGCAGGTCCTCCGCTTGTTAGGAGAGGGGCTGAACACCTACAACGGTGACCAAGTCGGGGCCGCAGTGAAACAGCTGATCGCAGAGAACCCGACGCCCCAACCGGGAAATGAATCCTTGATGCTTGGACAGGGAACATGGCAGGTGGGCAGTACAAGCGCCGGCCCCGCCGTCTCATTGCCCTGTTCACAATCTCTTCATCTTGCAGCTGCACGCTCAGTCATCACGATGTTTGTGAGCACATACTCGCCTACGGTATTGGCCTAATCCGCTTAACCGCCTCCATTCTCCGCCCAACGCTGTCGGCGTTACAGGTGTTTTACGCACCCCACATCTCTCAGCTCTCCTCCTTTGCTGGCACCACCTTCCAGCCCATCCAATATCGCCTAGCGGGCGACATGCTAGTGTCTAACGTCAAGTACAGCAACCCACTGCTTGGAGAGGGGTGGCTCAGCGCAGGAGGTAAGGACTGCCGTACATGCCGTACCGCCCATGCAACACTGTGTAGGGGCGCTTCTGCGCACGCGTTGACACCCCATTGCACTGCAGGCACGATGGCTCGGAAGTACGACGACGCCGTGGAGATCACATTCGACCGCTTTTGGGTGGACGTGGGGGCTGACAGCCTGCGAGCAGATCTGCCAAGAGGTAGGACAGCGGAGGATGGGTTTCATGAACCTTAATGAACCGTAAGGGGTAACTAGCCTCGGTTAAGGGGTAATGATGGTGAGGACCAGGCTGTTCGGGCCGTGACGGGTCGTTCATGGGCACGAGTTGCCCTGCCACGCAGTCACGGGGCGTTGGCCTGCGCTGCCTCCGCACCTGTGCCGGTGTCAACACGGCTTCCGCACCGGCACACAGCTCCGATGTCAGTGAACGGTTTTGGTGGGAGGTGGTGGGAGGCTTCTAACCTCTGTCCACCCACCCACCGCGTGCCCCCGGGTGTGCGCAGATGCCTCCTCCTCGTTGCTGACGGCAGACGGCATCATCGGGGCGCTGGGGTGAGTTACCGCCCTTATCGGTTGCGCCGTGTACCGGTATCTCCGCCCGTATCCGCTTAACACATCTGTGTCTGAGAGTGATCCACGTGGCCCCCTGCCCGCAGTCGCGCCGCCTTCTTCCCGCAGCTCGCTGTGTTCCCGGTGCTGTACCTGGACAGCGATATCTCGGTGTTCAGGTTCACGCCGTTGGATACCCTCATCGCGGTGTACAAGGTGGCGTAGGGCATACGCGCATACCCACCGGTGAGGTAGGTAGGGATGGCCTGTGTGCTCCCATGCCAGCCCGTCATAGAGTCAGCCCGGAGCGACATCAATATGGGGGTGGAGGAGTGTGAGACTGTGGATGTTTGGTTGGTGAGGAGTAAGGTGCGAGGCGTGTGTTCGCGCTGTAACGGTTAACTGTGGTTTTTCTGTAACTGGTTGCTTGGATGTGCCGTTGACTGAAACGGTGATTTGCTTTGCAGCGATACAAACGGTGGTTTTGGTTTTGTGTTACGGTTTTTTCTTTGTTACAGGCGTGGACCCATGGGTCATTTTGGACTGTCTTTGCGAGGCAGGAGACAGCGCAACAACGAGCGTTAGGTAGGATGCGCCGGGATGGCGTGTCAGGTGCCGGCACTGCTGCGGTGCATGCATGCATGACACACCGGCGGGGCGTTGGCCGGGGGTTGCTGACCAGGCTACCATCCTATCAAACATGGTGTGCATGTATAGGGTATGTGCACAGGAGTGGGTGTGACACCGCCCAGGCATCATTTGTGGCTACCGGTCATGTTCCGGCACTGTGAGCTGCATGTTGCATGGCTGTACGGGAAGCCGTAAAGCGACGGTAGCATGGATGCATGGTACGTTCAGCCTGCGACAAGGTGAACATACCGTATTTGGGAGACTGCTTTCAGCGGCTATATGTGTACCACGGGCCGTATGGCTCGGGGCCATCTCTGGATAGGGGTTCCTTCGCAGGAGGAGTTCTTTTGTACTAGGGATTTCAATGTCTACTGTGTCGTTTAGTGGCCTGGATGCTTGCAACCGTTACCATGCGTGCGTGGTCGCTGGTTGACGGAAGGAACGGGACAGGCGGCCCGGAGCTAGATGGAGCTGACAGCTTCTGTTGTTGGTCATTGTGTGTAGAAAGCTGCTAGTCACCATGACAGGTGGTCAGGGGCCGCTGCCGAGATGCAGAAAACACAGGGAGGCGCTCCGTATGAATGAATGGCCGTTACAGTGATCCCGTCGGTATGATGCCGTCAATCTGCTTTGCTTGTTCAATGCGCACTGCTTGGTAGCGGTAGCAGTACAAGCCACCCCAGCACACTGCCGCACACTCCAATCCTTCCTACGACCGGTAGGGTAAGAGGTCGGCGGCATACTCCTACGTTTGATTGTGCACTTTGATTTGTGCACTTCCTCCTGACTACACCAAGGATGCCAGCAAAGGGGACATTATCATTCTTCCAAGGGGGTCGAACGATGGGGCTGTACCAACACCCTTGTCATAACTTCACAAGGTGAAACACGAATCCATGCACCATGACTACCGGTAAGGTAAAAGCGGTTTCAAATGTGTCACAGCCATGAACGCATACGATGAATAACGCATAGGAAACACTTAAGCAGCAGCATCACTGCTTCATAATCCGGATTCACGATCCACGACCAAACTGTAACCCAACGCTGCGAGGGCTACAGACCTTGAGCAACGCAACTAGCTCTGCCGCAAAAGGTATACAACAGCCAGCAGCAAGCAAACAAGCACCCTCGCGCGGTAATGCCCAGCCTGTTAACAGCCCCTTACCAACTTACTTCCCCACCAGCCCCTGCACCGCCGCCTCAACCTCCTCAACCGCCGCCCCAGTAGCTTTGCCGTACAGCTGCGCAAACACCTCCGGCAGCCGCCCCGGCTGCAGCCAGTCAGGACGCTTGGGGCCCTGGGACTCCGGTTGGCCGTGCCGCCCGAGCACCGCTTGCGCCATGTGGGGCGGGACGCCTGAGGCCCCGTGCAGGGCGCCCAGCATGCCGCCCACGATGGCTGCGTTGGTGTCTGTGTCGCCTTTGAGCAGCAGCACCTCACGGAGGGCGTCGAGGTAGGGCGAGCGGTTTCTGGGGTGCGAACGGGAAACGGCAGGGCAGGGTGAGAGGAAGGGAGGGAGGGGGCAGAAGGCGGTGGGGGTGCTGGGGCAAGCGAGGAGGAGCGAAGGAGGGTGAGGAAAGGGAGCAGTCGGCAGACAGATACCGGTCCACGCCTGCCCGCACGCCTGATGACAACTCTTACCATGGATGAGGCAACAGGCAAGTGCTTGCCGCGCTCCCAGCCCCTAGCCCTTCCCCAGCCCCCCTGCGCCCTGCCCCTTCCTGGCGTAGCGGCAAACGTAGGGCCATAGGCATGAGCACACACGGCGTCAGAAAGCCTCAACCCACCAGCAGCCAACCTTCAGCCTTCCCAACCCTCTTTTACCCCACCTCAAATGTCGGAACGCGTAGAAGAAGCCGTACTTGACGTATCCAATCATGTGGTTCACGCTGGGCCCGGGGCCCTCTCCCAGCGCCTCCCGCAGCCATCCCGCCACCTCCTCGCAACCACTGGCCTCCACCCAGGCCACCGCCGCCGCCGCCGCCCCCTCCGCGTCGCCTGGGTGCTGGATCAGGTGCTTCAGCGCCAGGCAGTACGCGGCGTTGGCATGCTGGGTGGCGGGGTTGGGGTGCGAGAGCTGCGCGTCTTGCATGGCTGCGGCTGCGAGGTGGTCGTCGGACAGGGAGCTGCCCCACACTGCGAGCGGCGTGATGCGCATGAGGGCGCCGTTGGCCTTGGAGGCGCGGCCGAACTGTGGGCGGCAGGGAGAGGTTGGGCGGAGGCCGTGTGGGGTTGGGTGGAGGCCGGGATGCGTGGCTAGGAAGGGAGCCAAGGTATAGAGGAGGTCAAGAAGGGTAGTTAGGACATGGAGAGGACGTGGCGGGTCTCAGCATCCCAGAAGCCGGACCCGCAGCCGTAACGGCATCAGTTACCGGCGCCACCACACGTAAGTAACGGGTAGTACCCATCCGCCCCGCACCTGCGCCTGCTTGCGCATTGCCGCCGCCAGCGGCCCCATCTTCTCCTCGTCATGGTGCATCGCAGCGGAGAAGGCCGTACGGCACGTGTTGCCTGGGAAAGTACGGCATTGCCGGGATAAACACCGTATTCCTTCCTCAAGCAGGGCCCCGACGTTAGCAGTGTAGGGCAGTACAGCAGCACGCAAAGGTGGCTGCTGAACCGAAGACAGCAGTTAACAACTTCTGCATTTCCTGACATATGTCCTTCAGCCACCCATGTTGTAAAGAGCAGGATGTCCTGTAATGCCCCGGATCCATCGAGTCATACCGGTACCCTCTTTCGCTGTCTTCTTTCTTACCCACGTCGAAGGGGTGGCTGTGCAGCCAGGCTCCGTAGCTCTTAGCAACGGCCTCTGCGGGGAAGCCAGCAGCGGGGTCGCCGCTGGCCAGCCCCGCTGCGAGCGCTAGGGCAAGCTCACTGTCATCCGTGATCTGCGGAGGGCGTTGGTCGTGGGCGCGGGTATGGTTCGTGAGGTGGGGGCGTCCAGATGGTGAAATTGAAGTTGCGACGGGGAAATGGAAGGTTGAGCAGGCGTGGTGGCAGATGCCAGGGAACATGCATAGAAACGGGTTTATTAAGGAAGAGTGCACGGGTGCTGGTGGCAGGGTGGAGTGTGGTAAAGGACTGGCCATGCCCCAGGAGAGGGGTAGAAGGAGGATGGATTCGTGCCGCGGGTGAGTTAACCGGCGAACGGTAATCGGACGACGCCATGGCCTGGAATTTATTCTCACTTGTCCTGGGCCGACACGCCAGACACCTCCACCCGGCATTGTCAGTGCTCGCTCGACCTGTTTATACGGAATGGCAGCCGAGCTGAGCGTACAGTAGGAATTGGCTATGGTGCTACTGTAATTATGAAGTACTTACTGTTTCGGGGCATATATGTTTATCGTCGAATTCGAGCACCGCGCCGGTGGCATCGCCGACGAATGCGCCCAACATCGCCCCGAAGGCCGCGTCGATTGAGGATAGCGGAGCCATGATAAATAGATTACTGTCACATACGCAACTGCGCCTATTCATCAAGTGGTTACTTACAAACCATGTTGGCGGAGATTGCTCGTCCATTCCGCATTCGCAGCAGTTGGCACGCGCAGGGAGCCGTGAGAACGCACCCGCTGTCCTCCTACAACGATGTCACCGATGGCTACCGAATAGCCCACCTACGTATCTGTTGACATGGGATACAGCTACACGATACCTCCTGCAATTGTACACACCCGGTGCCATCCTTTCTGCCTTTCACCTCCGGCCTGTCGCATTGCCGTGACATCCCAACCAGACCCTTGAAGCGCATGAGGAGACATTAGAAGGCTTCTCTACCTGCCCCTGGCCGGAATATCTGACGTGCATCGCAAGCACCAATCCCTACCAGTCCGCGCTCCGCATCCTGGCTTCTCCTCCGCACCCACCCACCCAACCCATCTCTGCCCGCGCGACAAGCCGCCCCACGGCCCGCAACATGTACATTTGCAACTCCCGGCCCCTCAATTTACTGCTCAGCACAAGGAGGACTCACACTCGTGTTTCATTTGCCACTGCCGGGCCTGGCACATCCCAACTCACCCCAAACCACACACATACACGCTCATCTTCCGGCAATCACAGTACGTTCCGGCTCGCGGCCAGTTTTCTTATCACACGCTCTCTACGCTCCGCATCACAAAGGTGAAAGCCATCTTGCACAACAACAACCGCGCACACGGGAATGCTTCATAACGACATACGCGCTCTTGTTGCGTTCAGCAAACTTCACCCGCTTGCCATGTTGCCGCCACCGCACGCCACCACCCCACTCTTATGTCCCACCTACCATGCTCACGACACCGCTAGCACCTACCTACCTAATGTCTTCACCCTCATGCCCACAAACATCCCTCTCTCCCTGAAACCGCACCGCTCACGCCGACAGCCCAGCCGCCCACTCCGCCACCGAGGGCGTGGCAATGCCCATGCACCTCATGTCCTCCAGGTTCGCCGCTTGTACGGCATCGTTCTTGGAGGCTGTAGCGTCCGACAGTACGGCAGTCTCGTAATCGTGTCCCAGCGCGTCCACTGCCGTGGCCCGCACGCAGTTGGGTGTCTGCACGCCGCACAGCACCACTCGACGCATGCGCATGCGCCTGGGCAGGTGGGTGATTAGATGGGTGAGGCGGATAGGGAAAGGGGCAAAGGGAGGCAGGACGGGAGGGGTAAAAGGACATGGGGGCGTGTCAACCTGGGGATGGGTGCATGCTGCATGTACTCCATCACTGTTAGCCTTTCCCGCTTCTCCTTACCCCGCCTTACACCTCCCGTCACAGGGCACCTTGACATCACTACTGCACTATCACCCCATCACCCCGGCCCCATCGGTCTCATTTAGACCTTCACCCCATCACGGCCCCACCTGAGCACCAGCCCCTCACCCCACCACCCACCCCGACCCCACCTAAGTACCAGGTCCAGGTGGGTATGCAGGAAGGCGCTGAAGCGCTTCTTGACCACCACCAGCTCGCCCGGCTGCACTGCCAGACCCTCCACCAGCCCCGCGCCTGGGTTTGGAGGAAAGCAGGGGACGGGAGGTGGAGGATGAGGAAGTAAGGAGGGGAACGAGGTGGGATTAGGTGAGACATTGTCCAGGTACCTTTTGACCCTGGTACGGTGCTGCCGGTGCCGTTTGTGAATAGGTGTGTCCGGGTGTACTCAATGTCGACACCTGTGGGGGACACGGGGTCAGCAGTGCGGCAAGAGGCTGCTTATATTCGTGCAAGGATAGGGGGTTGTGGGTGGGGGTTGAAGCGACAGTGGTATGCATGACAGGGTGCATGTTGTGTTGGAAACAGCAGTCAACCGTCACAGGTGTTCGCAGGGTAAACCGACATAAACCGCTTCTGTGGTGAAGTTGCTGCGCCCGGTCTGCCGCACGCTTTGGCCCCATGTGCCCTCCCTGACAGGAGGCACTCGCCGCCCACCAGAGATATCGTGCTCGCGAATGACCCAGATTACAGGGATATTTTTGGTGCGGGCGATGTCAAGGGCTTCCTTGACTTTCGGCAAGCAGTTTAAAGCTCCGGCCACACACAAAGGCGACGTTGGTAGACAAAAGTCATTTTGCATGTCTATGCATATCAGACAAGTATCCGACGTCTGTTCAGCGGGTGCCATCAGTAATGAATAGCAGCGCGAGTAAGATTTACAAGGAGAGAAGTATCTCGTCCACAGAATGCGCCCTTCCGGAATGCAGAACATGAAAGCGTAACGTTCATAAGTGGCAGATTAAAGATGGATCCTGGCGAGTCGTATACTGCAGCGCAGATGGGTTGTAATCCGTCGTCTCCTCCTAACGGATCAACAAAGGAGTAGCATGTCAAGTTTCATTCGCGCGATCTAGAGGTCACAGGTGCTTGGGTTTGGTGAGATGCATGGTCACACCCCTGCTTTGCAGCTGGCTGTATGATGTCAGGCGGTCTGCGCGGAAGGTAGACACCATGCGGTGTTCTCTTAAGCCTAGCTGTGTAAGCTTCCACGCAATTTCTTGCGCACACGGCATAGAGTCACAGTGCTTTCGGGCAGGAAATCGCTCGCCTGATGTTGCCCTGCACACGCAGCTGTGCCTATGGCCTTATACCGTTTCCCTGTCGAGGAATGACCATGCGCAGGCAGCTGAGTGGATTGGTTAAGGGCCGCGGTATGTTGCAACGTGTCGTATGGTAATGCTGCAAAGGCCTGCACGCACTGGTCATTCACCGGACAAGGGTCGTGTTTTCTCACGCGTAAGCCAATGTCTGGAAGGGTTCCAAAACATTGCTAGCAAGCTGGGACAAAATGGAGCGGGTACCGTGGCATGTAAGTGCGGGCGTTGAGCGGCCACCTAGGAGTGTTTGCATCACGGCAAAAGGAGGCTATAGTACTTGGGGCTATCATGGCTACGCCTGGATGACTGGTGGTTCGTACGGCGCTTCGAAGGCTTGCAACCCTGAAAGGTCGCACCACGCGTGCAGCAGAAACTCTAATTGACATTTTCCCTTAACATAAAATTTGACTATCGTTCCACTCTGAACCCATTTCCGTGGGTGTGAAGCGTCGTGCCTTCTGAGTTCTGACATTTAGAAGTCCACATCCTCCTCGTTACTAGCAGGTAGTCTTTACTTACCACGCCTGTGCTTTTACTGCACAAGTATTAATAAATAGGTAATGGCTTAGTTGGGGCGGACCTACTTACACAGTCATGGCGCACGAGGACGCTGGTCGCCCTCTCCAAAGCGCTGGAACAGACGCAAGCCGCTCAAACCAAAGCCGCGGTGGTCCAAGCCGGGAGCGGCGAGCCACGGTTACCTCCAGAAATGGCGATGGAACCGACTTTCCACGCTATTTTCTCCAGCTGGGGAACGACATCAAGCGAAGTCGGGCGTACGAGATGATTCAAGAGTAAGCACTGGAGGCCGGCGTGATGGCGCAGCACCCGCGCCCGCACTCAACCCTAGGGGTGTTTGGCCATGGCGTAACCCATGCAAGCGCTCCGCACCCGTCCGCCACCGCAGGTTACAGCTCATGGTGTGCAACAAGGACACTGGTGTTCGTGGGAATAAGGGCCGCGCCCGTGCAATGGTGCTGCTAAAGGAGGTCCAGGTAGGGACTTGGGGATGGCATTGGTCCTCCTGTAGATGACCCACCGGTAGGAGCTGTTCGCCAGCCGGTCATAGCGACTGGTTCTCTCTCCCATATTTGGCATTCGCCGCTAAGAGGGGAGTTGCCCTGGCTGCGGCGTATAGTGTTGCCCTCTCCACAGTCCTTGCGTCCAACCTACTGCCGTAATTCATCACACCCCCTCGCCCGCCCTGCGTCCCCGCCCCTCCTTTATGCACACCCCCCACGCCCTTCCTCGCTGCCCTGGTGTACCGTGCCGTTCCCTCCTCTGTCCACTCCCTAATCGTGTGCCGCTCCCCTCTCCGCTCCCCCCTCTCCAGCGTAATGCGGAATCGTCATCCCTATTATTCGTTCATTCCCCTCTCCGCTCCCCCCTCCGCTCCCCTTTCCCCTCCGCAGGCTGTCCTGACGGGGCTTGAAAACAAGCTGGACGCGCAGACGTTCGATCTGGGCGTGTTTAACGTGGAGCGATCCGAACTTCGAAAGGTACCCCGGCCTTCCCGACTCCCCAACTCCCCATGCGACCGAGCAGCAAGTGGCACACCCAGCCATCCAGAACGCAGAGACCGGTTACCAGGAAACCTAACAGCACCGTATCCAACAACCTCCTACTTCCAATTTGTTTCCTTACCTAACTGACGTAATTTAACTGACGCTTACCACTACCGCTACCGTTACCCCAGGACCGAGCACTATGCCACTCGGCTCAACAGCTCTTCCTTCCATTCTCATTGCTTGCCCCTGCATCCTGCCTCCCTGCCCCCCTGACCTTCCCTCCTCCTCCTGCCCTTCCCTCCTCCTGGAACCCCCCCAGGAGCTGCGCGACGAGAAGGCCAAGGAGGTGCAGCCGCTGCACACCGTGGACTTCCGCAGCACGGAGGTCCGGGAGCTGCCGCACAAGCTGCGGATCCTGTTCGAGGACAACCAGGTGCGTGCGGGGTGCGGGGGTGTTGCGGTGGTGGGCAGGGCGATGGGAGGGAAGGAGGAGAAGGCGGAGGAAGGTGGAGGGAGGAAGGAGGAGGCGGGGCGCCTCCATGTGTTGCGCAGTGAACCGCCTAACCACCCTTCCCACCCTTCCCTGTGGTATCAATGCCTAAAGTAGCAGCAACAATGCAACATGCTGCTTCACTTGCTGACAACAACAACACATGTACGGCACGCTTGTGTTTTACCCGCACGCAGGTGCTGCGTGAGCAGGTTCGGGCGCTGCAGTACGCGGTTCGCAGCGCTGAGAGCCGGCTGGAGAGCTCAGAGCGCAAGGTGACGGCGCTGGAGCTGGAGAATGCAACCCTCAGCGTGGCGCTGCGGGTGCGGCAGGTTGGGAGTGAAGGGGAGGGAGGCGTGGGGGCGCTGTGAAGGGGTCTGAATGGTGTTGCGGGTAAAGGGTGGGTGCGTGGTGTTGGTCCCTAGCCCATACTATAGGGACGCACATACGCGCCCATGCAACCTCCGCCGCCGCCGCTTCCAACATGGGATGCTGCTGTACGCATTTGCAACGGTATACGCTGCTGCTGCTGTCTCTTCCCCTTCCTTCCGCTCCCTCAGGAGGCCGGCAGCAGTCCCGACATGGCCCAGGAGATGCGGCAGCTGCGGGAGGTGGCTCGCACCGCCCAGGTGCGCTGCCAGCAGCTGGAGGCGCAGGTGGTGTCGCTGCTGGATCAGCTGGAGACGGACCGCCGCATCGCTTCGCAGCAGGCGCGCAGCGCAGCGGCCAGACAGGCGCTGCTGGAGGCACGGCTGAACTCCGCGCTAGGGCTGGCTGCGGCCTCGCGCGTGGGCGGAGGCGCCGGCCCGCGGAAGTCAAGCGGACGTGCCGCCAGTGCTGGAGACCCCGCAGCTAGCGCTGCGGCGGCGGAAGCCGCCGCAGCGGCCGCTGCCGCGGCCGCCGCCGCAGGCGGCGGCGGCGGCGGCTCCCCCGCCGCCGGTTTTATCGGTGCTATGGGCGGGAGTACGACACCTGAGGCGGCTTGGCCGCCGTACGTGGGCAGCGGGTCCCAGCAGGACGGCGGCGATGGGCGGTCGTCGGGGTACTTCCGGCCGTACTCTAACCCTGGGGGGCAGAGTGCCGGCGGCAGCGGCAGTGTGGGCGGCGTCAGCGGTGGCGCGGGTGGGGGCCAGGGCGGCGCGCGGGGCCGCGACCGCTCCGCCAGCCCCCCCAAGAGCCCCAACGGGCGCTCCATTAGCCACAGTCCTGGCAGCGGGATACCCACGCTCTACCCCCTCTTCAACACCAAGCCCCGACCCATACATGCGTTTACGGTGGAATCCGGATCCTGGCACTCCGGCTCAGCCAACCCCGGTTCGCCGTCAGGCGCCTCCGCTGCCGCCGTCGGCGGCGGCGGCGGCTCCGCCCCCGGCTTCCCGCCGCCGTACCCGCCGCCCCCGTCAGCAGTCCTCAACCGCAACTTCAGTGCATCGGCGCTGTTAGAACGCAGCGGTGCAGGTCCCGCCAGCCGGCCGCAAAGCGGGGGTCCGGGGTTAGGGATGGGGCTGGGTCCGGGTCAGGGGCAAGGGCAGCAGCACTCCGGGCTGGAGGTGTTGCAGGGAGGCAGATCGCAGACGTCCATGTCCGGAGGCATGGCCGTATCCGCCCCCGGGGAGCCGGTGCGTGCAATCAACTCGACTGCAGTGCTGACGTCACGCACGCTGCTGCCGAGCGTGAATAGCGGCAACGGCGGCGGCGGCGGCGGAGCAGGAGGGGTGATGGCGGCAGCAGCAGCAGTGTCCGCAGCAGCGTCAGCCGGTTCGGTGCCGCCACGGCCGTCGGGCGGGGTTACCGGCGGCGGCGGAGGCGCAGGGATACTAGGGTTGCGAGTGTTCCTGGGTTCCGGCGGATCTGGAACAGGTGGCGGCGGCGGCGGTGGTGGAAGCGGTATGGAGCTGCAGCGGAGGAGTAGCGGCTTCAGTGGCGGCGTCAGCGCGGCCGCTGGCGGCGGCGGCGGCGGCATGCAGATGATTAATTCGGAGCCGCTGCCGCTACGAGAGGCTTCCACCTCTGCTGCTGCGGCTGCTACAGCAGCTGCCGCTGCCGCTGCGGCTGCCAACGGAGGCCGCCGACCGTCAACAAGTGCTGCAGCTAGCGTTCTTGAGGACTGCTTGGTGGGTGTGAGTGGGGAGTTCCGGGGTACTGGGGGCGGCGGGGGTGGAGGAGCAGGAGGAGGAGGAGGAGCTGGGGAGTTGAGGTCTCGACCGGGCTCACCTTCGGAAGGCCCGGGGCCTGCGGGAGTCGCATTGCGGTCGATGGCATCTGCAGGTGGCCTCCCGGCTTGAAACAAGCGAGGGTTCTTTCGGGCTTGTTGCTGCGGGTTTGGACGCTGCATGCCAGTCTGCCGTACATGCCGGGCTGGTGTCGTCCTAGCTTTCGGTGTGACTTTTGGGAAGCTGGCTTTGCGGCCATTTTCATGGAGTCCCCGGTTCGAGTGGGTTTGCAAGGCAATCTAGTCAATTTACGGCTTGCTACCGTTGTTAGCGAAGGCCTTTTGAGGGAAAATGGACGCCTGTTGAGTGTGCAAGCGGGAGTGCCAACAGCGGGACTCCTTGGAAGCAGCAGCGGAGGGGGCGCGGTTGGGCGGGTTCAGCTCGGTGGTTGTGGCGGCAGGTGCTGGTGCGCTGACACAACAACACACGCTGGTGGGTGCTGGGGAAGCCACACGGGCTGCGACTGTTATGTACGATACCCGCTGAACCGGTAGGTGTGTATCTGCGTGCGCTGGGAGCGTGCACGTGCACGTGCAGGTAGCAATGACGCAGATGGACGAGTTTAATGTGTTGCGCTGCTGTTGGGATGGCCGTGCTTGCGAGTGCGAATCGTACAGCCGCCGTCGCCGCCAGCAGCAGCAGCAGCAGCACCACGACAGGATTGAACCTCTAGGCACGATTTGATGGATGCATAGCTTGGGGCGCGAGGGGCAGGCAGCCTTGTCCCGGATGGTCCCGCCGAGTAGGTGTGTGTTCTCTGTTTTGATGCATGCACAATACCTTAACACTGTACGGGTAGCAGTTCTTGGTATATGCCATTTGCATGTGTGCGCGTAATCGGTTGCTGGTGCAGTTGTGATGTTGCACTCACGCAACGGCTCGTGCGTGTTTCTTTCTTTTGACGCTTCCTGAATGGACGGAATCTTTGATCCGGCCCGGCCCGGACAAACATATGAACTACCGCGGGGCCATGCTCCTGACAGATGCCACCGCCGCTAACGTTGCTTGGGTGTGAATGCTACCGGTACTTTACCTTCCAGCTTTTCGTGTTAAGACGTTTGACCATCGACCGTTTAGGCTGCTGGTTATCTCGGCTGACTCCCATGGTCTGTTCAGACTTTTTCGGACTAATGAGCCACATGGCTGCATGGAGGCGTCTTTAGCACCGTGCTCAAGCACCAAGAACTGTATCTCCACCGACGCATTGCCTGCTTACCACATGTACCTGCTGCTGTCGTCAAGTGGATGAGGTTGGGTATAGGGTGGTTTTGGATCGGAGCAGGGTGGGTGAGGGGGGCACAAGAACTTGTAAAAGTTTGAGAGGACCCGGAACGTTTGCCCAGGTAATAAAGCATTAGGTATGCCTAAACCATTACCGGCAAGCGTAAAATGTCGACAACCAAAAGGTTATACCTGTACACAAGTCATCACAATTTGGGCTTCACCACACCTCCACACGCATCAATCTAGGCTCATAAGGAGTGTCGAACACGCCTCCTGTTCGCCGCATCTTCATACTGTTACAGAGGGCTCATTCCATCCCATTCCACACACCGCCGGACCTAACGCCCCTGCTCACCGTGCATCAGTAACACCTCCTTGACCTCCTTGACCCCGTGGGCGTCACAAACCCACAAACCCAAGGCACGTTTACCCTCTATTCCTAAACCCTCCGATCCCTGTGGCTCGAGATGCCACTGGCGCCAGGCGCTGCACACCTCTGCCGTGCCCTAACACGGTAAGCAAGCGTGTTAAGGAAACTCGCAGCAGTGATGTTCCCACACACACAAACGCCACAGGAGCCGAGCAAGTGTGCATGCGCATTACCCGTAGCTGCTGCTGCTGCTGCTGCTGCGCGTTAAGGAGGCTGCAAGCCCTACGTTGTCCGCTGCGCCTCGGGCACCCAGTACTGGTGCGGAGCAGCTGCGAAGACTGCGCGAAGGGGGGCGTTTACGGGTTTGCATGCATGCATGCATGCAGAAGGAGTGTCATGCGTGGAGATGCGTGCGTACGGTTAAGTGTGTGTGTCCGAGCGTGCTTGCATGACATTCAGGCTGCATCATGAGGAGGAGGTGAAGCAGGACAACATCAGCTGTCTATGCCCACTTCCTGGTCTGCGATTGTAGGCTCCCGGCCTTCTACTACTGGTAGCACTTAGCTCCGCCTAGTTCCGCCGCCGCTACCACCGCTACGGTACTGCTGCTGCGGTGTCGGCAGTAGCAGCGGCTGGGCGGGCTAACACGGGGGAAAAGGAGAGGAAGAACCATGCGTTGAATGGCATTGGCATACTAGGGAGAGCCGGGGCACCTCTCTCTCTCTCTCTCACACCTTCCTGCGCCAGTTGCTTCCAGTCGGAGTTGAAGGGGTGACCGGGGTCTGCCAGCGGGTCGCCCCTGCCGCCCCAGCAGCCGCCCCAGCAGCCATCGCAGCAGCAGCAACAGCAGCCCCAGCAGCAACCACAACAGGCGACAGCAAGGGAGGTGACCAGGAGATGGATGTCAGCAGGATTCAGGCAACCATGTCGTTGTTTCGCAATCAGAACAATCCTGGAGGAGGTTCCATGCGGAGCTAGCAGTGTAATACCGGTACTCTACCGTTATTAGCACCGCTGCTATTGGCACCACTGTCTTGCAACAGGGTGTGCCAGGACGTCTGTGCACGCACATCAGCGCATCAGCGCGGCAAGCTACCTTGCCTCATCATCCTCAAAGTTTTCTGTCCAAGTGCTGGGGTGCTGGAGTTCCCCCTCCCAACCCCTCGGCGCCGCAGTGCCCTCACTCACTCAGCCTCGTCCACGTCGGGAGCAGGCAGCAGCTCCTCCGCCAGGCCTGTATGTGTGATGTGCCGACGAGGGAAGTGGCAGACGGAGCTGGTGAGGCCTTACGCTGGCGGCGACGGTCGTACCGGAAATAGTAAAAGGACTCACCCAGGCCCTCGGACAGCCGGCGATGCGCCTCCTCCGGCACACCGATGCCGTACCGCAGCGAATAGCCTGCGGAGGTGGAGGCCGGGGGCAGCTTACAGGTCGCAGGCAATCCAGGGCTTCCAGGAGAACCGTGCTAGCACTGTGGGAAGCATCCTTTCTTACAGGGAGCTAAAAGGCTGTGATTCCCGCCGGCAGTGCTCCTACGACCCTTGCCTGCCGTGATTATCATCCTGATAGGCTCCCTTTTAGGGAACCACTGTAACGGCCATTCAATCATTCGGGTAGGTCTTAGCGGCGGCTTACCGTTCATATCGTACTCTCGGTCGCCTCCGTGGGTACGGCAATGGGCCACCAGCTCTGCCCAGCGCAAGCGATTTACCTTCGCGATGGAGGGATGACACGAATATATGGTCGTGCATTCAAATGGTGACGACACGGTGGGTGGGTACGGCAACCTTCTCCCGACTACATATTCTCCCACGTATGCCCTCTGCCCCAGGGAAACTACCGGGGCGTCATGTGCAGTGCCGCGGTCAGGTGAGGCTGCAGTTCCCGCTGCCTTGCCTCCACACCCCTCAGTTCCCCAGTTCCCATCCACTGCTCACACGCGCATAGAAGTCAGCAGGCGGGGGTTCTTGTCGCAGGGAGCCGTCCGGATGGCGGTAGGTACGGGGGCCACGGTCGCGGAGCCTTGAGGACGGGAAGATGGGCGTGACATGCGTGCGGAAGATGGGACGTGCGAGGGTTGGCAACCTTGGCATGGATATGTAGCGAGCGTGTCTACCCAGGCATCAGCAATGTCACGCCGCGCATGCAGCATCATGCATGGTTTGCAAACACAGGTGTGTGGGCTCACGCTTTCCTAGCTGCCGCGAGGGGACACCGGGAATATCCTGCATTAAGCGGGTGACTTGAGAGACATTCAGGCAAGGCAGGGTAGGCACACGTACCTCCGTTGGTACTGAGCAACGTATCGTTCATGCTGCTGCTGCAGTGCGTCTGGTGAAGGACCAGCAGCCGCTGCTGCTGCTCCTGTTGGGCCGGTGAGCTTGTTTACAGCTGCTGTGTGGGCAATGCTTTGCTGGCTGCTGACAAGCCCTGTGCTTGCACTGTCACGAGGAGGGCTGGTTTGCTGGTTTGTCCCCTGCATACGCAATAGCAATCCTCTAATGCAACACCCTTATGGTTGCTAGGCGGTGACAAAAGGTGATGGGTGCGTACCTCTTGCCTAGATCTCAGGTAGTCTGATAACCTAGGCATCTGTGCAAATCTGTTCTACTGCGGCTAGCCTCAAGGTTTGATTCAGCGTGTGCAGAGTGTGTTCTGCGAGATGTGAGTATGAGAAGTTGCGGTTTTTTTGTTACAAGTGTGGGTCAACCCCAGATAGGCCAGTCCGAGAAACATAAGAATACAGTTACACTACCTTGGCACAAGCATACAAAGACAGACAATCACACACGTAGCAAGGCAGGAATGACGGCACACAAACGAACAACACAAAATCCGCTCAGCGACAGCAGCATGTACTGCTGACGCTCAGCGGGAAACACACACAGGCTCGAATGCCGACAGCCTCGTGAAGCTCAGGACATCGGTTGGTGGTACTTGCATGAACAATTACCTACATAGCAACACAGGCAAGGGGATGGGCGAGGGATAAGTAATCTATGCACAAGTCGTGCCAAGAGAACATGTACGGAGTGGCACCATGGAATAAAGGCCTCAGCGATCTTGGTGATATTGCGTCGTCACTGGCTAGCTCGAGAGTAGCAAATATATTATCTACATCACCGGCCAGGGGAATCCACGTGCCAAACATGAGGCGTAGCATACACAGTGCAGCAACCATGCAACAAGCATGCAGCTCTTGGCTTCAGAGAGAAGATTAAGGTAAAATCAGCGGCCAGTCAAGGTGAAGCACCGAGACCAGCCATCAGCTGACACGCATGAATGAGAAATCGTCTCATCATCGCCCGTGAGCCGCGTGAAGGGTTAAGACCCACTACTACTAAATGCTTAGACCGGGAGTGCTCAGACAGTGCGTCCAGCATTCTCATCAATGAATGTCAGTAGCAGAACTGGCATTTACTGGATTGGATCATCACTGCACTCCCGTCATGCCAGGGACACACGTCAAACCGAGAGACACCTGTTGAGCTGGTGAAAAAAAACCTTCGCAAACTTACCAGTGAGTTGACTTGTATACATGCGCCGCCGGAAAGCCGCCGGATCTGCAACCATGAGAGGGAGGGGAAGAGGGCCATCAGCACAGACGACGGCGGTATGAAGACACACTTGGCAGAGCCAAGCGTGCGTCCTGACGCGCTGCAAGTGTCAAGCCTCAGTGCAGATCTTGGTATGAGAAAAAGCTTCTTCATTGAGCTTCAGAATTAGCATGGTAGTAAACATCATCGGCATAGACACCTTGCTCCATGCGTCGTTAGGCGGAGCGATTGACGTCGAGAGGCGTCAATCATCGCTAGACATCATAGGAGAATGAGGAACGATAGCCGGATTACAGCCGCCACTTACCAAGGGCGGCGCGCCAGCTCGAGGACGGCTCCTCGACCAGGTCTGTAGGCCAGCTCACTTGAAGGAGGTGAAGCTAGTGAATGTTATACAGTATTAGTGGCTGCGAGTGTTATTTATTGCCTGAGCTCTTACTTACGGCACTTTGCTGCCGTACCACTCTCGTCGCTCTGGAACCTGTGAAGGACCGTGCGCAATTTGTGATATGACGTTCACGCGTCCAAGAGCTCCCTTTTGTGTGTTATGACATGGCCGTGCGCTAACGGCAGTGCGGTGTCGTCAGTGTAATTGCGAGGCACGATCTTGCGGCAGCACACCTTGGCTTTTAGGAGGCATGGCAACACAACCTTCACCTAATGGCGCCAAGTTTGATAGGTGTTGGGTATTTGGTCAGGTGGCGCAGAGTCGTTCTTTCCTTGCAAGCTAGCCACGTCCTCGTCGAACAGCAAATTTACAACCTTCAGCCATGAAGAAGACCAGTCTTCAAAGTATAACAGCAAACGTATAATGGTTGCCTACAACCAAAGACATTCGGGAACATCACGGTGTCCCACAATCCGTCCATCCGTCCTGGTCCCTAGCCCCATGACCAAACCCTTCCTCATATCCCACACTCCCAACGCTCGCCGAACGAAGCTTCTTATTCCCTAAACACCTACCCCTAACTGAGCTCCATAGTGCTCCCTCCCCACCTCCCAATCACTACCCTACACACCTCAGCCAACGTGCAGCGTCGCCACCTCGCCATCCGCTCCCTTCCCTTTTCGTTAACCATCCTCTGCACCAGCCACACAACACCAACCACAACCCATCAAGCCACCTCCATGACCAAGCCCTAACCTCCCCTCGCCTCCATCCCCACGCCAGCTGGGCCGGCTCCGTGTGCTTTTATCCCCATGCCAAATCACCGCCGGCTGGTATCGTACTGGAACAGCGGCCTTAGTTTCCTGGCATTCACGCCGTTGTTTCGCGTCTGCGCGCCCGTCACCGGTAGCCCCAGCGTGTGTCGTACACCTCTCCGCGTGTTGATCGCCACCTGCTCCAGCACATTGTCGCGGATCTGGCGCTTCAGCGTGTCGCCTGTCGTGAAGTTGTTCTCAATGTACGACGAAACCTTTTGCAGGTACGAATCCTTGATGTCCTTGACCTGTACGGAAATGCCGTATAGTCGATGGGGGAGGAAGAATGGGGACGTATGGCAGAATGGGCAGATGAGGGATACCGGTAAAGGAGCACTGTTTACAGCAGCAGCAGGCGTGGAGGGTGGTGGTGGATTCCGGAGAGGTATGGGTCGCGGCATGCATGCAGGTGCTCCTTGCCCTTAAGAGTGGCCTCAACGTGCGGTTCTAGGAAGGCTGCGGAGCGCCTGCATGCCTGGGCTGCCGCTTTGCCTCTCCGCCAGCCACAGCCCCCAGAGCCACAGAACTGCGCTTAGCTAGACGAGCAGCGATCCAACTAAGCCACACAGAACCGGATTGCGTGACGCCGCCGTGGCCCCATGGCACTAAATGGAATGAATTGGGCTTGCACCCACAGAGCCACATTGGGCTTGTGCCCGGACGTCCCCAGAGTGAAGGCAACCCGCAAAGCGCCTCTTGGGTCGATGCCTTTTGCTACTGTTCCCCCTCCCGAGCACTAGCCGCATAGCCCTTGCATCGCCTGAGAAGCGCGGTAGACGGCTAGTTGCCGTGCCGGCAACAACACGGGTTACACCCCTGTTACGCACCTTCAGGTCCTTGCTAATTCCGCACGCCTGTGTTCGTGAAGCCAATGGCAGTGGGCAATGCTTAGCTACTTCACATACATTTGAGTTGCCTTCGGCAAACGTACCTCCGCGACTGCTAGACTAGTCGACCGTCCGAGCCCGAACACCCGCTGAAGCGCGATATGGAAGGTGGCGTTAGGAAAGAGGGCTACACGTTGTATTTGCACCATTAGGATAAGTGTTGCCCCAAGGAAGGGGCCTAACAAGCTTTGATGGACGCCGGAATTATAAGTACGCTGTTATTATGGTAGGCGAAAATGAGATTACAACCTTTGGTCGTCCTTATGGCAAAGCAAGTGCAGACTGGAGGCAGAAGGCCTTGACAACTCAGTCGGCATGCCGAGTGCCGTACAACTTTATTTAGCATCCCAAAAGCCCAATCGGTATTAAGCTGTAGCTTGAGAAATTAGTCGAGAGTATTCCTTCATAAGACTCAACAAATTATCGCTTTGCACGTGCGCAACACTCCCTGGGAACAAGAGTAGGACCTGGAAACAGCAGCTTGCAGCACCAAGATCAGCACAACACTCTAGAATGGGCACTCTTCGATTCGTTCTTGCACAGGTTGCTGTCAGCGCATTGGTTTTGGGAGCCCTCAAGCAAAAGGGCGCGGTGCAGCTGAAGCCAGAGGTCATCCAAAATGACTACGCTCGATTTGCGGTGGAGTGGCTTGTACAAGTTGGGGAATCGGCGTGGATTAAGAGCTTGGAGCTGGTAGAGAGCGCGAGCCAACGGCCTCGGTAATGAGCCCTAGCTGAGCGTACTGGAGGTAGAGCACGTGGGATTTGGCAGGATGCATCGCGGCATGTCCATCGAACTGTAGAGGGTTTTCCGCGGAAGGTCACCGCAGGGTATGGCCGGTGATGGGGCGCCGAGGTGTTGTGTGCTTGCACGAGGGAAGAGGGAGGAGACCGAGGGGGAGGTGAGATGTCGGTTGCTGTAATTCGTCTCTGTTTGGGTGTACTTGTGATAATTTTTTAATGCAAGACTTGTTCATGATGGTCCCTAGGGGAGGACTGGCCCGGACGGTACGGGCATACGCCAATTAAGAAGGTCCTTGCCGTGCTTTGCGAATTTGCTGAGCGGTAACAATATGCCGCGCCGCCTGAAGGATATACCCGGAGGGTCACAGGATAGGCAGGGGCTTGCTCTGGCAGACACACATCGAACGGCTGTAGCGTTGAGACATGGGTTCCCGCTTGGTAGGCTGTAGCCATGCTAATCCGAGCTGTCGGGATTCAGTCAACGGCTGGCGGAGTGGTAGTGACGCGGGGGAGGGGGGTTGTGGGCCTTCCTAAGAGTCGGAGAAGGGTTAGAGCGCAAGGTTATTAAGGTGCTTGTGCTTGGCTGTCCTTTTGATCCTCGGACTCTGCCTGCTGGCTTGCTTCTTGGGGGTAGGTCCATGTCCATGGGGATAGGAAGGTGTACGAATCGCGGATCTTGGACCGCCCCACACGCACGGGGTCCTAGCGGACAGATGTGCCCGTGCCTCTGGGGTATGTAAGCGGTGTGTCATTGTGTCTTAATGTGCTTAGGGTACTTCCCTTGTGTGTTTGTGTTTCATAGAGATTCGGTATCCAACTACGGATCTCTGATACCCATCCAAACAATCCTCCCCATGATCATTAGCGTTACACGCAAGCGGGTCTCACAGCTAAAAACACAGCTGCATCAGGCTGCATGGACGAATTCGAAGGTGTGTTTGTTTTTGGAATCTCCTATTATCTTGCATGCATGCACTGGCATGTACATGGCCAGTTTTCTCAACACAAACACATTCGCGGCCAGGTTTTTTGACACACACATCCCCATTCTGCAGCCACAACCTCCAGCGCAGCCCTTCTACTCATTGCCATCCTCTAAATGCATACACACAAACACACAATCAAAGTACGTTTCGCCTCGCGGCCAGTTGTTTTAACACACAAACACACTTGTGTTGCGCAAACGCGGGCCCTTCTCGGGGACCCTTGCGGCCTTCTTTGCAGCCGCTCAGCACTACCGCAAACACCTCTACAACAACAGCAACCAGCCAGCGTACACAATCCTGCAAACATCAAGCATTTACCGGCGAACGGCATGCACGTATAGAGAGCATTAAAGTGTACGTCATGCATTCTGAACAACAGTAACCCGCCCGTCCACACATTCACACATGCACATCATCAGGCATTGCACGTAGGACACACACGCACACGCGGTCAGTTTCCTTAACACACGCGTGACGCGTCCCCCATGTGTCTCCATGTTTCCCCCCGTATAGCGCCTGCAGTCTGCTGTGACGCTGTGCCACTGCTGCTGGGCGCCGCCACAGCTGCACCCTGAGAGATACCGGTACCGGCGGTGAAACCCATGACAGGTTCGACACCGCCGGGTTGCCATCGGGCTCTTCTGGACCTCTCGTCTACCTTCTTTACCAGCACTTGTCCACTTTGTTGTTGTTGTTGTTGTAGTACGACGGCTAGCGCTACGACCTACCGTAGACGCAACACAATGCACACCCGCCCGCCCACTCCCCTCCTCCTTCCCCTGTGCTCATCAGCTAGCCCCGGTACGAATACGAGGGAGACCCCTCCAGCTGAATCCCAGCGGGCTCAGCAGCCTGCGCGGCGCCGCGAGCGCGCGCCACCGTGCCCCCCGCCGCACCCCCGGCTCCCGCTGCCGACATGGAGTGCGACTTGACCCAGCCCGCACCACCACCACCACCTGCACCACCCGGGGGTGCACCGCTGGGGAAGGAGGCGGCAGCGGAGGAGGAGGAAGACGAGGAGGAGGAGGAGGAGGGCTCCTTGCGGTTGGCCATGTGAGACATGACGGAGCTCCAGAACAGCTGGGGATGGGCGGATGGGGGCGGATGGGGGCGGGGCGGGGCAGAGGCGGGGCGCATGAGGGCGGGGACATGGGCGCGGGCGCATGGGCAGAGAAGGGGCGTGAGTGGTGACGGGCAGGAGGATGGAGAGAGGAGGAGGAGGAGGGGGACAAGGAGGAAGCGCACGCTCGCGGGTTTACCCGGGGCGGAAGGGAAGCCATCGCATGGAGTAAATAAGCCAAGTTAACATACATAGCTGTGTGTCCGCAGCCCATGCTTGAGGGTGTTGTTTCCCTGCCGCAGCAGACCATCCCTCCATGCCTCCCTTCCTTCCCTATCCCCCCTCCCCGTCCCTCCCTACCCCCCCTCCTCACCGCCACCACGTTCACATACAGGATGCGCTGCTCCGGCGGCACGAACTTGAAGTTGATGATGTTGGCTGCGGGCCACAACACGTAGTTCATGGCCATGGTGGGTGCCCACTTGGACGTCACCGCGGAGCGCGCCTCGCGCAGACTGCCGCCCTCCAGCAGCCGGAAGCCGAAGAAGAAGAAGGCGGTGCCGGCGGGGGACTGGGCGTGAGGGGGGGTAAAGAGGAAACAACTAACTGACTGAGGGATACGGCGTCAACATGGGTTGCAACATGTGAGCCAGCCCGACCCGCCGGGGCAGGGGGTGGAAGGTGGAGGAGGGAGAGGGAGAGGTTGAAGGAACAGAAGAAGAAGAAGAAGGCTATACTATTTACTTGGCATGCAACGACGCACGGCACATGCATGCAGCACCCCATGCAACATACACGCATGCAACGTTTCCGGTGCGCGCTTTCCTCCCTTCCCCCTCCCTCCCTCCCTTCCCTCCCCCTCCACCCACCATGACCAGCTGGTCCAGCAGCAGTTTGGTGACCACCGCCGCATTGCTGGTGGGCGCGTGGGGCATCACTCGCTGGGGGAGGGGGAGCGGAGGGGGGAAGGGAGCGGAGAGGGAGGGAGGCGAGACGCATGAGGGTGAGAGGAAGGAGGGAGAAGAGTCCAAGCAAGAACCGTACCAAACACGCGAACACCGGACACCTTGCTTTCCCCCTCCTACCTCCACACCCGCTCCTCTTCCAACCTCTCGTCCCCCCAAAGACCCAAGCGCCCCACGACTCCCCCCCCCCCAACCGCTACCCTCCTTACCCCCCCGCCCGCCCCCCCACCGTGTCCAGGAATCTGAACCAGTAGTGCGCGATGGGTGTTCCCACCACCACCGACCACAGGCACAGCCGCAGCACCCGGCCCACGTCGTACTTGAAACTGGTGGGAGGCGGCAGCAGGGAGGGAGGGAGGGGGGGATGGCAGGGAGGGGGACATGGCAGGGAGAGAGGCAGGGCAGAAAGGGAGGCAGCAGGGGTTAAAGAGGAAACATCTAACTGACCGTGTGATAAGGGCAGCAGGTGTTGTTGGGGTTGGTTTGAAGAGGAGGTGCGGACGGGCGGAAGGCCCAGGGGGGCAAGCAACCGCGGAGGGCGAGAGCCGCAGTTAGCGATGTTGTTGGTCCTGCTACCTTCTACTGTGTAGCGTGTTTCGGTTGGCTTCAACCCTGGCCTTCCATGACCGCCCCAAACCCCCGCGCACGCCTCCCAAGCCCCTCTTCCTTACCCTCCAAACATGCCTCCTCCCCGCCTGTCACGGCCCTTGTACTTGTCCTCCTCCTCCGCGTCCCCAGCATCCCCCGTCCCGCTGTCCGAGGACAGCAGCCGCATCTCATGCTCATGTTGCTGCTGCTGCTGCTGCTGCTGGTGGCCGGCTGCTGCGGACTGCTTGCGAAACCCAAGGCGGCTCAGGCTGGGCGGGTCGGCGGCGATTGCCAGGCCTCCCTCGGTTGGGGTGGGGGAGAGTGCGTGGGAGGAGAGCTGCGCGATGAGGTCGCCGAGCACCGTGCCCACCACACCTGGGGGGCGGCGAGCGGGTGGGAGGAGGTGGGAGGTGAGAGGTGGGAGGGAGGGAAGGGCGGGGGGGTTGGACAGGGAGGGAGGTGTGCAGAGAGGAGAGGGCGGGCGGGTCGGCGTGAGGTGGGGTAAGAGGGGGCACTGCGATCGGTTGCATGGGGCAGGGTGGTGATGAGGAGGAGAGGAGGACAGGGACAGCGAGGGAGAAGTAGCGATGATGCAGTAAGGGCGTTGCAGTGGTTTGCTACTGAGAGGTCATCGGTCACCGGCAATGCTGTGGTCAGCCATTCTTGCTGTTGGTAGGTATCGCGTATTCTGCAAATTCCGATACCGGTAAACAGCCGAGAAACAAAAGCCTTCGCGCTTTAAGCCGTCGCGCTTCCCACAGCCCGGCGAGCATGTAAAAATGAACAAGGCAACGCATCGATAATCCTATTGTTGTTGTTTGACTTTCTAGCACTTGCCTGTGACGCATTTCGTAAACAGCGGCCGCTCTGCAAGAGACGCATTGTAGCTAGCCCAAAAGGCTGCCATCCCTCTCCGGAGCGCCATTCTGCTTGCC